GGAAGGCGATCTTCGCGTCGGTCCTGAAGATTTGGTCCGTTTTTGTCCCTCTCTCCCTTTTTTCGCGTGTGGGGAAGGGGGAAGGATAATAATAAAAAAACATACACGCAAGGCATGATGGCATAGCGGTGATTTTCAAACTCTGATCCCGATCAGCCCTCGTCTCCCCCAGCCGTGTCAAAGGTCTTGGTCTTGTGGTGTCGTGGAGGTGTTCATGTGCCCTTTCGCCTGCCCATCGAATTACCATCCGAAGGCCGAAGCGCGCCACTTTTTTGACCCGCGTGCCTTTTCCTTTTAATATTATCATGGTATATTGGGGTGTGCGTTGATGATATTTTCTTTTTTTGCCTTCTCGACCACACACTCCTTCTATTATGTTCCCCTTCTTCGCTATATCCTCTTTTCCCCCTAGCGGAAAGAGTGAGCTTTTGTTTGAGTCGCGCAGGCGAGAAAAGCGCGCTCGTCTTCTTCACCTTCTTCTCTTCTTTCCCCATTCACTCTTTCCGCCGGTCGCTTAACAGGTGACTTTCCTGCTTACGCTTAGCGAGCCATGCAGAAGAAGCAAGACCAGAAGCAAGACCAGAAGTAGGAGGAGCAGCAAAACGTCTGTGCTAAGCGGACGGCCATGCGCGCATCGCAGGCTCGGGCGAGCCAGTACTCCACTGCCGCTCCCCGTCCCGTCCGTCACGGTTCTTCTCGTCCTCTAGCTTTGTTCTGGGCTGGTGGATCCGTCTTTCCGCTCGCTGGACTGGACTGGACTGGACTGGGGAAAGCTCTCACGCGAAAAAGACGCAGGGTACATACCTTTACCGCCGTGCTCCATCTGATATTGCCTCAAGCCGTAATAATACCCTTTTTGCCCTCGTTGAGTCCACCCCTTGATTATAGTGCGCCCAACCTTGTTCACTGCCGGAAGAAAAGGGTTCCTTGTGTTTCTTCTGCTTGTTCTGGGACAAAGACCCCATTTTCTCCCCAATTGAAATGAATCGCCCGTCCCGTTCGGGCATGGCCAAACACGGATGACGGCCAGCTCGAGCCGTGACAAGATTTTTCCCGCTAACATTGGAAACCATGTGCTTGGGTGAGCACTCGAGCCCGCCAGAGATAACCTTGGCGGGCCTAGTGGTATTACTGTCCTGACTCAACAGGCGACGAAGACAGAGGATCGTTCCACCTGTCGCACCAGCCGCTGTTTGACCATGACTCCCGCAACAAGCACACACGCACCACTTGACACTGAAGGGCACACGAATGAGCTGTTTCTTCACCCAAAGCGGAACAAACATGAATTCAATGATGAGGAAATATCAATTAGAAGAGACAGTGAGGACTCAGCTGTCAATATGGATCCTTCTACGGCTCGTGTCTCCCGAGAACGAGAGTGGATCGAGAGTCTCGAAAAGGACGCCCGCAGTCGCTTGAACATCCACTGCCATTTTCCCCAGCCCGTGCCTGTCACACTGGTGGTGGAGCCAAGGGTGCTCCAAGGGTGCTCCAAGGGGGTCGTCCTTGACCTTCCCGAACGCTCCAACGTGCCCGCTGCCACCACCAAACACTCCTGATTGAAAGAGGGAACCCCGGGATCGATGGAGGAGAGATCCATAGATCCACTTGATCAAACCCATCAAACGGTTTCCATTGGAGTGGTTGATGTGATAATTTGATCCGTCTAATGTCTTTAATCTCCAAGTGTAATCTGCTCTGTCGTATGCCGACCCTCCTCATCTCTTGAAGCGATTGAAGCCTTTGAATCGGTCTAAAAAGGAGAAACGAGAGGCGACAAGGTAGGAAAATCAAAGAAAGGTAAAAAGAAAAAAAAAAGGAAAAAAGGCTTCCTTGGCATCAATCTACGAACTGATTCTTCCTTTGCCTTTCCATCCATCTATTTTCCTTTTCGGGTTATCCTGATTTTTTGCCTCCCCTCTGTCGATCCCCGCAAATCTGGGCCCTTTGCTGCTTGCCTCCGCTGGGGCGCCTCTTGTCGGCTGTCACAAGCGAACGGATCGGAGGGGAAAGGGGCAAGGTTCCTCGATCTTTCCCTTTGAAGCGGGTGCCCCTCGCCGCTGCGCGCACAAGTCGGAGGCACCTGCCCCAGATGGGCTTCCCCACATGCTCCCTCACACTTCCGATGATCCCCCTCGTTATCGAGCCATGAATACTAGACAGGACCAGAAAGAGGGAAGGAAGGAGCACTCGAAAATGATCGATGATGGTCGGGGATGGTAGAATTGATGATTCTCGTTTAACTTGAAATAGAATACATTTTATTTTGCCACAGACTCGTTGATCAGGTCTGAGGTGGATGGAGCTTGTGAGAGAGAAAAACCAAACATCTGGGCTCGATTCAAGGTTGGTGCGTGCATCATTAGCCTCGGAGCTCCTCCCAAGAATGAGCTCCATTGAGCTTCAACAAGCTTCAATAACGTACATGCAATAGCCCATGTCGTCGGTCTCCTCTCTAGTCTACGTCCGCTCCTCAACCTTGGCTACTTTCCTCCTTCCCAAGCTCCAAAGCCTACCGCCACCCACGCTCACTCATGCGTCCAAGCTCCGAGCTCCTGCTCCACCACAAGTCCAGTTCACCTCTTGATCTTGGTCGAAGAAGAATACCAAGCAAGAATGCCAGACCCGACCCCCTCATCGATGCCGCCAAGCGGATGAATGCGTGTGTGCTTTCGATCCTTGGTCCGACTCCTCGTAAAATAGCATAGATCACCGAAGCGATTATGGTCCTATTTCCTTTGTGACTCGCCTCGCTCCCACGCCAGGCAAATATGAATCATATTATTCTTCTCCATCTTCCCACCCCCTCAAGCCTCTTACGTTTGTTCCAACTATCAAGGTCTCAGATAAATCATCCCAGACCTGGGAGTTCACCGTCTGGGCTGCCCCTCCCCCTCCATCCCCTCCCCTCCCCCTCTCCCTTCTCCCCTTGTCAATGTTTTACCTAGCCTTCCCTGTTTTTTTCGATCATTCTTGCGGTGAGTGGACGGCTTGGTTTCTTGCGCTTATGCTTTCCTAGGCTTGTTGAGTCTCCGCCCCTTTCTTACCCTCTTTCTTGCTCTCTCTCCCGCCCGGTCATTCCGGGGGCTCATCCCGCCTTTTGAGACGTGCAAAGACGGGAGCCGCCAACGGAAAAGCAATCCTCTTTCCCTCGGACTACCTATTCCGGCCAAGGCAGATTGATACCCCATAACCCGAACCCAATCCCCGCTGCCGGCATCCTGGGCAAGTTCTAGGCAAGTGGGAACCGGCGCCAAAAAGGAAGGAAAGCCAACCGATCGAAATAAAACATGCATGTGAGAAAACCAAATAAGAAAGATGAGAAAGCAAATAAAAAGAGAGAAAGAAAAAGAAAATAACCCAGACTGCGGCGGGGTCACTCCTCATTCTTTTGAGTCTCCGATCATGCTATGCTCTGGGCAATCTTTGCAGCGTGCTTCACGCCCTGCTCTTGGCCTTGCCTTGCTGCTTTCCTCCCGTTCTCTTCCCTTTCCGGAGGGGGCGTCCTCCGATGCGTAGTATAGCCCCACCGCCCTCATATGGTAACCTACGCTGTGAGCAAGGGACGGCGGGCTGGATATTAATCTCCGGTAGTCTTTTGCATCTCGTTGCCCGGAAGCAAAAGAAAGGGCGTATATTAACGCAAGGAACGGAACCCGGGGACAAGAGAAGAAGCTTCGTGAGGTTTCACACCGTCCCACTCGTCACAAGCTGTTTCGTAGCCCGAGACGCTTTGTGCTGAGTGATGATGATGCGAGAAAAAAACAACAACAGCAAAAGAAAGACCAAAACGATGAGGGCTCGGTGTGCAAAAGCCCTCGACGCACAATCAAGATCGGAAATGGCTCACGAGTGGGGAGATATATATCTCAGAATGTATTTTTCTTGACAAAGATGAGCCCGCAATACCCTCTCGGCATGAAGATAGTCTACGACGATCCCCTCCCCCTCTCCATCTCTCATGAGGGGCCGGTGCAAGCCGTCTCGTCGGCCAGCTTCATCGGGCCCCGTTCCGTAGCTGCCCCCTCCCATACCCCGCTAGCCTTGTGGTGTTGGGAGGGGTTGTTTTCTTCCAAGGTCTATGCTCCGAGCACGGCTTCACGACCTTGACGATGGTCACGGAATCCTAGTTGTCTCATAAGAGAGATCTCGTACGCCTTGTGAGGTCGTGAGGGTTGAGGAAGCCCTATCTCTATTGTATGCGTTCTGCAAGAGCGGCTAGCTAAGCCCAAGTTTAAGACGGATGGTCTCAACAACTCTTAGAAAAGGGTCCCCTTCTGCCGTCCAGCTCCTCCCCGTCATCTGTTTCTGTGTTGATCGTTCCCCGAGCCATGAGATAGGTCAAGTCTGATGGGATATCATGTGCACATTGGGAATCGTATGTCGGGGAACTACCTCCGCCAATATCGCGGCGAACGAGTAGAAAGTAGAATCAGGACAATCATTTCATTCGGAACATTGAATACACATCTACCCATTTCTATAACCTTTTTGAGTATAGCCCGATATCAGTGCAAGGAACAAGAGAAAGAAATAAAAGGCCAAAGTTGGTTGTTGTCTCTCCCCATCCCTCGGCCGTTCTCTGTAGCCTTGCCCGGGCTGGGTGAAAGAAACAAAGAAGAGAGCGGAAGGGGGCTGAGGAGGATATGCAGAAAACTACGCAACCTTCAGCCCGGGGCGCCAACACTGGCCAAAAGTTTCCCCTCAACACTTAGATATATATATATCGCCAGTGCTTGGAAAGGGAAAAACAGAAAGAAGGGAGAAGAGACGAAGTGCCAGGCTAAAACAGGGGTAGAGTGAATCAAGAAAAGGCGCTGAAGCGTAAAAAAGGGAAAGAAATTAGTCCATTCTTTGTACAAATTCCCATCCTGAATCAAACATATCCCAATGGAAGAGCTGAACTGAAACCCTCGCTATAGAGAAGAAGAAAAAAAAAGAAAGAGAGGTAGGATAAAGCAAAAAAGGGAAAAGTTTTGTATTCCCCATTTCGCTCTCTACCCCCACTGCACGAGCACCTTCTTGCCCTTCTTCCCCTTCTTCTTGCCCGATCCCTCACCAGCATCATCCTCTTCGTCCCGTTCGGCGTTACTGCCACCCGCCTGCTGCGAGCCCCCACCCCACGAGAAGCCCGTGTCGCGCACCACGCCGAAATCCCGCCGCACGCTACCCCTGCCGTAGCCGTACAGCGACGTCAGGGGCTTCGGCGCCGCGGGCAGCGCGGGGAAATTGTCCTGGCCGCTGTTGGGAGGACGTCCACCACCGCCGCCACCACCGCTCCTGGAACTGCCGCTCGCGGACTGACCGCCCGCGGACACGGCCCAGGACCTGGACGCGTTGGACGTGTTCACGGGCGGACGGACGATGGAGGTAGGAAGAGCGGGGAAGGCCGACGCGGCGGGTGGCGGGCGGGCCGCGATGGACGGGGGCGCGGTCCAGGACGAAGAGGCGCTGGACACGGAAGCGGAGCTGACGCTGCCCTGGCGGGTGCTGCTCTTGAGACGCAGCACGCGGTTCGTGTGCTTCTGGGACGCGGTGCCCGCGGGAGAGGCCGGGGACGCCATGGCGGCGGCGGCCCAGCCGCTGCTGGCGGTGGTAGCGCCGTGCATGCCGCCCAGGCCGGGCAGGGAAGGGTAATCCTCGTTGATGGCGCGCCAATCCTGCCATGCCTTGCGCAGGGCGTCGGCCTTGGCCGGGTCGTCGAAGAGCTCGGCGAGCTCGCGCACGAGGATCCCGAGCGAGTTGGACGAGGTGTCGGCGAATAAAGTGAAGAGGGCGTCGATGAATTTGGGGGCCGTCAGGGCCCCGTTCTTGTACGAGGACACGTGCTGCCGGAATAGGTTGACGCCCGCCGCGCTGTTGCCGAGGAAGGTCTGGGCGCGGTCGATGACGCTGCGGTGGCGCGCGTACAGGGCTTGGTCTTGCACGGAGAGGGAGGCCATGTCGATGGTTTCTGTGGGGTCGGTGGGCCCGCTGGAGGAGAAGGCGGGTGTGATGGAGGGGCCGCGGCAGCGCTGTGGAGGAGGAGGATTGGGCGGCGGCGGCGGCGGCGTTTTTGTTGTTGTTGTTTCGCCTGGAAGAGGAAGGGTTGGCGGAGGAGGAGGAGGAAGCTGCGGCGGCGGCGGCGGCGGCGGGAGTTGGGTCTGAGCTTAGCTGGCTGCCAAAGTTGCGGTTGGACACCGTCTGGGTAGACTGGATGGCGAGCTGCCTGTGGTACGCCAGCTCGTCCCGCCGCATGGGCTGGGCCGAGCTAGCAGGCAGAGGTTCCGCGTTAGGATCCGGCCCACGCCCGCCGCCCCGTCCGCCGCCCGCACCACCACCCCGTCGGCCCCGCGCCGATCGCCGCGCTGCTCGTGCTGGTAGCTCGAGCGAAAGTCAAAGGACGACATGTCGACGTGGCGCGCGTCGCGACGCACGTCCTTGCTCAGCGAGTTGGCGTGCTCGCTGAGCTGATGGGCCTTGAGGTCGAGCTCGGACTCGAACACGACAAACTTCTTATCCATGCACTCCTTGTCCGGGCACAAAAAGTGGTCGTCCTTGAAGTGCTTCTCCAGGGCGTTGTAGTCGAGGAAGTAGTGGGGCTGGCGGGAGTCGCGCCGGTCGCAGATGAAGCACCGCTCGTGCTTGTTGCGGCAGTGCTCGTACAGCTTGTCGTCGTCGTAGAAGCGCTGGCCGCAGAAGCCGCACAGCGGGTGGCCCTTGAAGCCCGTCTGGTCCAGCGCGCCGGGCCGGTCGTCCCCCTGCGCATGTGCTTCTCCAGCTCTTTATCCTGGAAGAGGTCGTGCTCGTGCGTGAAGAGCTTCTTGTTGCGGGTGCAGAGGTCGCACATTTTTTCTGGTGCGTGGACCGCACGTGGCGGTGGAGGTCGGGCCAGCCGAGCGCGGCGAAGTCGCACGAGGGCTCCGGGCAGTTGTACCGCAGCAGCAGCACGGTGTCGCCGACGATGTCTTCGTTGGCGTACTTGATGCCGATGTTGTCGTCGGTGCTGGAGATGTCCTTTTTCGTGTAGTCTTCGTAGCGTTTCTCGGGGTCGTTGGTAAAGACGACGAACGGCGCCAAGGTCTAGGTTGAATGGTGAGAAACAAGCCGTTAGCACAGACGAAGAAAGATATAAAAAAAAAAAACTACTGTAGAAAAAGAGCAAGCTTGGAAGCTTGTCCAAGGTTAGAATCACATACACGGCAGTGGGGGCAGTCCTTGGTCTTGTAAAGAGCTCTCATGCGCAGGGCACAAATGTGGCACGTCCTGTGGTTGCAAGGTGCGACGGAATAATGGTCCACCGTATTCGCACAAATGAAGCAGATCTCGCCGTCGCCCTCGGTGGCCGCCACGGACTTGGTATCGTCGTCCGCCGTCGGTTGGGCCGCTGGGGTAGTAGCAGTAGCCCCCGTCGTCGCCGTGGGGGCCTGGTCCGGCGCCGCTCCCTGGGAGTGCCCGCGCGAGCGGCCGCCGTCTTGCGTCGCATTTCCTCGTCCCCTACCACGGCCTCTGCCCCGACCACGATTGCCGCCGCCGCCGCCTCCGCCGCCTCCTCCCCGGCCACGACCTCGGTGTCCGTCGCTTCGACCCTGAGATTGTGAGGGCTGTGAGCCGCCTCCCGCATCAGCGGGCCCTGTTGAAGCACCAGGCATAACGTGTGGGTATATGTGGCTTTTTCTTGGACGTTGTTGTGTGTTCGGGAGCTGCAAAGCCGATTCCTGATATGCTGATACGGGCGTTGAGGGGGTGGGTGTGTTTGATTTTGGTTTTTTTCTTCCCGGGAGAGGGGTGCGGGCTGTCGGGGTTGGTGTGGTGAAATTTCCTGGAGAAGTAGCGTCGCGGGGTAAATAGGGCTTTTTTCCTCCCTTGAATGGATTCGAGAGGGCTCTGAAGGGAAAGAGGATTGGGTGAGATATATTTTGCTATAACTTCAGCAGATGAGGAAACAGTGATTTTTGGGGAAAAGTCAATTGACAGTAGGCAAGATGGAATGAGGGTTATGTATTATGATAACCGGACAAAGCAAGGGGTAGAAGGGTGGTGAGTCGTTGAATAAATTGCCATCAAACTGCTGATGGCATCCCCGTCGCTGGCATCGACTCCTGAGGAAGCTGGTGCCAGGGGAAGAAGGAGGGAAGCTTCAGCACTGCTGCCCCCTCCAGAATGCCCCTTCCCAGCACAGAAAACGGCGGTACCACGCAAATCGCACACGCTAGCAACGGCCCTTGCCTTGTCTGCCAATGATGCTGCTGCAACAGGAGGGGCGGGGTCCATTTTGTCCTCTCAGGTTCAGCCGCTGCCTGGGCCCTCGCCACACTTTGTGCGTCATCCGGCGACCCGGACCCTGTGGCGCACCCCATGTCTCATTTGCAGTCGATGCCAATGCTCCTCAGGATTTCCGAGGCAGGGGCTACGGAGGATTCACCTCGAGCTCACCTGCGGGAATTGAGTCTCATTTTCTTCCTGGAGCGAGGCGTCTTGGCCTTGGCCGAATAATGTAGTAGGACTTGCTATCGATGAAACCATATCTTCTACAAAACGGGGCGGCTCGAAGCCTAGAGCTCAATGCCAACCAACGAAGCTTCTTCGTCCAACCATCCCCGCCCGTGTAATCTTTGGAGCATCAATTCAGGGCTTTCTTCTCTTTGTTTTAGGAGCTTCGTAGAGCAAGCCTGTTTCCCTGCTGTTTTCGAGAATGCCCCCGTCCTTCCTGCGCTTCTTTCCCCGGCTTGGGCGGGCATGGAAGCCACTCAATTTCTCCAATCCGAACTTCGTCAAGTTGCCAACCGCTCCGAAAATTGAAGAAGAGACCTTACCAGGCTATGTAGCTTCCCGGTATTATCCTACTCGGATAGGAGAAGTCTTGAAGGACCAGTATCAGATTATAGGAAAACTGGGATTTGGCGCTAGCTCGACCGTTTGGCTTGCGCGGGACATGAAGTAAGAGGCCTCACAGCCTCCAATAAAAACAAGTATCCTAAATCGCCCTGCTAATATACTCGAATCACAGCGACCGTCGTTATGTTACCCTCAAGATTTTTATCAAGTCTACATCTATGGGATCGAAATTAGACAATGAGCTCCAGATGTATAAATGTATGGAGAGAGGCCCTGTAAACCACCCGGGCCGGGATGCTGTTAGATCCTTGCTCGATTCTTTTGACATCGATGGTCCCGAAGATAAACATCGGTGCCTCGTCCATCCCCCATTATGGGAGAGTGTATTGGATTTCCTAGGCCGCAACCCCTCGCGGAAGCTACCACCGCCAATCCTAGCATATGTGCTTCAGCGTGTCTTTTGGCACTAGACTACCTACACAGTGAATGCCAGATCATACACACGGGTATGCGCTTAAACCCCTCCTCTCTTTTATTTATATAACTTACACGTGAGATCTATTAGATATCAAGGCCGATAATATCATGTTTAGCATCGCTGATGATTCCGTTTTCGATGACTTTATGGAGAAGGAACTGCAGACGCCTTGCCCGAGAAAAGAGGTCGATGGAAGAATAATATACACCTCCCGGGGGCTCAAACTGCCCAAGGAATTGAATGCTCCGGTCTTATGCGACCTTGGCTCAGCTGTGCCTGGTGATATCGAACAGTCAAAAGATATCCAACCCGATATCTACCGAGCGCCGGAGGTCATTCTAGGGGTTCATGGACGTATAACGTTGATATATGGAATGTAGGATGCATGGTAAGATACCAAGTTTGATAGTACTGGCTTCAAGTGTTTTGGAACTAACCTCACCTTGTAGGTTTGGGACATTTTGAGGGCGAGCCCTTATTTACTGGTCGCGACCCAAAAATCAGACTTACCGAAGCCGAGCCCACCTTGCTGAGATCATAAGGCTGCTAGGTCCTCCCTCGCCCAGCCTTCTTTCTAGATGGAAGTTAAGCGATAAGTTCTTTTCAGATCAAGGTAAGCTAATGCTGTTTTATGGGATCTACTCAATATCTAACTTTCTAGGTGACTTCTCCGCTCAAGATCTAGTAAAAGATCAGATTTTACTTGAACAGAGGGAGACTACTCTTCAAGGACTGGACAAGGCTAGCTTCCTATCCTTGATGCAGAAGATGCTGCAGTGGGAGCCGGCTAAGCGTGGCTCCGCGAAGGAACTGGCAGAGCATGAGTGGATTCGTAAGAGTATGGGGGATTAAGGAACCAGAGTGTTCATTTGCCTCTCCGATGCCTTATTTGCGGGTATTTTTCCTGAAGTATTCTACATGTATATCAAGAAGAGAGCCTCACTACACCGAACCTCAAGGTCTGTTGGACAGGTAAGTTGGACAGGTCGGTAAAGAGGTGGTCAGAAAAAGATGAGCGGGAGCTTGGCCATTTGATTTTTATTCTTTACTGTATATATGGGCTGGCGTAGGCCTCCCTCTCCCGAGGTAGGCCACGATAACCAAACACATGTCCATATCCAATCCAAAATTATAGTCGAGCACTGTTGGCCGAGCCATGATGCAAAAAGTACACACTAGGGGTGGTGTTTTTTTCATCTCCAAAGGTCCACACACACAAAAAAGAAAAAAAGGGGAAGAAAAAGAAGTGAAGAAGAAAGAAGAACAATGAGTAGAACGCCAACCGCCAGAGGAAAAAGCTTGTTTTCATTTTCCGTCTCTAAATCGCTTCCAGATGTCCATGTGCATGAAAAAAAGAAGAGAGAGACCCTTGAGGATCTCCAAAAGAGAAGAAAAAAAGTTTTCAAGGGGAGAAAAATAAAAGGTCAGAAAGACAATCTAATAGAGAAGAATGGGGTGAAGACCAAAAGAAGAGAGATGATGGCCTCATCAAGAGTGTGGATAGAGGTAGGGGGATGCAGCAACGCCAGGAAGCCAGGCAAAAGCAACAAAGAGGAACAGATCTAGTGCCCACCAGGCCACCTTTCTTTCTCTCCCTCTCTCCCTCTCTGCCGGTTCTCAGCCCCGTCCCCGCACTACGCCTTCCCCGCCTCCCGAACGGCCTGCATCCAGCGATCCTCGGCCCCCACCTCCGCCAACGCCTTCTTCTCCCGCGCGCCGGCCCCGCTCCCCGCCAACACGGCCCGCACATCAGCGGCCTCGCGGGCGGCGAGCAAGGGGCCCTCCTCCCAGAGGAGCAGGGCGACGGCGGCGCGGATGAGGACGGCGTCGCCCTCGAAGACGTAGACGTCCCACAGGCGAGCGGCCTCGTCGATGGCGAGGGCGGTGGTGAAGAGGGCGGTGAAGACGTCGCCGAGAAAAGCGTCCGGGTCGGGCTCGCCGGCCAGCTGGGTGGTGAGGTGGCGGTGCAGGCCGTCGGACTTGTCGCGGACGGTCTGGAGGACGAGGTTGTAGGCCGAGGTCTTGGCGCCCGGGTCGCCGGCGTAGAAGCTTAGGGGATGGGCCGGTTGAGCACGTTGGCGAGGGCGATGAAGGTGTCGGTGGCGTTGGGGAGGTTGAGGAGGAGGAGGGCGGCGATGGACTGTTGTGAAAATGTTAGGTTTTTCTTCTTCTTATGATGGTGGGAAAGATGGTTAAAAAAAAAGAGTGGACTTTGACTTACGTTGCAGCCAGAGATGTAGCCGATATCCCCGCGGTACATGGCATACGCCGACAACACATCAATCAAACTCTCGTGCAGCGGCCCCCTCCTGGAAAATCCGCAGCTCCGGCCACGTCCTCTCCGCCACGTCCTTACGAATGGCCTCGAACCACTGCGCGCGGCGCCCGTCCTCCGGGTCCGCCTTCTCCGCTTGCACGCGCTCCCGCGCGTCCCGCGCCCTCTTGAGCGCCGCCGTATACGACAAATCGGACAGCCCGAGCTCGTTGCCGATGGCGCGCGACCACACCACACCGCGGCTGCGAGGCGGCACGCCCTTCCACCACAGCTCGCGGGTGCGGGGCTCGCGGGTGGACGCGCCCCAGCGGGGATCACGTCCTCTTCCCAAATGTGCATGAGGTTGTCGGCGCGGTGGTCGCGGTGCGTCTTGACGGCCGAGCGGGTGGCTTCGCGCCGGCGGTCGGCCTCGGCGCTCTGCGCCATCATCTGCTGGTACTGGCGGAGGTGGCGGCGTTCCTCGGCCGGGTCCTTGGGGGCAGCCAGGAGGGCCGGGTGCGGCTGAGCACGGCTTCCTTTTCCTTGGAGATGGGGAGCGGGTCGATGAGGGCGTTGGTGCGGCGCAAGGGGGCAGCTCGGGGAGCTGGGAGGACGAGTGCTTGCGGAGCTTGGGTTCCCAGTGCACGGGGTCAAAGGCCGCCTGCCGGGAGGCGTCCCACGTGGCGGGGCGCTTGTCTTGGCCGAGCCAAGTCTTCTCCACCAGCTCGTCCGAGTGTTCTTCGAGTTTTTCGGTGAGGGCCTTCATTTCGGGGCTGAGGCTCGCCATGGCGATGTTCCAGCTCTTGGCCCGGCCTTTGGCGAACTGGCCAGGGGAGGGAAAGGAGGACGGGCTTTGATTGTTGTTGTTGTGAGGTGAGGGGTGGTTGTTGTTGTTGTTGTTGTTGTTGTTGTTGTGATTGCCGGAGGAGCCGTCCTCGGCGGCGGGGGCGGAGGAGGAGGAAGCGGAGGCGGAGGCAGAGGCAGAGGGCGAGGGAGAGGGGTAGTGGTGATTCGTCGGGTCAGCCGCGAGGTGGTCCGCCAATGCGGTGTCGGATTTCCACGTAGCAGAGCGGAGGCTTCCGTGGGCGGTAGCCACGGCCGGGGTGCCATTGCCGACACTACGACGCTCCTTGCTCCTGCTGCCGCTGCTGCTGCCACCGCCACCGCCACCCTCCTTATCCCTAGACGAGCCGCGGGGTGTAGCATCGGAGACGGAGGCTGGCTGCGGGGCCTCTCGCTGGTGGGACGCGGAGAAATAGGCACGTTGTCGAGGATGAGGCCGTCGGGGATATCGTCGTCGTCGTCCTCGTTGTCGTCGCACTCGCGCTCGAGCTCGAGTATGGTTTTGCGTTCCCGGTTCGACTGCCAGCTGCTGCGGCGCGGCTTCAGGATCTGGTTGGGGTCCTTGGGTCCCAGCATGAAGCCCGGGCTCGGGCTCCTCTGCCGCGGGTGCAGCAGGTGCAGGCTCGTCGACGACATGGACGGCTGGATGGGCATTCGGCGGAAGCTCGGGCTGCGCGGCGGCGGGTCGAGCGAGCCGTGGGCGCTCACGCTTCGGCCGTTGGCCAGGCGTCCGGGGCTCCGCGGGCTCGGAGGATCCTGCTGCTGCTGCCTCGGCCGCTGCTGTTGCTGTTGCTGTTGCTGGGACAGGCCGAGCCCGACTTCGCGTTGGGGCATAAACTTTGGGACACGTCCCGGGTACGCGTCAGGGTCCGCGAGGCGGGGTTTCTGGGGCCGTGGCCATTGTCCTCGGCCAGGTACGAGGACGACGCGAGGGCGGCTTTCGTAGAAGGGATCGTAACTCTTAATTGGTCCCCCTCGTGAGGGAGCGGCGAGCCGACACGGCGGAGGAGGAGGAGCCAGCCCCGAGCCGGCGGCAGCGGCGGCGGCAGCAGCGGCGACGGCGGCATCGTCGAGGGAGATGTCCTCAAAGTGGCTCACGTCGGAGAGGGCGGCGGCATCGTCGAGGTAAGACTGGTGAGAGGAAGCTTGAGAGGCTGTCATTCCGCGCCACGAGTCGGTATAACGGGCGGGGAGCAGGCGGCAAAGGAGGCAAAGGGGAGAATCGGGGGTGCGTGATAAGGGGCGTGGGTGGGTTGTCGCAGATTGAGGCCGCTCCAGGTGAGACTTATGGTATGCATTTAGGCGGTGTTTCCCCTGGGGGTTTTTGTCGTTTTTCGGATTCAACGATACGGGCCCTGGGAAATTAAGGCCCTTTCAACGGAAAATGGCGAAGAAAAAAAGCCAAGCCCCAGAAGCAAAACAGACAGACCCACCAGGGGAGGTTTTCAGAAAAGGAAATGATCCAATGGGGAAAAGAAAAAAGGAGATAGGGGAAATAGAGCTGGAGCCTGCTTTTTCCTTTTTGACTTTTGTTTCTTTAGACTTTTTTTTTCCCTGTGTATTCACCGTTTCTGTTTTGTCGTCTCTTCTGTTCGTCTCTCCTACTATGGCGTTTCTCGGTTGCGCTGTATTCCAATGAAGCAAACGTGCAGGGCCGGGTCTATGTTGAGTGCGTTTGCCAGAGACAATCTATCGACTACCGAGATCGAGGCAAGAGACGGGCAAAAAAGGAGAAAAGACAACTACTGAGGGCCGGCCAGGAAAAGGCTCTGGGGGGCTATCTGACATTTTCAATCCCAATCCGTTCGGCAATAGACAAAGAGCATGTCACGAACCCGCCGTTCTTGCAAGCAACGCACCCCAAGCGAAGAGTAATAATAGACGCAACGCTATCATTCATCAATCCTGATCTATGTTTCTGACCCTGACCAACCTCGGTGACCTGGCAGCACACAAGCTAAGACCCGGAACTGACCGGCCGGCTCCAATGTTGTTCCTTGCACACATACACACGCACGCACGCAATGCAAAGCACAGGGAACAATACCTGAGCAGGTTTGGGTATCAGGGTGGACGAACAAGTTTCTTACATCATGGCCGAGCGGCGGGCGGGCGACTTCAGCCGGGCTGGGCCAGGCCAGGCCATACATGTACGTGACGCTACAAGGACACTAGATTGTACACCACCTCATAACGTCATCGCCTCCAGGAATGTTGCCGTTTTCTCTCGCGCCAGCACACCAAAATGCCAGGGGGCAAGTGGCAGACATGAATAAATGAAATGTGGTTGACGTTCCCGGCGTCAGCGAGTAAATACTTCTTGTCCTTGCAATCTATTATTTTGCTCGACTGCTTGTGGATGGGGCTATTTCCCAGTTTGTCGTGACAGCAACCAGCGCCCCGTCCCATCTCGGTTACACTAGACTAAAAAGAGCATCATTTCCCAGTGAGTCCTCGCCATTGTTTTGCATTGGCCCGAGTCGTGACGGTTCATATCTATGGCTAGGCCTTTAGACTAACAAATGCAATGCTCAGCTGGCATCGACGTCGGCGGGCCCGCTTGGTTCTTGGCGCAAGCCATTTTGGGCGGCGCGCGCGGAAAAGTCAGGATTCGCCGACAACAATGCCATTGAAAAGGACGGAGTCCTGAGGGAGAAAGCCAGCACAGCCAGCACACGGGTCTGGGAAAGGGAGGGCCAAGGGGGCTTGGTGCAGTTTGTTAGTTTGGCTGGCCTGGTCGGACCTTTTGCTCAAGTCCTTTGATGATCAAATTGACGGATCAATGAATTCGGTCAAATGTTCCCTTTGTCCCGTGTGCTCGAGTCCAGAAAAGGTTCCTCCATGTATTCTTGCCGACCTCCCAATTGAAGGCTCCCTCTTTCTGTCCCCCTCCCCCAACTAACCCCCTCACTCGACTCCCGTGGTCCAGCGTAGCCATGTGGGCGGCCGGGCGCGTTCCTCTCTCTCCCCCACCGGCTTTGAATCTCGATCCATCGATCCATCCCCTCTCCCCACCCTCTTATCAGGAAACAAACTTGAAATGCAACGCCTAGTCCACGGCTTACATGTATCCACCCTGTTGCCGCGACCTTGGATCGAGGGAAACGGACTTGGCTCCCTCCAACCCAATGGAGGGGAAAGAAAAAGAACCCCGCCACCAAGTTTCTCCTTCCAGGTGTAGATCGACGTGCCAAGAACATGGTAGAACCCGATCACGGATCCTTGATCCTTCTTGGCCAAACCCAACCTAAATAGCCTATCGAGCCTCGAGTCAAACGTGCGCGCGGGTTCGAGGGACCACAAGACTCTGGAGTGACTGATCACTTCGTGGTTGGCTGCATTGATTCGATTTGCGTACATCTAAGCACTTGACAGTTATCGCCGTCCTCTCCAAGACATCAAAATTCTCCGCCATCGCCCTGCTGCCCTGCACCACGTCTGTCTTTTTCTTTTTCCCTCTGAGACATGTAGAAAGCTTGTCCAACAACGGCCACTTGTGGTCGTAAATGTCTTGCATGTAGGTTCTCTATCAGGGTGTTTATGCCGAATCCGGTTTGGAATGGCTGCGACTTTGGGATAGACGCACTGCTCTGCTCCCTGCCTCGGTAGTTTTCCCTTTGACTGCCGCCCTCTAGTGCACCTGTAGTCACACCAATTCCTTTGCTGGGTGGGTGCCCTCCCAAATTGAAATTGGCTACCCTTCTTTATCTTTAAATTGATTCTTCTCGTGGGCACGATGCACGTCATCCCTAGGCATGAGGTAGGATTCTATGTCGCCCTCGGAGCAGCAGCTTCGACGAACCAGAAACTCCATCCCACCCTCCGCGGCATCGTGTCATGCCATTCGTGTACAGTCTTGTGTTGCCTGGTGTCTTTGTTCTAAGGAATCCGGGAGAGAGAGGGCTGGGTCCTTGACGGGTTATGAGGGATGACAGTCTAATTCAACTTACCATAAAATGGATTTGTATAGCGTGGTAAATCTTCTCAACGGCACAATAGTTGTAAATAAAATCAAGTGGAAAGACAAAAATCCAAAGAGTTATTGGCGAGGTTCGCGCTCGCTTGGGATAATCGATACAGGTAACGGTGAATTTCCGAGACCAAACTGAAAATACAATCGATGCAATCGACAAGTCCACGCATGAGTCCGTAAACGCCCACCCGCCGTCTAATTCATGCGTCGTATCAAACACACATACTCGTGCTTATCATCTCTCTTTCTTTCTTTTCCTTACCGCAGACATCTCTGGAAAGCCTCAATCACCTCAGCCTCCAGGCCACTTCCCTTGCTCCTCTCCCCAATAAGCTCATAGATACCCTCTTCGTGTTGTCGCGCCTGGATCATTCCTCCCGTCTTGGAGGAGAGCGCACGTAGATCCTGATAGATGCCTTCAAACGAGTAGGCAACGAGACCTAGCGGAGCTAGTTGGAGGAGAATTAGCATCATCGTTTTTGCATCATCTTCTCCCGAGACAAAATGATCGGGGACGAACACAAAACAAGGCACAGAAAAAGGGCAACGCGATAACTTACCAGAGAGGACCTTTGTCGTAAACCCCACAAGTCCCTTACCAAGCCCCTTAGCCACGCCCTTTGCCCCATCCTTATTCCCCTCGCGATACGGCTGGACAAACAGATCCGACATGCCCCCGCCAGCCCCGTGACAAACTGTTTCCCACCCACCACCGCCCCCGTCTTCCACCCCGTGATATGCTGCCTCTCCGGCACCGCCTCCCGTAGAGCTTCGGCACCGCCCGCAAGCCCTCGGCCGCCGACAGCGGGATATCCACAAACACGCCCTTGAGTACGCCTTGAAGAAACCACCGACCCCGGCGGCCGACGAGGCCATGACCGCCGCCGCATCGGAAAACACCGCCGGTTGTTGCCTAGAGCACCTGGAGCTACTGCTGCTGCTGCTGCTGCTCCTGTCGGCCACGTGCCGCGGGCCGACGACCCCGTGAACCCGCTGCTCCCGCTCCAAGAGGTCGGCGTGGCCGGAAGAGGCGTGCTCGCGCGCGAGCTGCCGGGTCCTCCCCGTAGCTCCTCCGCGTCGGGCGGCATTGGACCGGGGTACTTGGCGCCGAGGGAGCGGTACGTCTTGACGGGCTTGACGATGATGTCCGAGGTCGCCACGAGCATGTCCTTGCCCGTGTGGAGAGCGGCAGACGTGACACCCGTTACGGGATCCCAGCGCCGGTTTCGAATCTCGATCGGGTTGACTTCGTACCTAGCAGAAGAGCGTGTACGTTAGCATCCGATTCTTGCCTTTCTTTCCCTCTTGTCCCCTTCCCACGACTAACAGAAAAAGAAAACTCACCGCTTGAGATGCCTCCTCTCCACCATGCCCGCGTTCGCCAACGCCTCCCCGCCAACTTGGACAGCTTGACCACCCGCCCGCCCTTGGCCTTGTACACCCACGCCGCCGCCCGCCCTGGCAGCACGTCGCACCGGATATTGTACGAGAGCACGTGCGCCTCGAACGACGCCACCGCCTGCTTCACGCCCGACTCGGCGCGGATGCGCGCGCTCAGCGCGTGCGCCGCGGCTTCCGCTTCGGGGCTCAGGCACTGCCGGATCGCGGCGGCGAGGTTTTGCGCGTTGAGCTGCTTGTGGTGGATGGGTTTCGGGCCTGCGCCGGCGGCGGCGACCATGTCTCCCCAGAAGGGTTGGCTGGTTGTTAGGAGTTAGTCAGAGAGGAAATGAAAAAGGCAGTACACAGATGGGAATGAGGAGAAACAGTTGATATAGAGAGGAAAGAGACGGAATACGTGAGAGAAACATACTCGCCGAAAAACGGCACAATCGTCGTCGGCCGCCCATTCAGCAACCCGCACGCCGTCGTCCCCGCCCCGCCGTGGTGCACCACCGCAGACACGTGCTTGAACAACCACTCGTGCGGGCAGTCCCCCAGGTAGAAAACGTCCCCTTCCGCCGTCGGCCCCGCCACCGCCCCGCCGAGCTTGCTCCAGCCCTTGGAGATGATGACGCGCACGCCGACGGAGCGCGCCGCCTCGACGAGCACGGCGTTGAGCGCCTCGGGGTCGTCGATGACGATGCTGCCGAAACCGATGTAGACGGGCGTGGTGCCCTTGGCGAGGAAGGAGGCGAGGGCGGGTGGGGGCGTGTAGTCGGGGGTTCGCGGAAGAAGAAGCCGCAGATATCTAGTGGAACTGTGGTTAGCAGCTGTGGAAACTTGCCCCTTCAACCATTTCTCTCCTGAACCCATTTCTGGTTCTTCTCATCTTGTCAAGTTCATACCGATCGAGGCGGGCCAATCCGCAGGCTTGGGAACGAGGGCTGGTGACCAGCAGTATGTGACGGGTACGCCCAGGGTTTCGAGGAGTTTAGGGCCCTCGGACGTGGGCACGGGTTCTAGATCGAGGGTAACCCTCCAGTCGTTGATAACATCACCCAATCTACCATCAACATCGTGTCAGCAGCAGCCCATTTCGTCCTGGAAAACAAAAAAAAAAAGAAAGCAAGAGCAGTAAACGCACCCTTGCCACGTTAGACACTCCACCAACCAATACGACACATAATTCGCCACGCCCTTTTCCACCCCGCCAGCCCCAGCCCCCAGCGTCAAATTCGCCAACGGATGCGAAAAACTCCGCGTGCTCGTCCACGGCATCGTAAACATGACGTGCAGCGGAACCCCAACGCCTGCGCGCAGTGCACGTGCGCGAAGCTCGGCGGATTCGCAATCACGGCGTCCGCCACAAACGGGCCCCCTTCGCCCGCCGGATCCGGCTCCACGCACGACCGCCAGCACCCCTCCAGCATGTCCCGCACCATGGCCCTCTTTCTCTGCACCTCGCCCGCCAGCAGGCTATCCATGCTCGGGATCAGCCCCGGGTTCTTGACCATGAAGGCCATGAGGTCCGTCGGGCTGCCTCCGATGGGGAAGAATTCGAGTCCCGCGCCGCGTACGAAGTCGGCGAAGACGTCGTGCGTGGCGAGGCGGACGCGGTGGCCGGCTGCGCGGAGCTCCGTGCCGAGTGCGACGAAGGGTTGGACGTCGCCGCGGCTGCCGACGACTTGGATTACGATGTTGAGGCGGAGTTTGCTGCTGCTGCTGCTGCTGCTACTACTGTGGTGGGGCCGTTCTTGGAGAAAGGCGTGGAGGCGGTGGTTTGTGGGGGCGGGGAACTGGTGCCCCTCGAGCTCTGCCGGCGCTTCTTGGGGCGAGAGGGTCGAGCACCGAGTACTGCGGCGGCGGGGCGGAACTGGCGGGGGATCGAGGACGGAAAAGCCGTGGGACTGGAGTGTGGAATCGTCGCGCATGAGGCGGCCGGCGAGCCGGTAGAGCGCGGAGTCGACTACGACGTCGACGCGGCCATCATCTGTATATGGAGTGAATCCGCTCAGTAACACGTCGGTGGTATCGAGAAGTTTTGCAACTTTCGAAAAAGGGGTTCACGTACCTCGAACATTCACATTGTCGGCTATCGAGTGGCGCGAGAAGAAGGCGAATTTATCGGAGGTGGGCTTTTCGTCAACCATGACGACGCAGGGTGCAGGTGTATGGATAGTTGGACTGTATGGGTATCACAAGAACAGAAAAGAGAAAATCAGCACGAGGAGAAAGAACTTGATGGGGGAAAAAGAAAAGAACAAGATCAAAAAGCCAAGATAAAACATGTTTGCTTGGCCCATGCCTCGCTCAAAGAGACGGACTTTTCACCACCTATGTACTAGAGAAATCGGATCTAAGCTTCAACAGCTTTAGCAGGGGGTGAGAAACCCCGAGCTCAGGACCGCAGCTCGTCGCTTGAAAGGGGCAGCTGCGTGCTATGGCTCGCCTCATTCCCATCGCGCCCTCCAATGAAAAAAGAGACAGCTGAGCGGAAACGGGGAGCTATACACGGATAAGTCTTCACGGCCTTCGCCGCCTTATGCGTTCCACCGGTGGGCGGTGGGTGGTGGGGTTGATACAAACGGGCTCCATTGTTCCTTTTTGGCCCAGCACGTATTACACGTATTTAGGAAAGCAATCGTGCTTTTTAAGAGAGGACTCGCGTCTCTGTTCGGTCTTAAGCGAATCCCTTGATCAATAACACCAATCGATCCCCCTTTCGGTCGCCCGTGCTGGACCCGAAACTGTGGCTCCAGCGTTTGTATTCAGGGTCAGCCCGTAAAGAGTGCCAAATACGCGGCTGTTGGATATATACGCGTATTCGGGAATCGGACCGCAAGGGATTTCTGCGTGAACCATGCGGGTCCCGCTCTGGCACATTCGTTGGTTTCCCCAAAATAGTCAGACTATTTCCCCATTGGGCTAGACCCTCGCCCTACTCCGTAATACGCGTATAACTGCGCCCCTTGCCTAGCGCCTTTCAAGACGACCTCGTCTCCAATTTTTCCGCTCCCACGGCATTTCCTCCAACGGGGCAAACATCACATCAAACTGGATCTTTCCTCTTTCCTTCCATTCCTTCCCCCTCTTGGAAAAAAGCTTATTTTTCCTCTTCTTTTCCTGGGCAACGGCACGGATGCAGAGATGGGATCACCCTTCCCCCAAAGAGAAGGAAGAAGCTTGATGAACCCTCAACATGGGTAAACGTCAAGGGGCAACGTCATCATGTAAGGCTCATGCAGCCGGAGCATGCAGTCCAAGTTGCCTTTGATTTGTTCCATGTTCCATACGCGGATTCTTCCCTTTCCCTCCCCCCCACTCTCTTATCACCTAGCCCAGGGCCGCATGGTGTGGCGTGGATCCGCTTCAGTCCAATGCCTGGGGAATGAGACTTGACTATGGATATGAGTGGAGCCGTCGTATTCCCGTATATACTTTGGTGTTGAGATGCGAGCCGTGTATTGGAGCGAATCTGGTAATTTGGGGAACATTCAAGGGCGGAGGAGTAAGGAGAAGAAAAACAATCAAAGACAAGCTCACTTCTCAACTTCATGTATAACTAAGAAGCTAAACCCACGCCGAGAGCTTTTATTATTCTTCTTTCGATCCAGGCTCGCAATACATCTCGTTGGGGTTCCCAAGACACCATTTTCTATACCAAGACCCTCTGACCCTTGGGGGCGCACACTCATTCATTGACACTACCACTACTTCTTCAACATCATCCACACACACACACACTCTCTCTCTCTCTCTTTTGTACTCGGCTTAACCTCTGGGACTACCCAGCACAACCGCACAAAATGGCGACCAACGGCGGTGAATTCGTCTTTTACCACTACACCCCGTCCGTCGCGGCGGCCGCCATCTTCACCGTCCTCTTCCTAGGTTCGGGCGCGTGGCACGTGAAGCAGCTCGTTTCCGCACGTGTCTGGTACTTTATCCCCTTCGTCATCGGGTGTGTCTGTAAGTGACCAAAGGGCGACTTTCGCTGCCTCCCCACCACCCCCAAGTTTTTCGATCCACCATGACAACAAACCTAGTGTTACTCAGGTCGCTAACCTTGCGCGCGCGCGCGCTTCTAGTCGAGGGTATCGGATACATAGGACGCATATTATCATGGGCGGAACGACCCGATTACACGAAAAACCCCTACATCATCCAGTCCATGATGCTTCTCCTCCCGCCCGCCCTCTTTGCCGCTTCCATCTACATGATCCTCGGCCGCTTGATCGTGCGCCTCGAAGCCGACGCCCTGTCCATTATCCGCCCTCGCTGGCTGACCAAATTCTTCATCTTTGGTGACGTCTTGTCGTTTTGTGCTCAAGGAGGAGGTAGGTTTTCTCTTCTAGACACTTGGTTGTCCTGCCATCTAGCCCTTGCTGTCGCGGCTATCATATCAAGAAAAGAAAAAGAAGCTAACCTTTTGTTTTCTTCTTGTTTCCAGGTGGTGGCATGCTCGCAACAGCCAAAAGCAAGGACGACTCCGCCGCGGCGAGCAAATCATCCTCGGCGGCCTCGGCATCCAGATCCTCTTCTTCGGCTTCTTCATCGTCGTCTCCTGCATCTTCCACCTCCGCATCCGCCGCCGCCCCACCCCCGCTCCCGCACCCTCTCCACCCCTGGCGCGGCCTCCTCTACGCCCTCTACGCCTCCAGCATCCTCATCATGATCCGTTCCGTGTTTCGCATCATCGAGTACGTCATGGGCTCCGACGGCGAGCTGCTCTCCAAGGAAGTCTACCTCTACGTCTTCGACGCCGTGCCCATGCTGGCCGTGTGCATCATGTTCAACTGGTTCCACCCCAGCCGCGTCATTAGCTCGCATGCTGCCGACAAGGAGCCCATCACCTCGGTCACCAGCCTCGAGGTCCTTGGCATTGACCCCGAGGACCCAGAGTCCGCCAGGCGCAAGTCGAAGCAGTGGAACAGCACGCCTCTGGTCAATTCCCCACAGAGCCCTCCCCACTCTAGTGGCCACAACCAGAGACAGCATCAGAATTACCAGCAATACAACCAAGAATACTCTTCCCAGTATAGGTAGAGAGATATGTTAAGCGTTTCGCTTGGGACTGCTAGCGAAGGTGAGGCCGGGGAGGGTGAGGGGAGTTGCAGCACGCAAGGATAGAGGAGTGGGAGCAAAGGAGAGACGGGGAGAATGTTTAGTTGGTATATCCTTGGCACTTTTTGTATCTTGGACTTGAAAAGCACGAGCGTGCTTCAGGAAACACGGCAAGGCTTTAGACAACCGGGTTGCGATTTTTCCAAATTCCTTTGCATCTATTCTAGTTCGTTTTTCGCGAGGCACGGAGTACGGGGATCTGTTTTTCTTTTTCCTACTTGCGTTCAAAACCTTTTGTTATTCCTTCCACCTCTAGTTTTGTTTAGTATCCATCCAATCTATAGATGACGCTTCCCTTCGCACTATCCAGATTCAGTACCCATTTCCCAATACCCTCCTCGGAGGTTTCTCTCTCTACATGTACCCGCCGCTTGTCTTGAGCCTAGTTTCTTTTGCCATTATAAATTTCGGTCAAGGAATAAAAGTACCCTAGCTCACTCCGTCTATATCCATTCCTTATCCGCCACTACAGACCTCGGCCACGCCAGCCACTCATCCCACTGCGGCCCCAGATACCGCGCGATCGATCCCACCATGTAGGCCCCCGCATCCCCCACCTGCCACATGGACCGCGCGCCGTGCAAAAACGCCCCGTAGTAGGCCAGCACCACGAGGGCTTCCGGCTGCCGCTGCTCTAGCAGGCCGAGAAACTCGGGCGGGCACATGATGGACCACGTGTTGATCGTATGCGGCGGCCCGCCGCCGCTGCTGGGCCCTTCCCCCATCTCCTCGTCCTCGTCCTCGTCCTCCTCGCCTTCTCCGCTATCGCTAGCACCTCCTTCTCCTCCTCCTCCTCCTCCTCCTCCCCGCACGAGCTGCCTTCCCGCCTCTCACCCCGCCACGCACGAATCTCATGAAAACCCGGCTGCAACCGATCCGCCGCGCGCACGAGCACATCCACCACAACCGGGTCGAGCGACGAGGAATTCCGCAAGCGGTCCCGCAGCGGCGCGCACTCGGGCCCGTCCGTATGGGCCTCGAGGTGCCGCGGCACCCAGGACAGGAAATGCCTGAGATCCGACTGCAGGAGGATGGGCCACGACGCCTTGGACACGACGGCGCGCAGGCCGTGGCGGATACGCGACGACTGGATGTACCGGTCGAGAAAATCCGCTAGGTCGGCGTCCCGCACCGCGAGCGCGTCGATGAGCATGTGGCGGCCGAGCAGGGAGGAGAAGAGGGTCATGGGCACGCAGTTGGCGGCGCTGACATGGACGGCGGCCCTGTTGAAGGCGGCGATGCCGGCGTTTTGTAGCGCCACGGAGCGGGCGAGGTACTCTCGAGACCGCGCGGGCCGCAGCACCGCCAAGTGGCGCGCGGCGAACGCGAGGATCTCGTGCAGGAGGTAAGGGGCGTCGGCGCAGCTGTCGAGGGCCATGCGCGTGGCCTGGCCGCACATGCTCTCGTTCATCTCGGGGACGGCGTGGCTGAGGTCGAAGTGGATGAGGAGCTCGGTGTGGTGCAGGTTCACGGGGGTTCTTCCGGCTGTGCTTCGGCGGCAGCGGTGGTGGTGTACTGGGAGATCGGGGCCGGGGCCTGCGGGTTGGCGGCGAGGAGCTCCGTCACGAGATCGGCGAGGTTGACGGGCTGGGAGGGGAACTCGGGTTGGGGCGGGGGCTGGAGCTGGAATTGAACTCGCCTTGGCGTTCGGGGCCTCGGGATGGGGTGGTGGGGGTGGTGCCGCCGGCGCGGCTGCCGGAGGGGCTGGATTTCTTGTCGGGGTATCGGCAGGAGCGGTCCGTGATTGTGCAATTGGAACATGCCGGGCGATTTTCGTCACACTGGCAGGTCGGGGCGAAATGGGGGAAGAGAAAGGCTCCCGCCCCCGGAACAGAAATCAGATGGAACAATCCAAAAGAATTGGTGCCAAGGGCGATCTGGGAATGATTGCAGGGGGGCATAAGAAATGGCTGTTGGGGACATGACATACCTTGATGTGACGCTGCTTGCACTCGACGCAGCCGTTCCGCGACTTTTTGTGGCTCCGGCGAAGCATGCCATTCTGGCGTGCGCCCCCGACCGGGGCACTCCTCGGGACCGGGGGCATTTTAGGTCCTTCTTTTCTTTTCTTTTGCTGCAGGGGTGCTGCTGAAGGGGAAGAGGACTCAGGGTAGGGCGTAGTGTGGGCTGGCTCCCTCGATACTAAGTAGTTGTTGCTCGCGTGGTATAATTGATCCACAATCAGCTACAGGATTTGCGGTGGTTTGAGGTCGTATCCGGATCTGGCCGGTCACGGGATTTTCGGAGTTGGTGACGAACGTTTACGGTGGCTTACAGTGGGTGAACGCGTCAGCGCAAAGGTGTCGTTGATGCTAGCTGGAGTTGGGGTTTCACCACTAACGTTGATAAGGCAGCGGACAAGGCACTCTTTGGTTGCTTTGTGCTGGAAGTTATTATCAATCAACGTGTGTGTTCAACGATTGCAGGGTTTTTAGGGCGCCGAATGGTCTGTGCTTCACCGAGCATGAACGAACGTGGGCGCTAATAATAGCGGCTTTACTGTTTCCGTCTCCAGCCACAACGCCCACGAAGCACGAAGTGAAGGCGGATTGCGTGAAGCTGCACCAATTAGAGAATGCTAGGTCCCATGGAAGGATCCAGAGATAGATAGAGCTCATGGTTGCTGTATGTTGAAGTTACTGCGGACCAAACTAAAAATATGTACAGATCAATGCCGCCTTGCTTAGAAAGGCGGTAGTGAGGTAAAATAAGTGACAGGAAAAAAAGAAGCACGTATATACATATAGAGTGATGCATTTATATCCGCGGACGTATATGTGACGTTTGAAAAATAAAATGTAAGAAAGGACTTTATGTGGAGGATGCCATGAAGCAAAGGGAGAGTCTTCCCCACGCACCCTCCGCTAGATCCCTCTCTTTTTGTCTCCTACACAGGTAGGTAGGGTATCGATGACTGTTTAGCTTAGCAAATGTTCTTGCTCGCATTCCCGGTAATGGACCACTTGATATTGGTACCGCAGGGGCTCTCGCGCACCGAGTTGCCGTTGACGGCCAGAGTCACAGAGATGTCCTTGTTGTTGGGGAACTCGGAGCGGGCAGCCAGGCGGACCTCGCCACCGCCCTGACGGTGCCGCCGAGGATGGCGAGGTTGTAGCAGTTCTCGATCAGAATCGCGTTGTTGCCGTTGTTCGACAGGTCGACGCTGGTGATGGTGGCACCGCCCGACTGCGACACGCAAAGATGCCGCGGCCCCCACCGCGCGAAACCACCTTGTCGACGAACACATTCGTCGTGTAATCCCCGCCGGACCGCTGCCCGTTGTTGTTGGCCATGCGAAAGGTAGCATACCCGTTACCCGCCGCCACATTGGTGCCGTCCACCAAGCCCACGCGAGCATTGGTCGTCGCCTGAAGCAGGAGGCCGCACTCGCCCACGTCGCGCGCAATAACCTTATTGATGGTGAGCCCGTCGATATTCCACGTCTCCACCGCGTGGCTCCCCGCGCCCGTGACCGTAATCGTGTCCATGGCCACGTTGTAGTTGGCCGCGTTGTCCCTGTCGAAGCGGATGCCCAGCCCGCCGCTGAGGTTCATGGTGATTTGCCCCAGCGACAAGTTGCGCGTGCCGTAGAAGCGCAGCCCAAAGTACGGGTTACCCGTCATGGTCAGGTAGGGGATCTTGACGTCGTTGGTGTTGACCGACTCGATGGCGCCCCGCCCCGCCTTGTTGCCCACGTTGATGGTGCCGCACCCTTCAAACGTCTTGCCGCTCGCGATGCTGATGGTGTTGGCCCCGATGGACCCCGAGGCCATCACGGCCACGCGCTGCCCGCTCGAGATGGAGTCGAGCGCCGCTTGATCGCCGCGCGGTAGTCGGAGCCCGTGTATACGGTGCTCGAGCCTTTGCTCGCCGTGAAGGAGCTGCCGGAGCCCGTGACCGTTGCGTGTGGGGAGCCGGAACCGCATTGGCCGTGGACGACGGAGGCGAGGGCGAGGGCCGCCGCGAGGAGGGAGAACCGAGCCATTGTCGTGGATGAGCGAAGAAGAAGAAGACAAGTTTGGGGGTTTTTAAGCAGGATAAGGGCGGCGGAGGGAGGTGAAGAAACGAAACAAGGGAAGGACCGGCACCGGGAAAAGAAGGGGAGGGAGATGTGTTGGTAATATATGTGAGTTTAATACCAGCTTGGCGGAAGGAATCTCCGAACGAAAACGAAAACCGGGATACAGGGGCATCTACCCCCTTTATCTATCGAGAAGACAGACTCGATAGAGGATGTTTCGCATACATGTAGGAACCGTGCTCCATCCATTCTAAAATCCTACTTCCACCAGCCAAAGTGCGGTGTTAGACCCCATCTTGGGCCCCTATACAAGTGTAGAGTAGAAAAGAGCGGTGCTCTCCCCGCCCGTGCGGAGTGGTAGCGTAGCACCGCCCGGCACATCGTCGGGGCACGACGGCGCGGGGATTGATTAAAAAGGGCAAGGGTGGGGTTACCTTGTTCATGCTGTCTGTCCCTCCAAGCCCCTTGGAGCGGATGGGCTGGCGCCAAGCCTGCGAACAACTCGAAGATTGGAGGAAAAAGGAAAAATCAAGAAACGCGGAGGAGGGGGAGAAATTCTCCTCGACGGAACGGCAAGCTTTGGGACGATGGGTGACCCACCCCCGTCGTTGGGCAATGAAGCAAATCTTCTGCCGTGCGAGCAAAACTTGAAGAGTGGCCGGCGGTTGACCCGAACCCCAATCAGTCAATAAAACCCGTGTGGCCTGTTTTGAATAGTTGTATATACCAACGATCCACTTCTTGGGGGAATCTCTTGGCTGCGTTTCCGTACACTTGACGTCGATAGATCAATGTACATTAAACCTTCCATTAAGACCACACTATAAAGTCATGGCGGTAGATTGGAGCGCGTTTGGCAGAGAGTCGTGCCGCATCGGAGCAGGGGACCACCTTCTCCTGTCCCGCAGTCACTCGGAGGCAGCAATTAATTCGAATCTCAACGGGTTCTGCTGGGCGGAATTTGACGTAGCGCACCAATTCGAAGCGAGCAACTGCGCCGCCTTACCTCACCCATGGCAGGGCAAAATGGTACGCGATGGCCAGCCGGCGCGGATCTGGTGAAACGTGCACCATGCCACTGCAATCAATTTTTTTGTTCTTGCTCATCACTGGCCCTCTCTTGGCAATAGCTTGGAACACAGCCAAAAGGGTCGGGCAACCCATCGATTTACGGGAGTGGAGACTGCGTGATGCGGGGCACATTGCATTGGAGCAATATATTGTAGACAACTTGTTTTGTAGAGATCCATCTCAAGGTAGTAGTCGTCGTCGATTTCGGAAACCGTCCGGAGTGGTATCCAGAACGGGAGAGCTGAGCTTGGAGTTCTACTGGTGGCAGGTGCAACTACTTGGCCGAGACACGGAAGACCACCCGAATAGGAGTAGCTTTGGCGCGGCACGCAACGAATTGATAATGACCCCGAGATATATTGATCGATCGCAAAGGAAAACTCACGGTGTCCATTTTGAAGATGCGTCCGATATCTCCACAATCGTTGCTCGCCCGGCAGTGTATTTTATGCTTATTGCTGTCGGCAAGCGCCGAGGGAACCTGAGCCGACGGCCAGAACTGTGGGGTTAGCACCGGGACTAGGCACCCGGGAATGCTTTGGTGGCATTGCCTCCCAGGCGCGGCTCGGTGCATCTCGCTGAAAATGCCACGAATAGTTGGGAGAGTGGCCCGCGATGGTGTCCGGCCAAGCTATGTTCAGTGACGGCGCACACCACGGTGCATTGTTGTACGAAAGGGACTCGTTGGATGAAAGCTCGTCCGACGGAAGGACATGCTCCTGGATGGCGACTCTGGAGCAGTTTGCGATTCGGATTGTTTGTTAATTCACACACACGCGGACTAGTGTTGGCAGCGCTGCTGGTTCGTGGACGAAGTGCGACTATTGAGAAGGGCCGAAGAAGCTCAACAAAACGAACACATTGTGCATCGCGAGATCAACGTACGGCTGGAGCGGTTCCCTGCCATGGGACGTTCGCAAATCGTGGTCGAGGCTAGTCTCGTTGTTAGCAATAAGGTAATCTGTAGATGGAACCTGGCGTACTTGTGCCGCCATCGGGGTCTATTAGACCGAGAGCACTTGAGGGAAAGGCAGAGACGAGGGCAGTGGGCGTGGTTTGCGGATACATATCATCCACTCGCTTTCGAAAGGTTGGGACTGGAACCTATGCTCGGAGGTGGAATGATGAGAAGCCGTGAATATTGGCTAGTGGAGTCAACTTGGAAAGTAGTTGGATACAACGCGCAGAGTTAGTATGGGGAAGTCGGAGTGAAGCCGAGAATCTCGCACTTGTGCTAGGCGCTCAGAGATATCCCGACACGCCGAACACACCTGATAGGTTGGACCGAAATAACGTGCAAGACCATTTCACGGGTTTCTGACCGCTGATTTCCCACGGTCTTGTGCTTTGATTCGACGGAAACCTGGCCTATTTGGCCCGGAGCTTCCAATATATATCAGCGTCGGGAGACCAAACCGTCACCGCTATGCTCCAACCTGACTTCCCCTACGTAGACTCGCGCTCAAAGTGCTAGTTGTGCGAATGTCTACCAAGTGAGCCTTTCCAACGGGGAATCGGCCTTGGGCGAAGAATGGACGTAGAAGAACTGATTTGCCTGGCCATTCCCTAGGCACGAGTGGTGACTCAACGGAGTTGTTATGCGAGACTTTGGCGTGACGATGTCCACTTTTCTTGCTCTTTTTACCTCTTTTATCTTCTCTCTTTCATATTTTGACCATTTAAGTCAATGACCATGATGTATCATGATCGTCATTGTGTTGAGGGCAGGGAGAGGCTATGTACCGTCTGTCAAAGAGGGCACCAGTTACCAACCAAGCAGAGTAATATCCAGTTGTTGGCTTTGTATCGCTCGATCTATGACCTAAGACGATCAAGACCAGTCGAAAATATTCGTCATGGTAATAATGCGCCTTATAACGACCGCCGTTTACATCAGCATCAAGGATCCTGGCATCCGAGCGCAGTCGTACGCGCCAAACTCCCCAACCTCACGGTATTGTTCCCCGTGCTTACTTTCCAACACAAGCTCAACTTATCCATATGGATACAAGAAAGAAACAAATCCCAGGTCGTCATAACCCGTCAATTCCTTATTCGGCGAACGATGGGCGGGAGAGGCACCGAGCACACCCCCTCGCCAAAATAGCCGAGAGCGGAAGCGAGGAATGGCATGCCGAAATTGGTCATCACCCTGCAGGCTCACACCCATTCCCAATCCTGCCCTGCAACCACGACTCATCTTCGAGCATGGATCAGGACGGGCTCTGGCGGGGAGCGGCTCGCATATGACAAAGCAAGCAGGGTTGTTTCCCACTCCAGCGAAGGGAAAGAAATGAAGAAAACCGGCTACACGAGCTTCCATCGATGTGGTTTGATCTTTGCCTGGGACGAGTTGGATTAAACGGCCCATGGCCTGGTCTGAAGATGTTTTGTGATCCCGAAATCTTTGTAAGAAACTCGCCGGCATCGTCCGCGCGGGAAGTGCACCCCGGCTGTTCTTACCAAGCATGCCTCCCGACACAACACCATCGTTCGTTGTGATTTAATTTTGTTCTCTCCCTCATGATCACACCTCTTCGAGAGAAAGGATGTAAGCAAAGCATCGTTCAATTTTTAGAATGTGATCCAAACGTACTTATAAGACGTGGCTGCTTCCGGCGCACCTCTCATAGCCCCTGTATTCTCTTGTCAACCACTTCGTTCCCCAAGCCAAGAAACGCCATGCGACCCACCACAGCCCTAGTCGCAGTGACCCTCTCCACCCTCGGAGGGGTCACCGCCCGCACCCGGACTACGTCATCGCCGGCGCCGGCACCGCCGGTCTCGTAGTGGCGAACCGCCTCTCCGAGGACCCGAACGTATCGGTCGTCGTGATCGAGCCCGGCTCCGATCAGCGGACCAACCCCAACGTCACCAACCCGGATGCCTTCCTGCAGGCCTTTGGCACCGACCTCGACTGGTCCTACCCCGTCGCTCCGCAGCCCGGGGCCGGGGGCCAGAGCTTCGTGCTGCACCAGGGCAGGGCGTGGGGTGGCAGTAGCGCCATAAACGGTAAATCGCAACGGTCCCCTTTCCCCTCCCACCTTTGGAGTCTTATCCCCTCTAAATGTTCATTTTTAATCTCCTCTTCCTAGGCATGGCGTATATACGCGGCCACAAAGCCCAAATCGACGCCTGGGAAACCCTCGGCAACCCCGGCTGGAATTGGGACGCCCTCCTCCACTACGCTCTCAAGTCCGAGAACTACACCATCCCCAACGACTCCCAGCTCGCCGCCGGCGCCACCTACGATCCCGCCTACCACGGCTTCGAGGGCCCCGTGCACACGGGCTACCCGCTCAGCCTCAGCAACGGCTCCGCATCGCCCGTCATCATCGCCGCCTGGGAGAGCCTGCTGCTCCCGCACAACCCGGACCTGAACGGCGGAAACACTCATGGGTTTTCCATCGGCCCACTCACCGTGGAGGCCGCGACTAACCTGCGCAGCGACGCGGCGAGCGCGTATTATTCCCCTATCGAGGCTCGTCCCAACTTGAGCATCCTCCGGGGCACCGTGAAGCGCGTGGTCTGGGACAAGAAGATGAAGAAGAACAACCGCCCGGGCGCTGGGAAGGAGGATCTGTTGGTGGCGCGAGGGGTAGAGTACATCACGGACAAAGGCGAAACTCGCATTCTTTCCGCCGCAAAAGAGGTTATCCTCTCCGCCGGCTCCGTGAGGACCCCGCTCATCATCGAAGGTTCAGGCATCGGGAACCCAAAGTATGTCTTCCTCCAGCAAAGAGGGACCACCCCCTCCCCCTACCTCGTGACGCATAGAATGAAGTCGCTCTAACAAGCCCTACCCCAGATTACTCAAAAAGCTCGGCATCCGCAGCGAGGTCGCCCTCCCCGGCGTGGGCGAAAACTACCTCGACAAGGCCAGCCACATGATCGGTTTCGCCGGGAGCCTGGGCCCCACCGGTGGGGCCTACCACGCCTTCGCCACCATGGACGATATCTTTGGCGACTCCGTCTCCGACGTCGCCGAGTCCGCTCTCGCCAAGCTACCCCAGTGGGCCGAAGCCGCCGTGGGCGACGCCGCCTGGACGGGGCTCGATGTGGCAGCCATCGAGAAGCTCATGCGCATCCAGCACCGGCTCCTCTTCCGCCAGGGCGTCCCCGCCGCCGAGATCCTCGTCGGCTCCATCCCCGGCGCGGACGACATCTCTGTCCTGTTCTCGCAATACTGGCCCCTCGTGTCGTTTTCTCGCGGGAGCGTGCACCTCGGCTCGGTGGACGCCATTGATAGCCCCGTCATCGATCCCCGTCTTTTCCTCGCCGATTTCGACGTGGATGTGTCGATTGCCGCGGGTCGGCTTGCGCAGGGATTCTGGCTCTCGGACACAGCCCGGCCCTTCGTCACCGCGCCGATCCTGCCTGGCGAAGACTTGCTGCCCAACGATGCTACTGCGGAGCAGTGGGAAGCTTTTACAACAACGTCAGGTAAGCACCCCTCCCTCCGATCTCCTATCCCTTATATAAAAAAGAATTGTAATCCAAGAGAGGAGGAGGAGGCTAACTTTGTTACTCGCCGATAGTCATCCCTCATTCTCACGGCCTTGGTAGTGCGTCGATGATGGCGCGAGAGCTCGGCGGAGTCGTCGACCCTGAGCTGAGAATCTACGGAACTGCCAACGTTCGCGTGGTCGACGCCTCGGTGATACCCCTGCACATTAGCGGGCACATGGTGGCTACAATCTATGCCGTGGCGGAGCGCGCTGCCGACTTGATCAAAGGCAAGATCTGAGGTAGCTCCGCAGCAACTCGATTTTGTGCATGTCTAGAAATCAAAGTATATATGGTAGCTTAGGCAAGCGATTAATACACTTCTATCCGCCGTTCTATACTTCTATTCGCCCCATTTCCATCGCTCTAGTTGAATTCCCCAAAAGCTGCCGTCAGCTATTTTCTACCTTGGCCATGAAACATTGACTTAAAAGCATCCTCAATCATCTTGAATATCTGACAGTTCTGATCGAACCAGTCTCCAAGCTCGTTCCCCATATCCATCTCCCAATCGGGGCCCTCGCCGCCCTGGACCTTTGTAGGTACCCCCGCGCCAGCCCCATCGACGAATTCCTCGTGCGAGTTACCCCTGCCTCCCTCCCAGCTCGGCGCACCCTCCGTCGGTAGCCCGGCCTCGGCAAGGAGCATCTCGAACGGCGTATCCGGTATACGGCCCACCGCTCTCCCCAAGGGCCGAGCCACCGGCCGCATCGTAGATTTGCTCGCCACGTCGTACATGAGGGTGAAGACGTGGAGCTGCCGGCGGAAGACCTCGGGGATATCCGTGGGAAGCATCCGTAGGGTCTCAATCACGGATGCGAGGTGTTCTATGTGGCGGGAGTCGCCGGTTTCTATGGCGTGGCAAAACATGATGATAAAAGGTGTAAAAGGGGACGACATGATGGACCTGGTTTGGTGTTTACAAAGATTAATATGGTGTAGAGAGATCGGTGTCGTGTTTGACGTGAGGGCTTACCATTGGATAAAAACTTCTAGGATCGGGGCCTTGGCCGCTCTGAGCATTGCTACGCACTTCTTGTGCTCTTCGAGACAGGCCTTGGCCGCCGCTAGGCATTCGTTGGAGAATGCAGACTTGGCTCCGGGCTCGACGGGGATGGCGCGGCAGACTAAAGTGAGGATGGAAAAGTAGTAGATCTGGTCGGCGTTTATGAAGAGTTCGTAAGTCGTCTCACCGAGGGCCTTTCGCTGGTACGCTAGAAACCGTTCCTGTGAGCAAGAGGGGATGGTTAGTTAGGTCAACTTTGGAAGAACAGTCCCAGATGGTTGTTTTTATGTGCGAGGTCGTGCTTTGTGTCAGAACTCGACAAGGGCAAATGGCAAAGTCTTGATAAAAAGAATTTCTTACCTCGAGTGGGCTCGTACTCAGGAGGATGCGTTCGAGTTCCCGAGCCAGAGTCCTCGCCTTGGCCCCCTCACAGCATCACTCTCTTCGAGCGCAGCGGGGCTGTAGATCTCGTCGTACACGTGGCCCTGAAGACACGCAAACTCGGTCCACTTGGGAACGATGCCGTAGATGATATCGCCAAAGATGGCTTGCATCTGCTCATCCGAGAAGGAGAGCTTCACGTCACACAGCATGGAGGGCCGGTTGAGCTTGAGGGTGAGTGTTCTTTCCACGATGTAAAGGGACCAGAAGAGTCGTATCTTGCGGCCGTGCTGTCCCCGCGTGGCGGCGGCTGCCTGGCCGTGGCCGCTGAGCAGCCGGTGGAAACCGAGGGTGATGCATATCTCGGATGCTGCGGTGATGCAGCGCCACGCACTGGTGACTCGGCATCTGGAGAGATAGTAGGAGGACTAATGTCCTCGATTAGTCTATGCAAACAACGTGGCGGTAGGACAAATCACGGGGACTAGCGGAGTTTGAAAGGAAAGGTTGCCTTGCGGATGATGCAACTTACGGCCATATATAGCGCGAGGGCGTAGTCAGAAGTGACCGGGAGGTGAAACGGGAGGCGCGAAAGCACACATTCTAAACTCGTCCGACACAGTAAAGTCTGCGATTCCAGCTCCTCCCGCACGGCTTCATCCGGTTCCAAGCTCGCAATCTGCGGAAGGATGCGGTGGAGGCCGCACAGGACGATGATGAGGTCGGCGAGGGTGGGCTTTCCCGAGTACACCGTCATGAGGTACTCGAAGAAGTAGTTTATGCTCTCAAACTCCATGCTCCAGAAGAACGTGAGCAGCTTGTCTTCTGTAACCTCGGGGGTTTGGAGGACCCGACAGTTCCTCCGTCTGACGTTAGTACAGAGTACTTGTGGAAGTGGATAACAAGGCCTAGTGACGCACCTCGAACTTTCTGCAGCGCAGACATGGCAAGCTGTATCGGCGGCAAGTCCGGCTTGCAGAAGGCGGGTCGGCAGTCAGCGCCCGCCGGAGGGCTCGGGTCGGGCTCGTCACCGTGGACCTCCAAGGCGCGGCGCAGGGCGTTGAGGCTCGATTTCACCTCGGGTAGCGCCTGCAGCGCGTTTGTCGTATCGACAGCCTGTTCGGCAAAGCTAGTGGCGAAAGCGGCGTCTTCCATCAGCGCCGGCTCCTCTTCGACCCTCGAAGGTGTAGTTGTCCCGTCACCGTACTCGCTGCTTCCCGTGCCGAGCGGGGTCAGCGTCCGCGGGGCCGAGCGGCCTTGGCTAACTCCACGAGACGAGGCGGCGGTGGAGTCCCGCTCCGCGGGCGAGGGGGGCGTCGAGATTGTCGAGGGCGAGGCATATGCGGTCCAGCTTGTCTGAAATCTCTTCCAACTTCGACTCACTGCCAATTTGGGTTAAGTGGCTTCCTTTGCGAACTGGACGGGAAGGGGTGGATGGGGTGAGGGCTTGGCTTACTATCCGTCTGAGACGAGAGCGCGTTGGCGCTTTACCCTTTGCTTGATACCAAAGGGATAGGTACACTGGATCTGTTTACGGGAGCAGGCGCTGCAGGGGTTTTGACGGTCACATCGTATCTACGTTTGGGCACTCAGTTAGACGAGGGGTATGGAAGACCCCACTCCCCGGGGTGCATAAGATCCTGGTGCTATGCTATGCAAGACGGGATAGTTGCTTTATTGTAAGCTACTTTTAGGGTAGGGGATGGGGAGCGGCAAGGGGGTTTCTCGCCGAGATGGATGGATGGATGAGACTTTACCTTGCGTCGACGACAGTAGTCACACTATACACCCGGTTCGCACATGTTAGTAATAAGAAATCAGCGTCTCCCGAATGGCCGCCAAAAGTATCAGCTAGGGAAGCCTAGGGGTAGAGGGAGTATCAATGTACCGATAGTTGGTGGGCTGGGGCCTTGTGAGCACGGTTATCCGAGCCTTCGGCCCCCTCAAGGTCCGCCCCGAGTGCGCTTGCGTCTGAGTTGGGTTGGTCCATGTGGCCTCCTTGCAAGACACGCTGCACGCTGCGGTAAGGGTAACGGAGGCGGAGGCGGAGGCGGCGCGCGCGGCAAACTGACGGCCCGCACTTCTTGAAGATGGGTGCGTCCCCCCTGTACGATATGTATACCTTGTTTTAACCTCTGGGGGCTTGTGATAGGTGGTTGGCTATGCACTACACTATCCGAGAAAATAACAGGTGACTTTGTTGGTAGCTACAATGTAAACCGGCGTGATGTCAGGAAGTTTGCGCCGCACCGTTCCGCAGGCCCGTTTTTTGTTCAGTCAGCTTCTTCGGTTCAAGTGGACGGCGGGCTCCGAAGATCGCCACCTACAGCCGACTCCTCGCAATCGCAAGGTAAAAAGAAGCAAGTAATGAGTTGAAATGATAGGGCTGCGTCAATCATCGATCTGATCTGATTAATTGATCCAGAAAAAGAAAGGGTTGTTTGGTGCAGGGAAAGAGGATTGTTCCAGGACGGACGGCGGATTCCCCACCTCCGCGTCAATTGCGCAGCTTGACGTTCACATTTGTTCTGCGCTGCGGCCTCTCGGTGCCTCCGAAAGACCGCAGTTCACCCGCTCTGCTGGGACGGACAGGAACATTGAACACACCACCACGCGTAACTAAGCCAAGAAAGCGGATCCCGTCAAGCCTCAAACGGGAGCAATGACGCCTCTTTTGTCCGTCCCCGGACGTTTCGGGGTCAACGTCCGTTCAAGATAGCAACGAGTTCAAGATTTTGAGTTTGCTTTCTTCTTTTGGGGGCCTGAAGCCCTCGAAAAGATTCTTGGGTGTAGATCTTTATGTTGTTATAATAAGTATAAATGCAATTGATTTCTTGTAACCCACGACTCTCTGTTTGGTGTATAATCTCATTTCTCTCTCTCCTTGCTCGTTCTATATATGCCTTTCTCGCATCTAAATGACCAACAACAGGTTATAACATCTATTTCTAACCAAGCTTCATGTTCCGGATATCACCATGACCGTTGATACACAGCGGGAATCCGAAAGCGCTCTTCGGGAAAAATCACAACGCCGCCACCGGAGGAGCCAAAAGACCTCGAGCCGGGGAAAAAGTGGTCGAGCTTCAAAAGCTATCTAGTACGCTTGATTCTATCCGCCCCTCTCTCTCTCTCTTATTAACAAGCGTAAACAGAGGGTCTATCGCTATGGCAGTCCCCTTGACTACACTCTCGGTGCAATCGGCATCATCGCCGCCATCGCCTCCGGCGTGGCTCTTGCTCTCGTCAACGCCGTCTTTGGCGGCTTCGTCACCGCCATGATCGATTTCGCGACTTCGGGCACCCTCCGAGCAACTTCATGTCCGAAGTATCCAAATACGCGTAAGCACCAGCATTTCAGTTCCTATTGTTCAAAGAAGCAGGAGAAGAAGCACAAATATGGAGCACGTAGAGATGAGCTGACTAGTCTGGATATACAGCCTCTACTTCGTCTACATCGGCATCGCCCGCTTCGCCCTCACCTACATCTACTCCACCCTCCTTACCTTAGTCGCCCTCCGCATCACCTGCAACCTCCGCGGCCAGTACCTCCGCTCCGCCTTCAGCCAAAACGTCGCCTTCTTCGACCTCGGCGGCGCCGGCTCCATCTCCATGCAAGCCACCTCCAACGGGAAGCTCATCCAAAACGCCCTCGCCGAGAAGCTCGGCCAAGTCTTCCAGGCCCTCAGCACCTTTGTCGCCGCCTTCATCATCGCCTTCATCAGCCAGTGGAAGCTCACCCTCATCCTCATCTGCGTCGTCCCCGCCCTTTCCCTCATCGTCATGATCTCTAGCGCTCTGGATGCCAAGATCGAGACCAAGATCCTCCAGACCTATGGCCAGGCCGGCGCCTACGCCGAGTCCGTTCTCTCTAGCGTGCGCACCATTCACGCCTTCAATCTAGGCCCCGCATGGCGGAAAAGTACGCCGCATACACCGAGGCCGCGAGCCTCCTGGGCCACAAAAAGAACTCCCTCTACGCCGTGCTCTTCGCCGGCGAGTACTTTGTCATCTTTGCGGGGATCGGCCTCGCCTTTTGGCAGGGCATCGCCATGATTGTTCGCGGGGAGGTGGATGATATCGGGACCATCTTCACGTACGTGCTCTTATTGTTACAGGTGCTCGCTCACCAAGCTGTTTGTTTTACACCCTCTTGACTAATGATCCGAATCTTTCTTATAGGGTCATTTTCTCCGTCGTTATCGCCGCCTCCACCCTCAATTCCGTCGCACCCCATACCATCATCTTTAGCCGCGCTTCGACGGCTGCCTCCGAACTGTTCCAGCTTATCGACAGGCGCTCCCAAATTGACCCCTTCAGTGACGCGGGAGAGATCCCGACTCAGGTCAAGGGCACGGTGGAGGTTAAAAACATCTATTTTAGCTACCCCAGTCGGCCCAACACTCTCGTCCTAAACAACTTCTCGCTCACGGTCCCGTCAGGAAAGGTTACTGCGCTTGTGGTAAGTACTCCGCAACTATTTCCTATCCTCCATCGAAGAAAGATTGGAACTCAAACTCTTTGAAGGATCCAAGCTAACTGAGGGACTTCCATTACAGGGCGCCAGTGGTTCTGGTAAGAGCACAATCGTCGGTCTCCTCGAACGGTGGTACAACCCCAACTCCGGCTCCATCACCCTCGACGGCATGCGCATCGACGCCCTCAATCTCCGCTGGCTCCGCACCAACGTCCGCCTCGTCCAGCAAGAACCCGTCCTGTTCGACGGCTCCGTCTACGAAAACATCTGCCACGGGCTCGCCGGCACGCCCTGGGAGTCCGAGGGCCCCGAGGAAAAATGGAGCGCATCCAGGCAGCGGCGCGCATGGCCTTTGCCCACGACTTTATCCAGGAGCTTCCGCAGGGCTACCAGACGCGCATCGGCGAGCGGGGCGGCCTGCTTTCCGGCGGGCAGAAGCAGAGGATCGCCATCGCCCGCAGCATCATCTCCGAGCCCAAGATCCTCCTGCTCGACGAGGCCACGAGCGCGCTCGATCCCCAGGCCGAGGGCATCGTGCAAAGGGCCCTTGACGAAGCCTCCAAGAATCGAACCACCATTGTGATTGCTCACAAGCTCAAGACAATACAGCAGGCGGACAACATCGTCGTCCTGAAGCAAGGTACCATTATCGAGCAAGGCACGCATCACCAGCTGGTGGAACACGGCGGAGCCTACGCGTCGCTTGTTCGGGCCCAGGAACTCGCGCCGGATAAGGCCAAGAAAACCAAGGCGGCCAAGGAGGAAGCCGTCCCTCCACCACCCATGGAAGACTCGCCTGCTGGCCATAAACTGAAAAGTTTCATGTTCAAGACCCGGTCTGCAACAGCACCGGGAACTCGGGAACCGCACGCGACAACGGTCTCAGTAGACAAAGAAGATTACACCCTGTACAAGAGGACTGGCTTGGTCAAGTCCGTCTCCAAGCTCATCGTGGCGACGCCTGAGGCTAAATGGTGGTATATCTTAACTTTTGTGACGTGCGTTGTCGGAGGTAAGTTGAAATAGTTGGTGAACACGACCGCCCACAACGAGAATCGCTATCACTAATACACTCGACCTCTGATCCGGTATATAGCTGGCGTATACCCGGGACAGGCTCTCCTCCTAGGCCAGATTATGGATATATTCGGGTCGGATGACATGCAAAAACGAGGAAATTTCATTTCCCTCATGTTCTTTGTCATGGCCATTGGCCTGTTCATCGTGTACGGTATCTTGGGCTGGTCAACCAATGTAATTTCCCAGGCAAGTCTCCTCCTTCCATCCATATTTCTTGAGCCAGGTAGCCGTAGTGCTGTTTCCGTCCCTTGAGGCTTTTCTCTTAGCAGGATACTAACACAGCACCCAACCTCCCAGGTCTTCGCCGCCAAAGTCCGCCGCGACACCTTCACCGCCTTCCTCCGCCAAGACCTCCGCTTCTTCGACCGCCCCGAAAACACCGTCGGCGCCCTCACCAGCCGCCTCGACACCCACGCCCAGGCCATCTTCGAGCTCATGGGCTTCAACGTCGCCATCCTCCTCGTCGCCCTCATCTCCGTCCTCGTCAGCAGCATCCTCTCCATCGCCGTCGCCTGGAAGCTCGGCCTCGTCGGCGTCTTCGCCGGCCTGCCCCCATGCTGCTGGCCGGCTACGTCCGCATCCGCCTGGAGACCAAGATGGACGCGGATGTGGATCGGCGCTTCTCCAAGAGCGCTTCCATCGCGTCCGAGTCCGTTACGGTCATACGCACTGTGTCGTCCCTTGCTATCGAGGAGGACGTGCTTCGCCGCTATCGGTTCGAGCTGGATACCGCGGTCAAGAGGTCTGCGCCCCAGCTGTTTAGCATGATGATTTGGTTCTCCCTCACGCAATCGATCGAGTACTTTATCCTTGCACTCGGATTTTGGTTAGTCACCTACTACCTCACTCCCGCCTTCATCCTACGCGACACAAATTGGCGTGCTCTGTTCTAACTATTGCCTACAGGTGGGGATCCAAGCTCCTGGCCGAGCGCTTTATAACTCTTGACCAATTCTTTGTCTCCTTCATGGCAGTGTATTTCACAGGCCAAGGTGCAGGTCTGCTCTTCAGCTTCGCCAACAGTAAGCCGTGCCTCCCACCGCGTCGAGAACGAATTCGCCAACTAACACATGTGATCTAGGCTTCACAAAGGCCAACGCCGCGGCAAACTACTATTTCTGGCTTCTCGCCCTCGAGCCATCCATACGGGAAACCCACGAGAACCGCACAAACACCCCTGCCGACGGCTGCCGAACCTACGATTTCCAAAACGTCGAATTTGCGTACCCCCTCGCCCCCAAAAACCCTGTCTTGCAAGGGATATCTCTCAAGGTAGGTTTAGCCCATTCATCCTAGGAAGCCCGCACGGTGACGAAGTCTAACAAGCTTCATAGATCGATCCTGGTCAATTCGTAGCCTTTGTCGGCGCGTCAGGTAAGCCACATCCCCCAGAGATATCACGCCAAGTCAAAAGTTCTTTTCCGCTAACACAAATTAACCCCAAAGGCTGTGGGAAGAGCACCGTCATATCCCTCCTAGAGCGCTTCTACGACCCCACGCAAGGCCAAATCGTCATCGACGACCACCACGCCCTCACCGAGCTCAACCCCGCCTCTACAGGCAACACGTCTCCCTCGTCCAGCAAGAGCCCACCCTCTTCCCTGGCACCATCCGCGAGAACATTGCCCTCGGCCTCGACAAAGATGGCCAACAGTTTCCCGAACAAGAGGCGGCCATCGAGGCAGCGTGCCGCGCTGCCAACGCGTGGGACTTTGTCTGCTCCCTCCCCGAAGGCCTGTCGACCCCTGCGGCACGGGCGGCAGCCAGCTCTCGGGCGGGCAGCGTCAGCGAATCGCCATTGCGCGCGCCCTCGTCCGCAAGCCTAGGGTCGTCCTGCTCGATGAGGCCACCAGCGCGTTGGATACGGAGTCGGAGCGTATCGTACAAGCTGCTCTCATGGCGGCGGCGACGTCCGAATCGAGCATCACGGTGGCGGTTGCGCATAGACTATCCACGATCAAGCATGCGGATCGCATCTTTGTCTTTAGCCAGGGTCAGGTCGCGGAAGCGGGCTCGCACGGTGAGCTGATTGCTCTCGGCGGCATGTATAAAAAGATGTGCGAGGCCCAGAGCCTGGACACGGCCGTATAATGTTTGATTGGTTTTTTTAAACTTTGGGTTTTGTTCAACGAGTAGAGCATCGTGATACCAAGTTGGATAGAATAATCTTCTATGATATAGTGTACAATAATAGCCTTTTCGATAGCTGTTTCTCCTTCTCTATCCTCCAGGAATCGCCTTCTTTCCTTTTCCCCCAAGGCCTTCTCCTTTATTCCGCAGGAGGTCCTGGAGTCCTACGTCTTGAGGGAGCTCTCGATGAAGTCCTGTGGTACGATGGCGGACGGCCTCTCGGCGCAGTTCCACTCCTCGGCCTCGTACTACTACCCGGCCTAGTACTACTACCCGGCCTGGTAGTGCTTCCCTCTCGTACTGCTGCCCGGCCTCGTACTGCTGCCCGGCCTCGTGCTACTTCCGGGCCTAGTACTACTTCCCGGCCTGGTACTACTTCCCGGCCTCGTGCTACTACTCGCTCTCGTGCTACTTCTCGTCGAAGTTCCAGTCTGAGCCCTCATCGAACTCCCCGTCCGACCCGAAGTCCCGCTCGTCCCCGTCGCCCTACTCGTCCCCGTCGCTCCACTCACCGCCGTAGGCTCACTCACCACCGTCCCCTCGCTCTCGCTCACCGCCGTCGTATGACTCCCCGCCGTCGCCTCAGTCCACAGCGTAACCTCGCTCCTCGCCACAATCCCATACTCGCTCCCGGACGACAAGTCGCTCGGGCTCGGCGTCGACACCTCGCTCGCCGTCAGCATCCCGCTCTCCATCCCATCCACCGGCTCCGCACCGCCCCTCGTCTTCTTATACGGCGGCCACCCAAACGAGCTCCAGCGCATAAACGGCAACACCATGGAAGGGATGACGCACAAACACACCGCGACCAGGCTGATATACTTCATGTTTTGGTAAATCGTCGCGAGGGCGCGCTCGCGCTGCTCCGGGGACGCCTGTGCGAGGAGATCGGGAAAACTCCGCACCTGGGTATCCCGCACCAAATCGTCCGGCTGGTCCAGCGCGTGCAGGAGCTTATCCATAAACGCCCGCTGGCAGGCAAAGATGCTCAGGCAGCCGCCCAGGGCGCCAAACGCCGTCACCGAGGAGATGGCGTGCCCGGCATCGGACGGGCCGCCGGTGTACTGGGCGCCGAGGACTGCTAACCGCCAAAACGTCCCTGCTCCGGCACCGAAGAGGCCAAGGTAGACGAGGGGCTCCCAGGTCGGTGCGTCTAAATCGAGGGTGAAGAGAAGTGGGCCGCCGGCGGCGTATAGGGCGAGAGCGACAATGGCGAACGGGGGTATTCGGCTCCAGGCCTTGGCGGCTCGGGCCAAGATCATGGCTACGAGGGCCGACGAAGCGGTAAGAGAGAGCATGCGCACTCCGGTGGCTACAGGCGACAGGGATTTGACCATGATGAACCAGGTAGGCATCTACATCACAAGTTAGTCAGACCTCATAGAGTTAAAACTTTGTTTTTTCTGTTTTGCCTTTTGTTGGGACACTTACGAAATAGAGTATGGTAGTAAAGGCCGCGCCCATGCCAATGCAGATGATGAGGTACGCGGTAAAATGAGGCGACCTGCACAGCTTGACAGGCAAGATGGCCGCCTCACCCTTCCACATCTGGTGGATGACGATGTACGCGAAGCAGGCACCCGAGGCGATGAAGAGGATGATGATGCGCACGTCGTTCCACTCGTACCGCTCACCTCCCCACTGCAGCGCGAGCAGCAGGCAAATTAAGCAGGCGATGATGAGGAAGCCGCCAAAGATGTCAGCCTGCTGCACCTTTTCCTTCGCGGTCGGTTTCCTGGTGGGGACTAGGACATCGACGTCCGCTGGGGGCGGCGGCGGGAGGTTGAGCGGGAAGATGGTGAAGATGCAAGCGAGGCCGATCACGGGCATGCTGACCCAGAAGCACCAACGCCAGTCCACGTTGCTTACTATGGCACCACCGACGACGGGGCCTAGAGCGATCGCGAGGCCCTCAATGAGGAGCAGTAGGTCCAGGTAATGGGCATGCTGTTTTGGAGCTACTATACCCACGATTCTATTGTATAGAGGAAACAAAGTATCGTTAGTATGCTTGTCGATTTGGTATTGCCCGAGCAAGCCAGCCGTGCTGCAAGTTAGTGAAACGGAAGAAGACTCACACAAACGAACTGGACATTATCCCGCCCGCCCCAAGGCCAGAAACTGCCCGACCACCAATCACGGTAGCCGAATTCCGCGCCAGGGCGCAGGTCAGCGACCCAGCCACGAACAAAAGAGCTGAAGCATGGAAGACGAGTTTCGTGTTGAAGGACGCGGTCAACCTCCCCATTGCTGGCTGCGTAGCTCCCATCACCAGCAGACTGCGTTGGGTAACGAACCGTCAGCACACGATCCATGGTAACGGCTTAAATATTCGTTGGGAAGAAGTTCGCACTCACTATATGATGCCGTACCAGCAAGATTCCGACAGAGACCCGAACTCGGTGACGATGGTGGGCGTTATCGTACCAATCATGCTTCCATTCTATTCGGATTGGTTCTGCGTTAGCAATAGATTCCCTGAAACGGGAACAGGAGTGAAATCTCAAGGACTTACCACTCCAACGATCAGTACGGCCAAGGCCAAACCGACGACCGTCAAAGATCGCACCAGATCCGAGGCCTCGCCATCGTGCCTGACCCTTTTCCTCAGCGTCAGTGTCTGCTCCTCCACCGTCGTACTCTCCTTGCTGCTCCCATCCTTTCGCTCCTGGAAGAACATCCTACCAATGCACAAAGGCGTACGATTCCTTTGAGTCTTTGGCTGTTTTCTTGTGTTTGGGAGTTGGGCGAAGAAAAGTCAGGGACGAACCTTGGATAAAACGGGGGACGCGAGACAGCGGACCTATACCATGTTATCTATATCGGTGGTGCTCAGTCATTTTGTCCATCGTGGCATGATATAGCAAGTTTTTGACCGTCCGATGACAGAAGCGACGAGACGAGTAAAACATCCCGGAAGTGACGAGACGACCTTCTGCGAAACGGGTTAGGGCCTTGGTCGATCGGGTCGCGCGAGGGCGCCTATCCATAGTAGAGTTATTATTGTTAGTCGCTCAGGGCCGCTTCGGGAGGGCATGTCTTCTGAGACAGAGCTCACTTTGGCTCTACGGACTAGGGCCGGTCGTCGCCGGAGATCCGGCCGTGGGGGTCATCATTGGCCGGAGTGGATCATCATGTCTCACTCGCAGAAGATAACGACACGCAGAGCCGGAAATTGAACGATGGGATAGGATGAGAAATCATCTACGTATTCTTTCTTTAATATATTTATTCGAGGTAAAAGAAGCAAAGGAAAGCACAAAGACGGTAATCCAAACCCTCATCCTAAGGAATCCTACATAAAATCCAGTATCCCTCGTATTGAAAATTACTCACGTAATTTGACTGCGGTGCATTGCGACGCGGCGTGTTCCGATCCGTCCTTTGATCACTGGTGCCTCGGGCTTGCCCTGATCGGCACGTGGCAGGCAGCGTGCGTGGATGCAACCGAACTAGGCAGTAGAGTAGAGCATCATGCACATTCAACGGCGCAATCGAACTTCGATGTGGCCGAGATAGTGGGAGAGGAAGTCCCAAAAGGCCAAAAAGCTCCCAAAGTCCCAGATCCTCCAAGAACCGCTCAGATCTGTATGCAATAACCGATCTATATTATGGTGTGGGTCTCCCGAGGCAGATTGGATGCTCGACAACGTGGCAAGTGGGCTTTGTCACCGTCACTCGAACAGGTACAGGATATCATCAGATTTATTTATTCGTTGTAACATTATCCATAGATCTCGATTACATAAAGTCTTTAGTTTACTTCCTTCACTTCCCTAATTCTCAGCATTTCCCCGTGATCGATTTAAGGGCAGGTGCGGTCAAAGTTGACGATGGGGGAGTCGAGCTCTGTCAAAGGAGCGGTTTCATTAGCTAACTTGCTCTGAGGAGATGGGTAGGAACAAGGCTGTTAAGAAGAGGTGACGTGAACGTACCCTCGCAAAGATCGAGGCCGTCGTCGATGACCTGGTTAAGGACGGAGGGGCAGGTGCGGCAAGCGCAGTTCCTGTAGGCCTGGGAGAGAGAGGGCACGCGGCAGAAGCAGTAGTACATGTCGGGCTCCTCGCAAGTGGCGGCATCGGGGTGGTTCATGACCTCGTTGAAGCACATAACCTACGCAGAACTCATGTTAGTTTACAGGATTTACGTCTCTCACAGTCTTTCCGGGAGGATGGGCCTAGGCAGTCTTAGGAGAGAAAAATATAAGAGGGGATGATACCTCGCAAAGGGCAGCCTGGGCGGCGCCGAGGGTGGCGAAGGAGAGTCCGATGAGGGTGGCGGCGAGCTTCATCTTGGCAGAGTTACAAGAGAACTGATTAGGGGAATGGCAGGATGTATTGGAAAGTGAAGTGATGGATGGACTTGAAGGGATGGATGATAGATTCCACGGCCTCAACTCATCGGAAGAGGTCGCCCCATTTATAGTCGCGTCGGCTTGAGGGTTTCATCCAACGTCTTGCTAGCTACCCAGCCCGAGCTAAGCTCTTTGTTTTTTTCTCCCGTTCTTTCTTACTTGCCTAGCCCTTGTGACCCGACCCTGGGATTCGAGCGAGGCAATCACCGCCCCATTACAACCCCGCACATGTCCCATCTCACCCTCACCACCCACCTCCTCTCGAGAGGAGACCACGGCTCCGACAGACGTCAGTGCTCGGGCCCAATGGCTTTGCCTCATCGCGGCTTTCCTCCGCTTTCGCTGGCAGCATTCCTCGGAAAACCAAGGGGCGGACGGGCTTAGTCCCTGTGGAGGCCTGGATGTCCTGCAGCAGCCCGGTCGCGCTAGCCCTCGTTCAGCTTAGACACACGATTTTGTCCCTCCTTCAAGGACCACGAATATCCAAGGAACGTCGGCTCTTGGCAGACGGCGTGGTTGGAGGACGACGAGCAGGGGGTCCTAGAAGAGGGAGTCGTGGGGGCAGATCCCTTTTCAGCGCCTGGAGTGCCGAACATGCCGCCCTCAATGGCCGCCGATTGATTTTTTCTAATCTTATCAGATCATCTCTGATCAATCACCCCTGCTTTCCCCCTCTCCATCACCACAACCTCTCATCCTCCACTACCACGCAACAGGTACTTGTCGAGTAATCAACCACAACACCGGCTTTGGCCTCGGCCCTGAGAATCGTCCCCACGAGAAATTCGCAAGGGTCTTCAACACCAACTCTTTTAGATCCTACGCTACGGTTCCCACGGTCAATCCTTCGTACGACCCCCTTTCACACAACACGGACCGGCCCACCTGCCGCTTTCAGAGAGATGCCGCCCAAATGCCACACCAAAAACAGCCCACTGCTCCCGCAAACCCATGGGCAATAGCATCTTTGAAGCTTGGACGGGGACCTATCATACTCAAACTTCCAATTTAGGCCAAGAAGGAGAGAGAAAAAAAAACAAACAAGAGACGAATCAAGTCAAGGTGCCATCAGCTTCTCAAAGCTCAAAACTGACAATGCCGAAGAGTCGCGAAATCAACACACAACCCCTCCCCCTTCTTGAACCCCTTTGTCCTCACGTACTACCGCAAAGGATTTTTCTACCATCCATGCATCCATAGCAAATAATCCAGACGAAGAAATGCCCAACCCAGCCCATCGCCGGGATCGGACATGACCACGGCCATGGATCGAGAATTAGCGTAGTGATGGGCGATCTCATCTCCTACCTCCTCGCTTACGCCAGCCCGTGATGGGTTCGCGATGGTCTCGAGGGTAGCAGAGATCAGCAGCGCCGTATCCTTTTCCAGCGTCGCATGCATGGGGCCTGGTGTTGAGAAAGGATGAATGCTCGTCGATCCGGGCCCCAAAAACCGACGGCGCGAGTGGGGTTGCACGTCTGGAGGCGAATTGTGAGCCTTTGCTGTATCCCACACTTCTAGGTAAAGGTTTGACACGAGCTTCTCCTTGATGGGTCCATGGTTTGGCGAAAGGGTAAAGAGGATGTCTCTCTGGCCTGATAACCATAAGACAAAAAAGGAAAGTAGGAAAGTTTTTCGACAGCTTTCCCGAGATGTGTGAGAGCGGCTTGATTGAGCCTTCAGCCAAGAGGGGCTAGACCACCGGGGCTTCTATGACGTTGCTCCCTGCCAGGCGTTCCCGTTACAATTACCTGCATGCCATAGGCTCGTCCGAATTCTTCAAGCGCAGCAAGAGGGCAGGGCGGCAGGTGGGGGACGTGACCCTACCAGGTCTTGCCAAGGGGCGAGCTGGCGCCCTTTTCGACTTCCGCTAGCTCCAACCTGCATGAAGAGGTCATCCTTCTGGCTAGAAAGCTTTTGTTGGAAAGAACTGGGTCAAGTGATAGGCCATCGGTCCTGAAGAGTGCAGTACATTTTCGAAAACGTTTGTGGCGCAAAGTGGAAGGCATCCATTCCAAGTTCCCCTTTCGCTTGGGCTCGAACGTCAAGGACATGGATCGATGTATTGACTCGAAACCTATATTAGTGAACTGGCGAGTCGCAGGCACATCTTTCGGGCCACATAACTGGCCCTTGGTGGCCCGAGGGATGTACCCCGTTCACAACCTTGCTCTCATCGGCCTTTCGTTTAAACCGGCCCCAACAACCTCAGGGCCAAGACATCTTCTTATGCAGACGTTACCAAGCTCGGCCATACCCATGTCGGCGCGGAACTCACACAACTCAGCATCACCAAAACGACTGGGTGAACCAAAACGGGTGATTGATCTTCACTCCCACTGCACACAAGCGCACTAGTTCCGCAAAGGACACACTGGATTCCGTTACGTGGGAAAAGAGAAAATGGCAAGGTATATTGTCAGCTTCTGGGCCAAAGTGTGGCATACCCGCGGTTCTATCCCCACCGCTTGCATGAAACCCGTACTCCAACCCTTACCCACCATATCCCAACAACCCAACACACTCCCCATCCTCTCTCTCCGTCTAACACCCCTCCCATCTCTGATACTGAAGCGGGGTAAACTTCATCCTTGGCCTGCGCGGTACACACACAAATGGGTGAGAGAAGGGAGAAGCGCCTTCATTGGTTCACTCAGAGCTCCACCCCGCCGACGTCCACCTCCTCCTTCCAACTACCAAAAACAGCCACAGCCCACCGCCAGAGAACAAACGTCGGCCTCTGGCCGCTAACCTGCGGCTTTCGGATCCTAGCAGAATCTAACCCCGCAGAAGGCGCAGCCACAGGGAAAACCGCCGGCTCAACCCGCGCGACGGCCGTTCCACGCAAGACCCGCCCACGCTCGTCCACCGCCTCGGCAACGACCTCGCCCACGCGCTTGCCCGGCAGACTGAATGAAGTCTCGAAGCTCGTGCGCTTCTTCTCCCCGAGAAACCGTCTCGACCCCACGCCATCAACGACCTCGTAGAACCGCCATACGTCCGTCTCCGTATCCCCGTTCCACGAGACGTACACCGTCGTGCCACCATCCTCCGCAAGCGAGACAATCGCCGGCTCCTCAGACGGGATCCCCGTCCAATTAAACCGAAACGCGCGGTAATTCTGTACGCCGACTCCCAGGTCGCCCGAGTCCATGTACGCGTGAAACACGGGCGTCCCGTCGGGCAAGAACTCGGTCACGGCTCCCTCGGAGCCCCAATTCACCAGCGCGTTGCCGTTAGGCAGGATCTGCGTGGACCCCTGGCTCTTGGATAACAGGTCGTCGGGGGAAAAACGCCTGCACCAGCTCCGCCTCCCACGTGCGCGTGTCCACGCGCACGACCTTGCCGCTGCTCGTCGCCGCCGTGCGCACCTCGTTGCCGTCGTCGTGCTCCGTCCCGTGCGCGCTGTTGTCGTACAGGCTAATCACCTCGACCGCGCCTTCCTCCTCCTGCGCCAGCCACCGCGCGTGGTGCTGGAAGCAGAAATCCACTCCCTTGCCCAGCCGGAACGAGCTCTTCTTGCCGGCGAGGCGCCAGATGATGGATCCGTCGGTGCCGTTGATCTTGTGGATGGAGCAGGCGTCGCGCGCCGAGATCAGGTAGTTGCCGTCGGCGTCCTTGTCGACGCTGTTGATGTGGAAGTAGTCCCAGGCGTCGGAGCTGTTGTACCCGGAGCCGGCTTGCCCGGGGTTGATGGGGAGGATGGCTTCTATAACGCGTGCCGATGGTGGTTAGCGTGTATAGCTTCGCGGACTACTTACGGAATTGCTAAGAAGAAAAGCCTACCGTCCGGGGTGACGTGGTCAAGACTAGCCCACTCGAACAGGACTTTTCCGGTCGCAATGTCAAGTTCTACCCCGCACCTACCGTTAGCATAAAGCTATCAACAATTCACGACCTCCAAGCCCCGGCACAATATTGAACCGTAACATCTTACCTTGGATAATGGCATTCACAATCCACTGCTGTTCCGGCTTCGCGCCCCAAGCAGTCAAATCCCTCGCCACAGGCTGGTAGATCTGGATCAACCCAGTCTCCTCCCCACGACGTGAAACTCGTGCTTATCCACCAACTTGTGGTTCCCCGCGCGCAGCTCCCGCACCGTCTCGTAGTGGCGATCCATCAGCGTAATGTGCCCGTGCCCGTGCCCGTACCCGGCGTTATGGTCGCCCTCGAAGCTGAAGAGCACGTCCTGCCCGCGCCACCGAGCCGCCTGGAAATTGGTCGACCAGATGCTGTAGATGGCGTAGCCCGACCACACGAGGTCCCCGTCGTCGCGCAGGATGTACGGCCCAGCCTGGCGCGGGCCGTGCTGCTCCGACGGAGTGTCCTGCAGCCCGGCAAAGGGGGCGACGAACAGGTAGCCGCGCTCCACGTCCCCGGTGGCGGGGATGGTGATGTTGAGTCGCGGCGGGGCGAGGTCGCTGCGCGAGCGGAACTGCCAGTCGGCGAGGCCGGCTTGGAACAGCGCCGAACCCAGCAGGGCCTTGGTGCCGAGGTGCTTCATGTTGGCGTGTACCCGTGGTTAACTAGGGTGGTCAGCGTCTCCGTTAACGAGGCCATCTTGAAGGATTAGGTACATTCACCTTTGTGAAGTACACGATCCTGGCTAGAAGCGAGATGTTAGGCAAGCAAAAGGTGAAAAACCAAAATAAATAAAACAAAGAGATCTTTTTGGTGGAACACAAAGTATATGGTTTGTCCCCCTAGGTTTGTTTTTTTCTTTTATCGCTCAGGTTGCTGATACTGCGTATTTGGTATAGGCAATGTCAGGCTTAACCAGCAGGCTTTCCAAATTCTTCCAGCTAGTGGATGGAGGCGTCTCTCTTTTGAACACCTCGATGTCTACCAATGAACCATTCTAACGCCATCTCTGGCAACAATGTCCATCACAATGGCGCAATCATCCAGGACCGGCTCTGACTCGACCGGCGTGACATCATGGAGGAGCACCAGCTCGCAATGGCCTACCTAGCAGCCAAAGAACGTTCTGTCCGCTCCAGAGAGCAAGACTTGGTTGGTCGGGACTTCTCCACGTCGACCGTCTCGAGCTGCTTACTGGGTTGGCATCGACGCCGGTACACCCGACCGCCGGCATGCCGAGTGACATGGCCCGCCGTGCCCCCTCTCCTCTCCCCACCCTCCCTTCCCGCACCCCTGGCTTCTTGGAACAGCACAAGTGGGCTCAAGCCCTAGCGGGGACGGGACGAAAGCCATTGGCCAATAAGCATGAGCTATTGCACCAACGACTCCTCGGCAATGTTGACTTGATGGTGGGGGCAGTTGTGATCTACAGTCTGTCTTTGGTCTTCCCCGGCATGACTCCTCGGTATGCAGAGCTGCAGTCAAGAGAGGGGAGCCCTGTCCCAAGAATTGGTCGGTGTGGCAGGAGGACGCTATCAAACAGATGGGGAGGCGTTAGCCCCAATTGACCGTACTTCGGTCACTAACCTCACTAATCCGTAGGCCTCGAGCCATCCGTTTCAGTACGGTATCACGCTAACTAAGAACGATACACTGATAGCAGGCAGTTGAGGTGAACCTCGCTTCCCAACAGACCAGATATCAAGCAGATTTTGCTCGCTTATTTTTCCTATTTCTCTTTTTTCTTCAAATTATATTATTATTAATCTTTTTTCTCTTGAGTCGGGTCGGAGTTGTTTGACCGGGATCGACTCTATTTTAGTGGGTCTGATTACAAAATCGTGCGTGCTACACAAGGAAAAAGACAAAAAGAACAAGAGGCAAGGAGAAAATGGAGAAGCCAGGGAAGAAATTGAAGGAAACGAAAAAGAAAAGATTTTTCTACAGACAAATCACCCCTCTCATCTCAAGGGTGCAGTGTAGTCTAAAGAAACGCCACCCCACGCCGTTGCCGACCGATCCACCAATCTTGGCTCGTTTCCCAACTGTCAAAACGAACCTTGTCCCAAGTTGTCAGGGGCGGAAAGATTCCCCCATTCCGCCAACGTCGCACAAAATTTTGGCAAGCTTTCTTATCGCGTAGAGTGTACGCCACATCCGAATTTTCAGTGCCTGTCTAGTATAGGTGTGTTGTCGCAAGGAAATTGCGTGCTTGAGATAAGCTAGTTAGAGAGGATCTCGCTTCATTGACGTATACGGTTGCACCCTCCCCCCCGCTTTCTCCCACTTGGTCAGGCCCTTGGCCGGGCACGGATAAGACCCAACGGGTTCTAGCATCCGGGAGGAAGCACTTGAGGATACCCGGGCGCCCGTTCAAGCGTGTCCCACCCTCTCCTCCTCCTAAACCCGACTTCATTTCCCTCTAACACTCCGGCATACACACCCTAATGGCAACACAACCCACAAACATGCCATCCTCCAGGCAATCCTCCCGGACCGCCCCGGTTCTAGATGCCCGGGAGGACCAACCTCTACTCCAAGCCCCGGGACCGCCCCGGGGACACAATGGAAACCCCCGCCGGCTTCATCTGGATCCAGCTCGCCATCATGTCCAACGTCTTCCTCTACGGCTTCGACGGAACCATCACCGCCGCCACCTACGCCGTCATCAGTTCCGAATTCGACGCCGCCAACACGGCCTCCTGGCTCACCACCTCCTACCTCGTCACCAGCACCGCCTTCCAGCCCCTCTACGGCCGCTTCTCCGACATCTTTGGCCGGAGGGTGTGCTTTTTCGTGAGCAGCGTCACGTTTGGCCTCGGCTGCCTCGGGTGCGGTGTCGCTCGGGATATCGTGACCCTCAACTGCATGCGCGCCTTGACTGGCTTCGGTGGTGGAGGCTTGATGACCATGGGTAAGTGAAAAATACACTGTTTTTGTTTCCAAAGTGGCAAGCCGCTAACCCGTTTACGTTGATATAGCTACCATCGTCAACTCTGACATGATCCCCTTCAAGCGGCGCGGTATGTACCAAGCTTTCCAGAACGGCATGTTTGGCTTCGGCGCCGTGGCCGGCGCGTCCTTCGGCGGCACCATCGCCGACCACATCGGCTGGCGCTGGTGTTTCCTCTTACAGGTTCCGCTTTCCATCTTCGCCCTCGTCCTCGGCTACCTCGTCATACGAAACCCCGAAGGCGGCTTCGGGCTGGATCACTCACTCGCTACCGTGTGGAACAGGGTAGACTTTTCCGGTGCCTTCCTGCTAGTTACCGCAGTCTCCGTCCAGTTGATTGGCCTGAGCCTCGGCGGGAACGAGCTGCCCTGGAGCAGTCCGTGGGTTATCGGGTCCTTACTCGGCAGTCTTGTCCTCTTAGCCTTGTTTATCGTCGTGGAGGCGCGCACTTCTGCTATTCCAGTCATCCCCCTACGCATGCTTAAGGGAGCGCTACCTATTCTTACAGAGATCTCCAATGTTTGCGCTGGTGTAGCAGCTTATGCGGTAAGACTAGTCATCATTTCGCTCATTACCATCCAAAGCTAACCAGGGAATCCATCTGTAGTATCTATTCATGCTTCCCCTTTTCTTCCAAGTCGTACTCCTTGACTCCGCTACCAAAGCCGGTGCCCGCCTCGCCATCCCATCCCTAGCCACCCCTCTCGGCGGGCTAGTGGCGGAATCGTCATGTCCAGCTGGGGCAAGCTCATCTGGCTCGTCCGGCTCGGAGCTCTCCTCATGCTGTTTGGGAATTCACTAGTCACATCTCTCCAATTCGAGGACTCTCAGTGGAAGTATCTTCTGTACATCTTCCCCGCAAACCTTGGCCAGGGAATCATCTATCCAGCTATTCTCTTCACGACCCTAGCTTCATTTGATCATGCAGGTATGTTGGACTATGAAATGGCAAACTCGCCTACCGTTTTCTGTTGGTTCTGAAAAATCACCTAACCGATTTTACCTTCTAGACCACGCCGTCTCCGCCTCCACGGTATACCTCATTAGATCCCTCGGCACAGTCTGGGGCGTAGCTATCACGTCTGCCATCGTGCAAACTACTCTCAAGACACTGCTACCCGCTGCTCTCGGCGACATCCCCAATAAGTGGGAGGTACGTGCCATCCGTGCTCTACACCTCATTCACCATCTTCTGTTGCGAAACTGACCCTCATCTTCTACAGTTGATCGAAGAAATTCGGCACTCGGTGACCGCTCTCAAAGATCTGCCGCCCGATGTCCAGCTCTCGGCACGTCTAGTGTATTATCAAGGAATTCGCTATGCGTTTGCCGCATCAACAGCATTTGCTGGAGTCGCTTTGATTGCCTCCCTGTTTGCCAATCCCCGCAAACTTCGCAGCACCCATCAGTAGCCGGGTTTGGGCTTGACCCAGCTGACCTAAAGGGTCACTGTTTGCATCAGGCGATGAAGATCATGGAGGCCCTTTATGTTTGTAATTCTTGCTTTAATTCTAACCAGCACGAATTAGACACGCAGGCATAGTCTGTCGATATAGATACGTTGCATTTAGAAACTATCTTAAAAGAGCTCCAAGGAACTAATAGCGGACTAAGAGCGTCAAATAACATCCATTAGTGTTACTCAGGATTGTGGAATGATTATATCAGGATTCGACAGGGCCCTCTTGAGGCATAGACCCCGGTTCAACTGTATATCAATTTATTTTCATTCTTGGGAGGGGCTTTGGTTTCGTTCCAGCAACTCTTATCGGGCCGAAAACCTGATGGACTTGCATCTCGGCCTAATGAGGAAACTTGGGGTGGAGGGGACCGGGCGTTGCGGTGCGAACGAATATCCAGATGCTATGGCATCGCTGTAACTCGTAACTCCAATGGTATTGGTAATGGCCTCCCTTGGCCGTTTCGACCACTGAAACGCGAAGGCCATGGCCCCATTCATCCTTTCAAATGGTTAAATGCTTCATTGGTAGGAACTTCAAGCTCAATTCGCCGAGCCCAACCCACGAGTTAGAGCTATTCCGCAAAAGACAGGAGAAACGATCCCGACGGTCTCCAACTTATCTATTGCTAGCACACGTGACGTCGTTAGTCCTCGTTTCAGTGGTGGCGACTCACGACTCATGCTGCCCGTTATTCTGTTGCCTATCCATTGTGTACATATTTGGTTGGTGCAGCTTCAATGTTGTTTTGTTTTCGTCCCCGAATTGAGCAAACGGGTTAGGTTTTTCTAGCATAAAATCAAAAGCCACCCAGCTAAACAATTTGAAGAGTCCATCCATTGTATTGAATTACATTGAGAGACCCCAAAAGAAATTCCGCGCGACTCTTCTACACACTGTAAAATGGACCAATTCTACCTCCAAAACGCCGCCTTATACCGGAAACTCGTCGGCGCACTAAAGCCCCGCGCCGGCCCGGACCCAGCGCAGCAGACACCAACGGTCGGAAACCCCAGCATGGTCGTGGGGGCCAGAATCCGCCCGCTGCTCGACGAGGACGTCGCCGCCGGCTATCCCTGCGCCGTCTTTCCCCGGCAACGGTCGTCCCAGCAGCGCCACGGTTCCGTGGTGGACATCCACGACTTGTATAACCACCCGCGCGGGCGACCCATCCTCAAGGTACGTTATGCTATCATTTGTTGTTGCGCGCCCGCACAAAGAAAGGCAAGTGCATTCGCTGACGAACAATTCCATAAAGTCCTTCAACTACGAGGTTGATCGGCTGTTCGACGCCGATGCCTCCACCGAAGAGATCTTCGACAATCTGGTCACGGACCTAATCCCGCTCGCTTGGGACGGGGGCATCGGCACCCTCTTCGCCTACGGCCAAACCGGCTCCGGCAAGACTTTTACGGTAAGCCGGCTAGAGGAGCTCGTCGCCGACGCACTGGTAAGCGGCCATCAGAACGGCGAAAGACGACTTCACATCACCATCATCGAACTCGCGGGAAACTCCGCCTTCGACCTCCTCAACTCACGCGAGCCCATCTCCATCCGAGAAGACTCCTCCGGCACCACGCATCTATCGGGCGCGAACGAGCATCCCGTGCAGTACAGGAAGACATCCTAGACCTCATCGACAAGGCGGCCTCTTTTCGCAAAACCGCCTCGACCATGAAGAACGATGCATCGTCGCGGTCCCATGCCATCTGCCGCATCCGCATCGAGAATCCTGCCGTCACGGGACGGGACGGCCTCCTCTACCTCATCGACCTCGCGGGCTCCGAGGTCGCGCGGGACATTGCCTCCCACAAGAACGACCGGATGCGCGAGACCCGCGAGATCAACATCAGTCTCTCGGCGCTCAAGGATTGCATTCGCGGAAAGGCCGAGTGGGACGCCAGCCGTGGATCCAAGTCAAGGTTGAAGAAGCCCCATGTGCCGTTTCGGCAGAGCTCCTTGACCAGAATCCTCAAGCACGTCTTCGATCCATCGTCGGAGCGGCCATGCAAAACGGTTGTCCTCGCCTGCATTAATCCCAGTCTCGCTGACGCGGGAGCAAGCAAGAATACTCTTCGCTATGCCGAGTTACTGCGCGTCTTGATAGCCGAACCTTTGACTGCAGGTCTAGATAGTAGTGCTCTTGAGGCCAGTGGTGATTCAAGGGAAGGTAATAAGGTGGTGGGGTTTAGGAAAGATTCTAGACACCCCATGGATTCACAAGTGGAGGCCATCCCCTTCAAACAGCGCATCAGGTCTGGTATGGTTGTGAAGTGGAGTTCCGCCCCGCGGGACTCAACGGGCACGAGCTCCTCCGATCTAGCCTTAGTTCTCTGCTCCACGGATTCGAAGACATGCCATTCTGAAGGGGCGTCGGACGAAACTACTGGTGGGGACCACGACCGAGAAAAGAAACCAAGGTATCTTTGCGCCAAAGTTGTACCAGGTTCAACTGCCAATGCCTACGAGATTAGGATATGGGATCAAATAATTATTAGCGACGACATGATGGAGGCGGAAATCATTCTAGAGTACGATACAGCGTCTCGTTACTATTATCAATCAAAATAAGCAGAGTGGGACTAGACAAGCTTCATGTTCTATCGATCTCGCCAGCAACGACATCCATTGTTGGCGGGTAAGTGTCAAGTCTGGCGATCTAGAACTAGCCAAGCATTCGTAGGCATAATAAAGTTATCTTACCATGTTAGACTAAAACAACCAGGTCAGTCAACACCGCCCGGTCACGATTAGGCATAGCTCATCAACTATGTCCATGACGGCCTCGCAGATAGATATCCATGTATCAGTAGGGCCAGTCACAAGCCTGTGCCCCGGTGCTTGTTTACATCGCGTAGATTGAAATTGGTACCGGCATCGAGGGCGTCAAGCCAACCGCGAATTCCCGATGAGATTTGGCCAGCACTTTTCTTTCAAGCAGAGCCTTCGTGTCTTCAATACCAGCATGGACATGACCACGTTCTCTCTGGATCGGTGCCGGCTGCGCCGTGGATAGCTAGGATAAGATTGTCGATATTTTCCGTGAGTCTGCGTCGTGTGTTTCGCGATGAGGTCAGACTCCGAGTGCCGCTACGCCACTGCCACATTTTTGGTCGATCGAAGCAGCCTCACAACCTTTACTACACAACCTCAGCTTAGACGTATAGAAAGCCGGCATTTCCCTCTTCGGGTTGGGGCACCTCCGGTTTAGAAGGAGCAGGGTTCGGCCAGAAAGTTCTAGATTGCGATAGTCTTCTTGAGCCTTTTAAGGATTGACAGCGTCCTGGTCATTGTTTATATAGCCCATCGTCAGTTCAAGGGATAAGCGCTGGGAGCCGTATGTTAAGATTTATCGTAGTATGCCAGTCCGGAGGATTGATACGGAAGGGATGACGCCAATTATCAGCGGCGGTGTTTTAATCACAGACCAAGGATCGATTTTCTAGATCCGACTGGCCAGACATATACGAAGTCATTTAGTCGAGATAACATCTGAGATCTAGATATGTCATGTCGAGATGACTAAGGTTGCAGATCTGCTCAGAAGATTGACCACAGAAGATGGATGCAATCCTCATGTGCCAAGCCTCGATAGGGCCAGGGCGGAGTCCACTTCAAAAGGCCCGCCAAGATCAAAGAAGGTAGGTTTGTAGATCGATTATTAGCAAGATGTTGCTCAGCCTTTGCGTTCGCGGCTTCATCGATAAGCCTCAAGCTTGGAAGAGATCATTTTTGCGTGGAGGTTCGGCGGCCCCGACACTGGATGGCTGATACGCATCAGTGGCGACGGCAGGCAAGAGATGTTGATTGGGACAAGGTAAAATGGGAAAAGAAATAGTGCATACGTATATATAATACCGATAGAAAAAGGAAATAGAAAAAGAAAGCCACTCATCAAATATAAGCTTCTTTCTCGTAGGGCTTTCTTCTAGTTCGCCTGCTCCCCGCTATGCGCTCCGCTGTGCGGCCCATCACCACCGTCCATCCCGTCATAGCTATTTTCGTCGCAACTCACGTCTGGGGACCCACTTCGAGCCCGCGTCCCTCATTCTTCCCAAAAGGGTTCGATGTGCCGCTGCGTCGCAAACCTCCTCCTTTCATTGGCTGGCAGTGCCTCGAAAGGTCTGACTTCATCATTCTGAGTCGTCGTCTGAACCGTGCGGGGCGCCGGTACCCACGCCCCGGTACCACGCAAATCGCAATCGAAGGATTCCGCCGATCTACTGCGCCCCTTCTCTCTCCCAACAACCTGATGCGGTTGCCGACGACAAACATGGGCCTCAGCAAGCTCGCGGTAGGCCATGCTTTTCGCCCTTTAATACTCTTGGAAAAGCCGTTTTGTCCCGGAAAGGACTCGAGTGCTAGCCCCGATCATTCTTCACTTTGAGTTTTTTTTTGTTTGCCCCTGTCAGGGCCGAGACTCTTGTCGAATTTCCCGACTTGAACGTTCTGGGTTAAAGGAAAAAAACAAGAGCAAAGTAAGAGACGGAGGAAAGAAACCGAACAGGCAAGAGGGCCAAGGGGGAACAAACCCCGAGAAAGAGAGGGTCTGTGAACTAACTCGATTTAACCACAATGCCTGGCGTCCCTTCAGGCCGCGGTTGTGATGCGTGCCGTAGACAAAAGAAAAAGGTTTGGCTCATACCTCTCCCCATGTCATGTCCCTCCCCTCCCCCTTCCCGCAGAACGAATGCCGAGCTTCCCCCATCCATCACATGTCCACGGCAAGCACCTAACCCTCTCTGGCAGTGCGACCAAGCCAAGCCGGCGTGCGGCAGGTGCGCTCGCCTGCAGATAGCCTGCGTCGGCGCTGGCCAGCGGCGCTTCAAGTTCAAGCAGGAGAATCCCGGCCCGCCGGAGGCGGCGTACCACTCGTCCGCCGAAGGCAACGTCAGCCCACCAACACCACCACAACCCCTGGAAGTAGCCCCAGCAGCGGCGGCGACAGCAGGACAGCCAGCGCCTCTCCGACGCCGTCCGTCGCCGGGAACCAGCTCACCCTGCGGGCTGGCGGCTTCGTCGCCCTGCTCGACGTGGCGGATCTGCGATACGACCTGTCCAGCTACGGCGGGTTCTTGAAAGACATCCCCAGGCGGATGGGCCAGAACATTGCGCTCGACGCCTCGGTCGGAGCATTAACCGCCGCATTCCCCACAATATACACCAAACAAGTATCACCCGCCGCTCTCGAAGCCTACGTCAACGCGATACAATGTCTGAGGGCAATCTTGGCCAATCCGACCAAGGCGAAAACCCCGGAGACTCTCTGCTCCATCTACCTCATCATGCTCTGCCAAGTCAGTCATGCACCTTTCTTCCCCACCACTTCTCTCTGCCCTTTCCTTTGCCTCCCTTGTAATGAGGTATTGCGTTTTATACGTCATCCCAATCAGTGCGCTAATTTTGTCTCGTCGTCTTAAAGAGCTGGCTTGGGCGAACCGATGACCAGTACGTAAGTCACGGACAAGTCATCACTCACATTCTCAACTGCATCGTGCAGAATGGGTGGAAGGGGAGGTTCGAGACGGAAATGTTCTTTACATTATGCGTCGCTGTGGTAAGGAAATACCCTGCCCTGCCTCTTCCCCACCCAGCTCACACATGCGATCTCACCATTATTAAACCAAAATTTATAGGCACCAGAGAGCATCTACAACCCCAACGTCAAACTCGGCCCATGGTTCCGCAAAATCATAGAAACCTTCGTCCCCGTAGAAACCACAACCCTACGCGCCGGCGGGCCGGCCCCGCCCTCACCATCCAGACCTTTTGCCGACTCGTCGAGTTCGTCCGGCAGCCCACCGACGACATCACAGACATACGCGTCGCCTTCGGCGGCCTCTTGATCGAGGTCAAGCAAGCGCGGGACCTCCTCGAAAAATCGGCGACCCGCCCGGGCGCTACACCGGCTCCGGCTCCGGCGCCTCGCCTCCCGCCCCCGGCGTCTTCGACTCAAGCTCCACGTCCGCTGCCAGGGCCAGTTCGGCATCCTCCTCGCCGCCGCCCTCGTCGTCGGCAGCATCCTCTGCTCCGTGCTGCCCCCGACGGAGCGTGCCGCCACCATTGCCCGCATGGCCACGTTTCCCGACGAGCTGGTGGCCCTCAGCGCCAAAACCCACATTTACCGCCCCCTCGGCGCCGCCTTCATGCCCGTCTGCCTCGTCATGGGGTGCGTGGCCGTCGAGGATAAGACTCAGCTGGACCGCATGATGCAGTGCCTGGCCGTGTTCGAGGCCGACATGCTCCAGCTGCGCTGGACGACGTGGGTACCGAGCCTCAAAAGTCGATTTTTTGACACGCTGTCGCGAATATCTATCCAGCGTATCCAGACGGAGTTTTTGGAGAGGTCTCTTGGCCCGTTGGCGATGAGATGAGACTTGATGGCAATGTTTGATGGCTATCTCGAGGTAGGTATATGTGTGTGTGTGTGTGTGTGTATCAGGTCGGGGCAAATATGTCCGGTCCCGGCGATTTGGCTTGTGTCCATGTGCGGGCGCGTGCGCAATGAAATGATTCGGACGGGACGATATCAAGTGTTGACGTAGCATTACCGGCGTTTCTCCCATAGTGCCTAGAAATACAAGACCTGGTAAACCGGCTGGGGTTCCTCAGCCGAGCCATTTTTAGCAGTTTTGGGGGTAGCAAGACATAAATAGCAATATAAAAACGAAATATCACCGTGCTAATTAGCACATCCATGAAATTACTTGTCTCGAATGACGGGAAGCGGGGAATACGAAATACGTTGTTTATGAAAGACTGCCACTCGCCATGCTCCCTCCATCGTCTTTCAGCTGGCTGTCGTCGTTCAATCTCAACTTCGGCATAGACGACAAGTGGAATATTATTGTTAAGAAAAACGAAAAATTTACAGCAAAAATCACGATGAAGGCTCCTTTTCCGTCGAGTGCCGCCCGGCTCTGGACACTGTTCGCCGGAGTCTCGCACCTGCTCCCGCTCGTCGTCTGTCAGCCTGGTTGCAGAACACAGACGTCGTACAACTACCTCTCCGAGGACTATCCCTATAGCGTTTCGGCGGTTGTTAACGGGACTTTTTCACTCATATATCTCGAGAACAAGGTCGCTCAGAGTTTCCTTCCTGAAGGATACTCGTTCCTTGAGAGCGAGGCGCAGGAATTCCACCCCTTACTCCTCCGTGCTACGTACGTCCACGATATACGAGCGCCGGACGACATGGTTAGGAACCAACACATGGTAAGTTTATCAGGGCCCATGACTTGAGCTGCCGTCATATTCATTTGGCGCATCGCCTCTATAGATGATTTCTTTCGAGCTTCCCTTCGTCGACGCCCTCGAGGACGGAAAAACACCATTTCGCTACGTTAGCACCCAATTCATATCAACCGGGACACCAAGCTACGCCGCCGACATTGCCGAGGCCTACGGAGTGCCCAACGTCATTCGCGCCGTCTACGACCCAGAGTGCGACGCCTACGATTTTGCCGATCCTCTCCCGGACCAGCCATTTGACGGAAGGCTGACCGTTTTACGGGCATATATCCCCGATGGGACGAGAAGACAGTATGTCGAAATCACGTCCCCTATGCAGGTAACGAGGAGGCCCGCCCTTTCAGCACAAAGGAGCTGTACGACATAGTCACGCAGCCGCGCTTCGGGCTAGGTAGTGACGGCATGGTCTGTGGTCGTACCGGGGCGCTGTTTGGGGAAGATGCGGGTTTTAGTCGGGAAGTGGAAATCAAAGGCGACGTGACAATGGTTGGGGAATTTGAGAGTCTTCTCCCACTGTTTGGAGATCCTAGTCAGATCATTGGGGCCTACGGAGTCAAGACGGGCGCTCTCCTCGTCCAAGACGATTTTGTACCTTGCGAGGACTTGGCCCAGTAGTATAGGCGGACTGGCTCCTAGCACCGGATGACGGTTGCTCTTTTTAGAACCTTGGCTTGGGCCACGTGGGAAAGCGGTCGGGCGAGAGGTACAAGGTAGTTTCCGAGACCATGGGGGCCGCGGACCCTTGTCAGGGATATAGAACGAACGACACGCTAAGAGAATCTGTCTAAGCCCGGCACTTGGGTTAGGGATTCGGGATGCTATTTCCAAGACCTGACCTGATCTAATCTCCGACCTGCAGAAACCCTGTGATGTGATACGACAAGAGATCACGGATAACATTGTCCACGTAGCGGGGTGCAAGGGGCGCATGCACATGGAGGCACGCATAAGCAAGATATTGCCGTGACTGGCCAGACTGTTGCTGGCTTTGCTCCCCCAAACGCAAGCGTAGATGCGGCTCAGCCCACCGCAGTGGCCTTGAAACATCAGAAGTCCTGAGAGTGCAGCCACTCGAAATCTTCACGATAACGAGAATCATTGACCCGCCCAAAATCTGTGAGATTCCCTAAACGTATGGATTCAGACAAACCACTCGTGGCAGCAAACCTAAGGCCCCCTAACCAACACAGACCTGGCTTGTCTACCAACAGGATAAGAAGAGACAAGGTCGGATCAGGCTAGCGTCCGGTAGTTTGCAAGCTTATTTTTCTGGCACCGGAAGGCCGTTCCATCATTTAGACCGTGCTCTAGGCCGAAGGATATGGCCCTGTGCCTTCTGTCATGTCAACTCTCTTGCCATGATACGCGCGGCGGGACATGTGAGCGATGCTCAGCCTCTGAGTCAGAAGTTGCAGAGTTTGTCACCGATCTCCCGGTGCTGGTGGGGAGAACATGCTGTCACTGATCATCCCCGTCTTGTACGGACGAAGATTGCACCTGGAGAAGAGAGATATAGATTGGGTTGCAAGAACAACGCGGGCCTATGGGTTTTATTCCAGAGCTCTTGGTAGATGCCATCGACGTAGGAAGCAAACGCGAGACAACTCCGAGATCTCTGAAATTGGATATCTTTCTGCTTCTCCTCTTTTTCCTTGGCGATTCTCTTCTCTCATGCCGAAGCACACCATCTGTGAGGACCGAACAGAATCCACTTTCTTCGCTATGACGAAATGCCATTCTGCATCCGAGGCATTTAAGAATGGGAGAGAGGAAAAGAAATCTCGCACGTAAAGAGAAAAGCAAAATAATAGAGATACAACCTCCATTCATCAACTCATGGGCAGCAGAAGAGGTACTACATCGCGAGAAATGTCCGACCCTGGTGGGTTGCGCCGGATGCTATCCGACATGACGGTTCTCGATCCGACAGCCACGGATGACATCCGCGAAAAGGTTGGCTGCCGAGGGGTCGAAGCCGAGCCCCACACCACCGTCCCCGCTTGCAGGCAGGGGTCTTGACTGCTTTGAGAGCGGTGGGCGTCCAAAACGTCTCCCGCTAGTTCAGCCTTCAAGGGCTAAAAATATTTGCCCAGCGCAGTACCTCCCCCGAAGCCTGAGACTTTCAATGTTCCTTTGTGTCTGGCATTGGCACGAGGACGCTGCACGAGCCTGGAAACGTAATGGGATTTTCCCAAAGATTGATTGGGTTGGCTGAAGCTGGGGAAACTCAATACGGTTTGTGGCACCCCGCAGAGGGAGAGTAAAGTAGGAAATGGGAAATGTGTAAATCGTGTAGGCTTCTACTGCTCAAGGTTCCGCTGTTCTAGACTGGAGAGCCATTTGATTTTCCCCTTGACCTTGCAATTTTATCTTTTTCTTTTCTTGCTGCAAGTTCAATTACCTTGATCGTCTTCAACTCCGAGCTATGCCCGGTTTTACTCATAGTCTACAGCGGGAGCAATCGCTGACAATCGGGTCCACTTGGCCCTCGCAAGCTCTAGCGCATCACCACAGGGCCCAGTTATCTTCCCAATGGGTGCCGGAACCAGCCATCCAAAACACGGAGCGTTCGGCTGCTGTCAAAGAAATTGTTCAAATGATCCACGGATGTTGTAAATGAGGGAAAATACCGGTGCTAAGATGCACTGATTGTCCGGAGCTGGCGGTCCCGGACGCCTTCTAGGTATTCAATTACAAAAATCAAGCCTGTTGATGGATAGATCTTGAATCAAGAGGTGATGGATGCACTGGAGGGAACAACTACACTGCTGTCTTTATAATAGCTTCTTCGTCTACGAAGCTGCGGCAAACAACATAATCTTCAAGTTTGCATATAATAAGAAATCATTGAGAGAGGCAGAGGTAGAGGATGAGAGTGGCATCAAAATTCGTTATAAATTGCAGCGTAAGAAACTATCCGTGTCGCAGCCAGCGAGCCAAAGATTCATGAATCCGGTTGAAAAAAAGAAAATGGAAACCAGTTGTAATGATACATCCCTAAACAAACCCCGGCGCATCGTAGCGCAAAGTTTTCCCTTCCCCTCTTCTCTCTCTCTCTCTCACTCTACACCACACAAAAGAAAAGCGACCTTTGCGTTCAGCGTTCATAAAGCATTTACGCGAGAGCACGGCGGCTAATGCCGACCTCCAGACCCATAGGCTTCCTCAAGAAACCCTCGCGGGTCTCCATGATATCCTGTCGCAGCAAGACGTCATAGCGCCTGACCCAGGTAGCGGCGATCAGCCTCATCTGCATCTCGGCAAGGTTCCTGCCGACGCAGGCACGGGGACCGTAGCTGAAGGGGATGAAAGCGTTCTTTTGGGTCTCGGTGAGGGTCTCCCACCGTTCGGGAACGAAGTCGTCGGCGTTGTCGCCCCAGATCTCCTTGGAGTGGTGAATGGTGTAGGTAGGGACGCTGAGAACGGTGCCGGGGCCGTAGTAGTGGCCGAGGATGGTGACGCCGCGGGAGTTGGGGGATCTCACGGGGAAGACCGATGCCGGAGGGAGAGTGGTAGCGGAGAGTCTCGTTGATGACGTGGCCGAGGTAAGGGAGGTGCTTGACGGCCTCGTAGGTGGGGATCTCCTCGTCCTTGCTCATGACCTCGTCGATCTCGGCGCGGAGCTTCCGGAAAACAGCGGGGTTACGGGCAACGTGGTAGAAGAGAGCGCAGGAAGAGTTGGACGTGGTGTCGCTGCCGGCGATGAGCTGGGTGAGGGCCTCGGCGGTCAGCTCGTCGCGGCCGAGGGGCTCGCCCTTCTCGTCGCGACCCTGCATCAAACGGGCGAGGAGATCCTTGCGGTCGGTGGATCCGCCGCGCTCGAGACGCTCGCTGACACGGGCGATGGCGATGCCGGCGAGGTTCTCGACGGCCTGGAGACCCTGGCTGAAGAAGGGGTCGGGGAGGTACTTGGCGTAGGGCTTGAGACCGGGGAGGCAGCCGAGGGTGGCGGAGACCTCGCCGCGGCGGTTCATGATTTCGACGGCGGGCGCGTAGATGGGAGGGGCGTCGGGGCGGGTCTTGACCTCGGCGAGGTCGGCGCCGGTGGCGAGCATACCGAAGGACTTGCCGAAGGCGAGATCGGCGATGATGTCGAAGGCCAAGAAGTTGACTGAAGAAAAAGGCAGTGTTAGTAAAAAAAAAAAAAAAAAAAAGGAGAAAACACAAAAAGGAGTAGATTGGCTTACACCACGAAAGGCAGTCCAAGTGACCGGTTCCATCAGGGTTGGGGGTAGCGGCAATCTTGTCCCACTGCTGCACGAAGAGCTCGAGGTTGCTCTTGATGTAGGGCTCGAACTCCAAGACGGACTTGGGGGCAAAGGTGTGAGACACGAGCTTCCTCTTGCGGCTGTGCTCCGCTCGGTTGCGGGTGTTGAAGAGACCTCGTCGGATGGAGACGAAGGTGTCATAGAAGTCGCTGTAATTATTGGATACCCATCCTGTTAGTCTCGCGTATGGCTTGTGCGCGTGCATTTTTCAGGGCATGTATAGAGGGGAAGGGGACAGAAGATGGTACGTACGACTTGAGGAAACCGTTTCCGTGTCCGTAGATGGTGTTGATGGCACCGGCGTCGGCGACAGAGATGTGGTTGGGGGCGATGCGCACGACCTTGCCGTACTTCTTGTGCATTTTGTCGACAACCTCGTAGCGGTTACCGCGCCTGCAGACGGAGAGGAGCCACAGGTTGCTGAACTTGGCCGGGAAGGGCGCGGGGATGTCCCTCAGGTTGCTAAAGGTGACAAAGTACGGCACGAGGTAGTAGGCGACCACGGCGCCCACGAGCGCGACGGGCGCCCACTCCGAGGTAAGCAGCGAAGCGATGGCCATGGTTGGCTGTGCTGGATCCTTCAAGGGGGAAAAGGAGGGGATGAGAATGACAAAGAGTGGCTTTTTTCTTTTGGGAGAGCTGATCGGGAGTTGCTCAATGCCACGAGGATGAGATGGATGGTATTGGAGGCCAGCGGAGGAGGTGGGCGGACAGAGCTTAAGTAGTCCTTGTAGAGGGAGAGCAAGACAAAAAACAAAGCCATCAATTCCGCCACCCCGGGTTCCTGGTCGGCGCCCCCTGGGGACCCCAAATGGTTTACGCTTGATTCCTCCGCGTTTTTTCTCTTTCTTTCCTCTTGCTACGCCTGAACCCGGTATTGGAGAAAGATAGTGCGGCGCTAACGCACCCGCAGCAGGTGCTCATGTTTGGTTGCCAATCCGTCTTCCGGGAAGGGGTCCCTGACAAGAAAGGGAGAAATGTGAACCACCATATTGCTCGGCGACGGCTTGCAAAGTCGGCAAGTGGGGAGGGCCCGATGGAGAGTTTGACCATGACGGCCCCCACAATCTTTGATCTATCGATGCCACGGTTGGCTCGGGGTAGTGTCGGTGGAAGACCCAGGGAGCTGGAGGTTGACGGGGGCTAGAAGCTGGAGAACCCCGCACTATGACGATAGCTCTCGGGTCAAACCCGGGATTCACCACCAGGAATTTTTTTAATTGGAGCTCAGGAACCGTGACCTCGGGTGTCTTCCCGAACCACTAGGACGGGCTTCATTACCAAAAGAAGAGGGTTGCAAAGGTATTCGGTAGTCAAAGGTTTCTACACCCGTGTTCCCTTCACGATGAAAGCTCGGTCTCAAAATCGAAAACAGAGCCATTGAGAAGGTCAGTCGCAAGATTCCGTATCGATTAACAAGACGGGTTCGATTAACAAGACGGGTTAGAGATCTATGACAGAGAAATTTATTCTGCAACCGTGGACTTTGGCACTTGTAGATTCTTCGCAAGGTAGCTAAATTGGCATGACTCGCTCATATTTTCTATGCACTCAACGGCGCCAACGGACGAAAGGGCAGTTCGGATACTACCCGAAGCACAGTGTTCCGGCTTTGCCACTTCTACACTGTACCGTGGCGGAGTTGACAGCAGCTTCCGTCTCCCCATTCCTTCTTCTTTTCGTTCTGAGAGCGAGAGCTGTGGACCTGGTATATGAAAGAAACGGGCGCGTCGGAGGAGCTTGCGCTGCGTGCAAGCCAATAGCTGCCCGATGGTTTGAAAAGCGGGCTCTACCTTTGCCTGTCCCCCGACCTCCACCATGTTGCCGGCGTGGGGAATGATCGATGTTCCCACGAGGATATGAGCATGGTCTCTAACCGACAATAACCTCGGAGAGCTTTCGCCCCATTATTATCCCCTATCTTTTGCCGTGAGCTTGCTAGCAGTGGAGAATACGCTTCTGATACAGAATCGGATTTACGAGCTCTCCAAACCAAAGACCACCGTAGCTCGAGACAGTGGGTCACCCCGTTCCATAGCTCATGTCCCCAGAAGGTATCCCAACCATCCCAAGCTAGCTGTCCAATCTCTCGCTCTTGCCATCCAACCCCGACCACTTGACGGCATCGTCCGCAATATCCAGTACTCTGTGAGAGTAAAATATGTGACACCTAGCACTTCCGAGTGAGTAATTTTCTTACAAGAGTGTACCAGTGCGGCCCGTTTAGCAATGGTATCACATACTGTGGCTTGAACAACCGTCTCGCCGCCTCGCTGGGGAACTTAATCAAAGTCGGAAAGAGAAGAACCATGTTCCTCCCCTCATCCATGATGGGCGTCCGGCAGTGACCACAGCTCACTTTACAGGGCAGATCATGGCCGAGCTCCCTCGTTGCCGAGCGGTAGAAGACGAGCCCCTCGGAGCCGTTGTCGAATGCCATGTCGTCCTTTTGAAAAATGGCGGCCCATTGGAACGGCGCCCCTAGAGAGGAGCCCAAAAATCAGTATGAGTACGCGCACCCACCGTCGTCACGGACCGTTCGGCGCCTACCGTGGAGTGTCTGGCAGTCGGAACAGTGGCAATACTTGGAAGCGAGCGGCTCTTCGCGGTTCAGCGAGTACTGGATTTTCCCGCAATGGCAGGAGCCGCGATGCCTAGAAGTGAAGCCCGATCTTTGGGAGGCTGGGATGTATGGGGGCTTCTCCGTCCACTGTGTATTCTCCAACGCTTGGCTCGACATGTTGCTGGGGGTCACGAAAAAGAATTATACGTGCCGTGATTAAAGCAGCATATCCCTAGCTAGCTGTTACGAATAAAGACTATTTTGAAGTCACAAATTACGAGAGATATGAGAATCAGGAATATTGTGACGTCACGACGTCCTCACCACACCCATTAATAAGTAAACGAATTAAGCCTTCACCTGCCCGTAAGGAGGTGGGCCGGATTGCTATCGACGGAAAAGAAGATCATTTTAGTTTAAGCTTCTCAACGGACTCGTCCTTGAGCCTTGTAACAACTATTCAATCTACATCTCAATCAGAACCTTCAAAGCGTTATGCTTGTCCGCTTGTCCAAACGTCTCGTAGGCCTTTTCAATCTCGCTAAATTTGAATTCTGTCGCTTCACATCAGCAGTGAAACTCGTGTTATGCTACACCTTGGGCTAATATATGGCAAGGAAGGGGGCACGGAGGGTGTGTGTGATGTCTTACTATGGGTCAAGAGCTTTTCAGGCTGTATCTTTCTAGTCTCAACCATCTTGATCAACGTAGGCGTCGTGACCGCATCTACTAGTCGAGTTGTAATACCTGTACCGCGGAAAGGATACGTTAGCGTTGGACGGGGTTATAGTATCCATCTGGCGGGGAGCAGAAGCCTTACTGATATTCTTCGACCAAAGATCGTCCAAGAATAGATCGACCTTGGTCCCATGAACGCCAAGATTCGCAAGGACACCGCCGGGTGCTAAAATCTTCTGACACAGTTCAAACGTTGCAGGAACCCCGACTGCCTCAATAACCGCATCGGCGCCCTTGCCATCCGTCAGGTCCAGCACTTTCTTCACCACGTCGACGTCTGGCGCGCTTTTTATAGTATCCGAAGCGCCCAAGTCCGATGCAATCTTGAGCCTGTTGCTATCCATATCGATCATGATCACCTTGGAGGGAGAGTAAAAGTTCGCCGTGGCCATCACGGCCAACCCGATCGGACCAGCGCCGACAATGGCGACCGTCGATCCGGGCTGTACCTTGGCGTTGAGGGTACCGCATTCGTAGGCAGTCGGTAGCGTATCGCTCACCGTGACGAGAGACGGAACGTCGGCGATGCCGGGCGGCACGTGGTGCAGGCTGCTATCGGCGTGCGGGATGCGCACGTACTCGGCCTGCGTGCCGTCAATTTCGTTTCCCAGAATCCACCCACCAGACTTGCAGTGGGACGGCATGCCCCTCCGGCAATATTCGCAACACGAGCAAGACGATATGCACGAGATGATGACGTTGTCTCCTTCCTTGAAACTCGAGACCATGTTGCCCGCCTGTTCGATGCTTCCCACCCCTTCGTGCCCGAGAATGCGGCCGGGAGCGCACGTCGCTACATGGCCTTTCCGGATATGCAGATCCGTGCCGCAAATGGTGGAGTATTTGAGCTTGACGATGGCATCGGTGGGCGCGAGGAGCTTGGGGTTTGGTCGCTCCAGTAGCTCGACCTTGCCGACTTTGGTAAACACGAGGGCCTTCATCGTTAATTGCCTTACTTTTTGCATTGCGGAAGCTTCTCTCGCGTTCGAGGGCCGATTGTGGGGGAGCAACAAGTACTAATAAAGCAACGGGTCTGGGGCCGAAGCAGGGTACGGCAGAGCGGGATTTTAGAGTCCAGTAGCCAAACCAGGAATCCGGAAATGTGGATGGCAGCTGTGACGGTTTTATCACATTGTTGCCTTTATGATATGATTCTCACCAATATTGCTGGCATTTGCCTCCAGCGATAATTCCCATTCGTCGTCGTCGTGTTCATCATAAACCTTGCATCATGGTTGTGGAGAATGTCTCATGAATCATGATCAAGGGGCGGTCAGGTTCGGATGAGATCTCCCATGCCAGCGTGTATTCATTTTCGGGGGCCTAGAAGCATACAAAATCTGGAGCATGATACCTTGCCCGCACGATCTATAAATGAAGAGAGCTAATAGATTGGCGCACGTATTATGAGATCACACATGTGGAGATCGCTAGCTGGGTGCCCCGGGCAAGCCCATCAACATCAGGCGCGCCACCATCAAATGCTGGGTTCAAAGTAATACGCGTTTCCTGGAACACATTGCCAACTGTCATTAGTGAGACTCGCGTGGTGCAGATAGTAACGCGAGCAACGCACGAGATCGTAGGAATCGCTTCACGCAGGCGGAAAGCGATCAAGGGCGTCCAAATTCTTATTGGGACTAGCGGAGTGGAATGCTGAGCTCAGAAGTAAAGTTCGACGCTGGGGCGAAGAGCCGGGGATGTGTGAAAGATAAAAATGTGGTAGTAGGTTTGTTTGTTGGCTGTGTGCACGAGCAGACCCTTTCTTCAACTGGGGGTTGCGAATGGATTCGCGAAGCCCAAAATTCAGGCTCTTGTCATTCCATCAATGGAACCACCGTATAACCTCTCCCCGCTCACTTGGAGAAAGTCTCCGGTGCCAAGTCTCGTGCACGGCGCCAAGAAAACTAGTTCCATCCTTACCAGGGTCTTGCCAGGTGAGTGGCATTGGTTTCTCTGGTAGGAGAAGGGCAAGAAAAATGATGCAAGAAGAGGCGGTTAAGGGCTTCCAGTGATTATCGAGACGTGTTCGCCTGAGACGCCTTTCAATCTCCGGTTCCCAGGGCTGCCTGGAGCGAGACAGAACTAGGTCACATATGCACTTGGGGTCTGTCAACCTTGAAGCGACGATTCAACACCCTGCGTGCCAAGCGTGCCCTGGTGGAGAGGGATGATTCTCTTCTGTACAAGGGGGTTTCAATGCTCTGAACCCTTCCTGAAGGACGCACGAAAACCAGGATGTCGCCGCTAAAATAATGCATCAATCCATCCATCTATTGATCAGTTTAGATCCCCCTCAGGTACCATCTCTTTCCTCTTTCCCCTAAGAGATGGCCCGTCCCGAGTCCGCCCAGAGACTGCATTGAAATATCAGGCCACACGTGATTTCAGCCCCAGCTTCAATTCAAAGTTAGACCCCAGTCTCAAATGTCACTGCAGCCTCAAACCTCGCGGAGCGACTCAAGATGCAAGCTTGATCATGTGACTAAGATCGCCCTCTTGACGCGTCAGAATGTCATCGTTGGCAGTGGCTGAGCTCGCTCACCGCCGATGACGGTGTGGGGAACGAAGCATCACAAAACCTCCAAGACCAATATATCATCTTTGCCAGACCTAAATCATTCTCTCCCGCATCAATCTTTCCAGGAGCTCGACAGATCCCCATCCAACTCGCCCAATCTATACAACATGGAGCCTCAGAACCAATCCCACGCCACGACCGGGTTCCCCGCAGCCAGTCCTGAGCCTGTACAGATGACGCAACCGCTTCCCTCCAACCAATGGGTAGGTGACCGTCATTGACGACCCGTTCCCTTTCCTTGCAGTGTTCCGTGGCTCACCACTGACTCTCCCATTTCCCTTTCTATTTAGATCCTAAGCAGGCCCCCGCGGATCAGCAGGAGAGGGGCATGCTTCGTGGTGGAGGCGAGGCGTGCCCGGGACGATTCTGCTTCATCATTCCCTGCCCGATCCCCTGCAACTTTTGTGTTTTCCCTTGCCCTTGCTAAGAGGCACTTGATTCGGGTTAGGTTGAAACCTTGGTCGCGATATGTGACTTTATATCTGGTTTTGGGGAGGATGACTATCCAAACGGGCGCTAGGGGTATATAATATGCGATACATAGTGTCGGTCGACCTTTAATTATCATCAAAACATCTTTGTCAAAGAAGAACCATGACAACTTACACACTGACCGCAGGACCTCGGCTGTGTATCACATGGATGTGAAGATCGATATCGACAATAAAAGCTCCATCATTTGCTCCGAAATATATGTGAACCAGATTCTACTGCGAATACTTCTTGACAGAGCCACCTTTCTCGTAGTCAGCATAGCCTAGATGCTATCTTACCAACTGAAGTGCCCAAGCTTTGGTCAAAATTTGAGAGCGAAATATTCTTTGCTCGAAATACGGGGACTTTGAACCAAATAGTGTTTGTCTCCGGCTTCCACGATGGTTAGACAAGCACACCTGGTCTCCTTAAGTGATGGTCTAGTGTTTATCGCATCCATGGATCAATGTTTAATCGACTTCGCACCTCGAGTCCTGCATCAACAAGTTCAGCCGAGGCCATGTGGTGGCGCGGGACATCTAATCTATTCCCACAGCATCTGGCCCGCCGGAGACAGCTGGCTCCGCATCAATCCTAGCGTCTCGTGGCGTTTGCCCCACGGCCAGCGTGGCGGGCGGTCACTTCAAATGATCGTCGACCGAGACGACGACCACCCGTCCATCTGGGCGGCATGGCTTGGTTATCGACTCTACAACATCCGCAAATTTCCGGGTCAAGCCATCATTCCAGAAATGGCAGGGAGATGCCGCAAGCTCATCTTCAGTCTACGTCCTGCCTGCTCTTTTATTAAATGTTTCCTTTACCCCGGCAGCTTGTCCACATAAGGGATAAAGAATTGGGCAAGGTGAGCGGGTGAGATACGGCTGGTCTGGAAGCTCGTCCTTGTAACATATAGCGAGGCCATTCAGACAGGCACCCCTCTTGAAATATTTCGAGGCGGACGATTTTCACCACTCATTGGACCACATTTACTTCCGACGTCTCCCAACCCAATCACGTGAACTGCAAGAATTACACGTTGGTTTGGGCATCAGTTTGTGACAAAATAGCAATCCCGGGCTGTCTCGACCATGGGTGCTGCCTACCCCGCTTCCGTCAACTCTGGAGACTCCTACGCTAAGGACGGACCACGCCGACCGAGGGAAGCGAGAACCTTTGTTCTGAACTATTTGCAAGCGCGCACGCACTAGCACCTCGACCCACTTGACAGAATGCGGAAATTCTTCAGGTCACAACGAAGGATCGCAGGGCCTCCGGGAGAGTCCTCTGGATCATCGGATACGGCCCCGCCCCCGACTCGCAAGACTTTTCCTGCTGGGATAAAGCTACTGCATAGTAACCCCAGTGCCGTTGTTGAGTATGTATACGACGTACGAGGTAAAGACGCTAGCTGACGGCCCGCTTAGTATCGTCTTCATCCACGGCCTAACCGGCGACAGGGAGAGGACTTGGACAGCCAAGGATGCGTCTGAGCCATGGCCTCAGGCCCTTCTTCCATTGAAACTGAATAATATACGTGTTCTCGCATTTGGATACGATGCGTATATATCCGACTGGAAGAATGTAGTATCGGAGAATCGAATACGTGATCATGCTTGAAATTATTGACATCCCTCTCGACATACCGCGACGATGATGATACTGTATGTTTCCGCTATCATTTGAAAATAGTTATGGCTCTGACACCGATAGAATGGGCGACCAATCGTGTTTGTTTGCCACAGTCTAGGTGGCTTAGTTTGTGAGGATGTGAGTCGTATTTAATAGTCTGAGGTACGATACCATTACTATCTGACACGTTTCGCAGGCGCTGTGTATAGCGAGACAACGGCAAGAAAGCCATCTCAAAAGCATTGTTCAAATGACCCATGGCATTGCCTTCTTAGGCACACCGCACCATGGCGCAGCGCTGGCGAGATGGGCGGAACTGCTTTCCCAATCTATCGGCATCATCAAACAGACTAATACCAAAATCGTACAAGTTTTGCGCCAGGACTCGGAAGTTCTTGCTCGGATACAGGATGAGTTCCACAACATGATCATGGCACGGTCCAAAGGGGAACACCCAATTGAAATCAGCTGCTTCTTTGAAGAGCTACCTCTTCCGGGCGTCGGCCAGGTAAGCCTCATAGTATAACTCGATAGAGTATATCCAACTGACTAGATTCGCAGGTTGTGCCACAACATTCCGCTATCCTGCCAGGGTACATTCCAATCGGGATTCGAGCCAACCATATGGACATGGTCAGATTCTCCAGTACTGACGATGCGGGGTTCAAGGCAGTCTGCAGCGAACTACGGCGGTGGATTAAAGGGGTTCACAGGGTTGTAGAGAATGTTAATGGAGCTGTAGAGGACCGCAACCAAGATGAAGCACCATGTAGGTAACGTGCCAATATATCCTAGACTAAGCTAATTGAAGAACAGTCCTTGTACCATACCCCCAGAATCAGGACTTCGTCGGACGAGCTGAAATTCTCGAGCAGCTAAGAAGCCAGCTGGGCCATGGGCAGGAACGGCCGAGCGGCAAGTGGCATCTCAGAGCCGCGCTTCATGGGCTTGGGGGCATCGGGTACAAAAGAAGCTATTCCCACTTTGTCGTAAGCTCTACTAATGTGAGATAGGAAAACTCAAATTGCGATAGAGTACGTGTACCAGCTACGCAAGACACGCCCAGAAGTATCTGTGTTCTGGGTCCATGCCAGCAATGGCGAGCGGTTCCGCCAGTCATATGCATCTATCGCAAAAGACTGCGAAATCCCCGGCCATGATGACCCGTCAACAGATATGCTGTCTCTTGTGAAGGACTGGCTGAACAACAAGGACCGCGGCCAGTGGTTGATGGTCATAGACAATGCCGATGACGCGCAGCTCCTTTTAGCCAGGCGGTAGAGAGCGGGCCTATCGACAAGTCCAGCCACAAAGAAAGCCTTGGGTATTATATCCCAGAATGCCCACATGGATCGATTCTCGTTACCACGAGAAACAAAGAGGTCGGCTCAAGACTGCGAAAGGGAAAATACCCAACGGAAATCAGTGCGATGGACGCAAACAACGCAAACAAGCTCCTCCATTCGAAGTTCCAGGGAAGCGATATCAACTTAGAGAATTCATATAGCCTTTGCTCCCGACTAGAAGGGCTCCCACTTGCACTTGTTCAAGCTGCAGCCTACATACAGACACGAAGTATATCTGTCAGTAACTACCTTGGACTCCTCGGTGAACAAGATCAGGATCTCGTGGATTACCTAGGTGAAGAATTCGAGACTGATGGGAGAGATTTGGAGACCTCCCGTGCAGTCGCTGAAACTTGGATAACTTCATTCGAGCAGATCCGACGGCAAAACGACCTTGCAGCGGAGCTACTTTCACTTATGAGCTTCTTTGACCGGCAGGCTATTCCTATACAGTTCTTGGCCTCCTACGCAAACCAGCATAACCAGGGACCATATAATACAAAACAGCTCACAGACGCTATTGGTATTCTCAAGGGGTTTTCCTTCGTAATGGAGGGAATAGACCAAACCCTAGGTATTCACCGTTTAGTACAGCTAGTGTCGCGAAAGTGGCTTATAAGAGCAGAAAGAACAGAGCATTTTGAAGACCAGGCGATTCTGGTAGTATCTCAAAATTATCCATCGGGAAATTACGAGAATTGGGTAGTATGCGGGACATATCTTCCACATGCATATGAAGTATTAAAGTTTAAGGGTACAGAGTCTGATGAAATGGAGCTAGAAAGGGCAGATCTTCTTGATAATATAGCAACGTATCATGATAGTCGAGGCCAATTCAGCAGTGCGGAGAAGTTACTGTTAAATGCTTTAAGTTTACGGAACAAAATATTAGGACAAGACGATCTTTCTGCAGTTGCTAGCATGGCGGCTTTGGCAAAAACCTTCTGTAACCAGGGCCGATGGGAGGAGGCTGAGAAGCTAGAGGTGCAGGTGATGGAGATGAGAAAGGCGAAGCTTGGGGATGATCACCCTGATACTCTTACAAGTATGGCGAACTTAGCGTTAACATTTTGGGACCAGGGTCGATTAGAAGAGGCTAAGAAGCTAGGGGTGCAGGTGATAGAGATGAGAAAGGTGAAGCTTGGGGATGATCACCCTGATACCCTTACAAGTATGGCGAACTTAGCGTTAACACTTTGGGACCAGGGTCGATTAGAAGAGGCTGAGAAGCTAGAGGTGCAGGTGATGGAGATGAGAAAGGCGAAGCTTGGGGATGATCACCCTGATACCCTTACAAGTATGGCGAACTTGGCGTCAACATTTAAGGGCCAGGGTCGATTAGAAGAGGCTGAGAAGCTAGGGGTGCAGGTGATGGAGATGAGAAAGGTGAAGCTTGGGGATGATCACCCTGATACCCTTACAAGTATGGCGAATTTGGCGTCAACATTTCAGGGCCAGGGTCGATTAGAAGAGGCTGAGAAGCTAGGGGTGCAGGTGATGGAGATGAGAAAGGTGAAGCTTGGGGATGATCACCCTGTTACCCTTACAAGTATGGCGAACTTGGCGTCAACATTTAAGGGCCAGGGTCGATTAGAAGAGGCTGAGAAGCTAGGGGTGCAGGTGATGGAGATGAGAAAGGTGAAGCTTGGGATGATCACCCTGATACCCTTACAAGTATGGCGAATTTGGCGTCAACATTTCAGGGCCAGGGTCGATTAGAAGAGGCTGAGAAGCTAGGGGTGCAGGTGATGGAGATGAGAAAGGTGAAGCTTGGGATGATCACCCTGTTACCCTTACAAGTATGGCGAACTTGGCGTCAACATTTAAGGGCCAGGGTCGATTAGAAGAGGCTGAGAAGCTAGAGGTGCAGGTGATGGAGATGAGAAAGGTGAAGCTTGGGGATGATCACCCTAATACCCTTACAAGTATGGCGAATTTGACGTCAACATTTCAGGGCCAGGGTCGATTAGAAGAGGCTGAGAAGCTAGAGGTGCAGGTGATGGAGATGAGAAAGGTGAAGCTTGGGGATAATCACCCTAATACCCTTACAAGTATGGCGAACTTGGCGTCAACATTTTGGAACCAAGGGCGATTAGAAGAGGCTGAGAAGCTAGGGGTACAGGTGTTAGAGATGAGAAAGGCGAGGCTTGGGGATGATCATCCTGACACCCTTCTAAGTATGAATAACTTGGCATATACGTGGGAAGCTCAAGGGCGGTTGGCTGATGCGCTGGCTTTGATGCGGACTTGCGCTTCATCACGGCAGCGCGTTCTTGGGCCAAACCACCCATATACACTGGCTTCCTTAGCTACTTTAGATCATTGGAGTTAACTTTTAAATAAGTACCCATGTATAAAAAGTCAAGTCCAAAGACTGGGCAGCTACTTTCCTAGAGAAAGACCCGCTTATAAAAAATAAGTATTCAAAATTTCCAACACCTATTTCGTCTTTTCCTCAAATATCTTCGATCCCTTATATCTTTCCTTACGCAAGGGGATCGCCCATTCGCACCGGTCGCCTAGTTGTAGCCATTTTGGAATAAGCGCCTGAGCCCATCGGCCGCTTCCCGTCGATACCCGGCACAGGTGGTTAAGCGGCCCACGTGATTGGGCCGTTTAACCAGCCGTCGTTCAAGTTGCCGAGCTCACGCCCCACCGAATTCAACTCCTCTTTGTATGATAAGCTCTCACGGCCACCTTGACCTCTGCTCTAAATCCTTTATTTTTGGCTTGCGCTCCAGCTCCGTAGACCTTTACCGGAAACTTCAAGATGGCTGCCAAGGGGACATCCTACCTGATCATTGGCTCAGGGGTGTTCGGCGTGTCTACGGCCTACCACCTCATCCAAAAGTACCCCACAGCCTCCGTCACGCTCGTCGACCGCGACGCCTACGACGCCGAGTCCCGCGTGGCCGCCTCGTGGGACTGGAACAAGGTAGTGCGGGCCGACTACGACGACAAAGTCTACTGCCAGCTCGCGCTCGAAGCCCAGGACGTGTTCCAGTCGGACCCTCTCTGGAAGCCCTACTTTCACCAGACAGGCGTCTACTGGATATGCCGCAGCTCCTATGCCCAGGACGTTATCAACCACCACAAGGGATTCGGTCGGCACAACGATATTGAGGCATTGCCGGTCGCCCAGGCCCGGAAGATGTTTGACGGCCTGTTCGATAATGCGGATTACACGGGCGCCAAGGAGGTGCTCCTTAACAAATCGAGTGGCTGGGGTGCGGCGGGAGACTCCTCGTGGCCATTACCAAGAGGTGCATAGAGCTTGGGGTAAAGTACGTGACCGCCGAGGTCGCCACGTTGGAGTTTGACGGGAGGCGCTGCATCGGGGCCAAGACGCGGGATGGAAACCGTCTGCTTTCGAGCCATGTGATTGTGTCTGCCGGCGCCTTCACTCCCACTTTGCTGGAAATGAGCGCGGAGGCGAGCGGCAACGAGGGTCTGAGTGCAGGGTCGAGGATACTCGCTGCGGGCATCACGACCGGAATGGCACAGCTCACGGCTGAACAGTACCAGAAGTTCAAGAATATGCCAGTGGGCTTCCAAGGTTACACACCTAATGAAGGTATTCCTCCGTCCGCCCTGATCCCTGTTGGGGGAATCCCAAGTTGAACCTCGGATCTGACGATTCCAACAGGCAAGCCCTTCATCGGAAGCCTTCCACCAACAAAAGACGGTGAGCTAAAATGGTGGGGTTCCAAGATCTTCACGAATACCCGAGAAGTTCTGCCCGGGCGATACCTCTCATCGCCACCTGCTGCCTCAGACTACAATCAATGGAAAGTTCCCGGGCCTTTGAAGCAGGATATTGTGGAGTCGAGAAACCTTTGGTACGGGCCAGCCAGCGCGGACTGGCGAATGACCAAGCACCGAATATGCTGGTGAGATTGATCCCAATCAACCCGACTTCAACATACAGAATAACTAACTGTACTCAGGGACGCGTTCACCACGACATCCGACTTCATCATTTCTCCTCACTCGGCGGCCCGAGGACTTTATATCGCCACTTGCGGGTCTTTCCACGGCTACAAGTTCTTCCCCGTCCTTGGCAAGTACATCACGCAAATGATGGAGGGCGAACTGTCTCCGGAGCTGGCAGACAAGTGGGCCTGGGACCGAAAGCGTCCGGATCCCTCGCAAAACGTCGAGTACCCTAACACGGAGGCCAACCACTTGCTTGAAAGAATGACTAAACTGTAGCGGACGGGGCCAGGAGGACGAGTTTCCAATTGTTTTAAGCATACGCATGCCCAAGCGCTTTGCCAAGTGTTTGCTATTATCAAGGCAATGAAGTGGTGTGCCGGTTTATTGTGCTGTTCTTCTTTGGAGCCAACAACGGCAAGCTCTACGAGCAGAAATCAATAGTACAATATAAGATAGATAAAATAGTATCTTAGAAATGGAACTTCATGCCACTTTGAGCCAAGCTGATAATCTTGCGCTCCGAGAACTCCTCAATGCCCGCAATCCCGCCGAACCGTCCGTATCCGCTACTGCCACCCACGCCTCCGTTGGGAAGCGTTGGCTCGATGTATATCGTGGGACCGTTGATGTGACAGCTGCCCGCCCTCACCTCCTTTGCCATTTCCATGGCACGCATGATGTCGCGGGAGAAGATGCTGGCACATAGCGAGAAGTCGCTGTCGTTAGCCAACTCGACGCTCTGTTCGTCTGTTTCGTACTCGATGAGGATCATGACGGGACCAAAGGATTCCTGGTGGTAAAGATCCATCTCTCTCATCACGCCTTGAAGGATATGGGGCCTCACGATGGTCTTGTTAGGGCCATCAATCTGCAAATCACCCATCAAGAGCGTAGCGCCTCCGTCAACAGCGGATTGAACAAGTTCGATAACCCGTTTAGCTGATGCCGGCATGTAGAGGCCGGAAATCGACACATCCCTATCCACCAAGTGATTACCGCACTTGAGTTGCTTTGTTCGGGCGAGTAGCTCCTCCTTAAACTGGCCCATGATGGATTTATGCACAATAACGCGCTCCGTCGACATGCATACTTGGCCATTATTAGCGAATCCGCCAAAAACGATGGACTCGACGGCGTCTTGGATGTTGGCATCCTCCCGCACAATGACGGGAGCCTTGCCGCCGAGCTCGAAGACGCACTTTTTCAAGCACGACGCAGCCCAGCCCGCGATGATGGTGCCCACGCGCTCGCTCCCCGTGAAGTTGATGCGCCTCACCTTGGGGTGCTTGACGGCGAACTCGCTAATCTCCGCGGCGCGGTCCGGCTGGCAGGGGAGGTAGTTGACGCATCCGGCGGGGAGCCCGGCTTCGGTCAGGGCCTTGATGACGAGGCTCTGGGACTTGGGGCTGCGCTCCGAGGGTCGTAGAACGACCGTGTTGCCGCATATTAACGGACACGCGATGGCCCTCGCCGTGAGATTGATCTAGCAGTACTCTTTAGCAGCTATTTCTTCCCCATCACACACGGAGACGAGTGAGACGCAAGGGTGAAAAGCATAGACATACCGGTGCATTCCAAGGGCTAATGGCATACACTACGCCCAGCGCCTCCTCGCGATCAAAACCGTAGTACCCGGCCGATCCGCGGGAACGATCTCCCCTTGACGTGCGTGACCAAGCCCGCCGCCTCCTCAACACGCCGGCCGTGGCGAAAATGTTGACCCGGATCCAAGTCTCCGTGGCCGACACCTCTGCGCGAAGAATCTCGGGCGCGTCGCCCCGCGCGTAGCCTTCGAGAATGTCGGCCGCCTTGAGAAAGATGGCCCGTCGTACGGACGGACCGGTTTTAGACCACGATTTATAAGCGACGTGGGCGCTGTCAATGGCGTCGGACGCATCCTGCACGGTCGCGGATGCGCAGGCGTAGACGACTTCTCCCGTCATGGGATTGATCACGTCGAACTGGGAATTGTCCGAGGAGGACCGGTGTTCCCCGCTCACGAAGAGCTGCTGGGCCTCGTTGAGGGTGTTGGGTGCGGCGACCATTGTGTCAGAGGGCATGTGGTGGAAATTCTTGGGCAATTTCACTTGTTGAAGAGTCGACTCTCGACAACAAAATTAAGATAAGATGCCAAACCCATCTTTTTATTCTCCAAGTCTTGCGTTCATCATCGCTTTCTTCCGATGGTTCACTAGCCTCCGGCACGCACGGCGGCGAAAGGTTCGGCAAAGCCATTCCAACGGTCCCCGTATTTAGTCATTTCAGGGACGCGTTTGGTGCACATGCCAGCCGAAGAAGCGCGAGACGCTGTTGGCTGGTCGGGGGATGGCAGACGCAGTTAAGCAGCTTTAGCATATATAACTCCGAAGCGGGGTCTCTGGTGGGGGTGTAAAGGGCTCGACTCCGGAACTATGCTTCCGTTGGCGAAGCTGCCCCGAAGCGTAAACTAGACGGTCGCCTACTACGCGGCATCTCATAAAAACAGGTTTCAAAAGAGATAAACCAAAGCTCAGCTGGGACTACGTGTGGGAGGCACGAGATTGGAGAGCGATGGTGATAACCAATCCAAGGCGAAAAGGAGGGGCAAGCAGGGAGAGCTTCTCAAAACTAGGCGGATAATTTCCCCTGTCGTCCAAATCCTGCCTGCCGGACTTCTCCTTTGATTCCGGCCAACTAGACGCTCAGCATCCGGGAGGGAGAGTATAGAAATTCGTTGTCAAGAATCCCGTGCCAGCGCCGCCCTTTCATTCGTGCTCAGAGCCAAAGTGCACCGAGCGCCACGGTGAGGGGCTGAGGTCATGGCTTGCTGCGTGTCATCCTGAAGCGCATCAATAGATAATACGTCGTTCGTTGAATTTGTGGGCTTTGTCTCGCCGACGGACCCAATGGCGATGGCACGAGGGCAAAGACGAATGAAAAACAAAAAAGGGCGGGATAATCCAGATTTTTTCACACACCGCTCCGCCGTCCTGGCGGTGCTCGCCGACGTGGGGTCATGAACAAGAAGGAGCTCCTGAAGCAACGTTCCCATCGACAAAGACGAGTGGAAACATATTTTCACGGACGGTTAAGTGTAGGGAAAAAGACTGGATGCAATTCGAATACAACATCGTCAAGGGGAGAGTGCATTCTTTGGGGCTTCAGGGCCATATACGGGGCCCATGGAGCTCCATCTATGGATCTCTCTCTCCTACACACACACAAAGGTCCCGTGTGCAAATTCCTCGACGACCTATCGGGGTCGCCGCTGTCATTCAATCCCGTAACGGGCACCAGTCAGGAACGAGGAAGGGAAAAAGCTTGCATTGATTGAGCTGCATTTAGAGTAGGAAGGATTCCCTTTTCATTGGGCGGCAGACAGCTCCCCCTCGTGCCGAAGGATTCAAGCCCCAGCACTCTTCCTCTCACCCAGCGCGGGTGCTCGCACGATGCTGTGGCTGGTGAAAAACATCGGGCCTTCCACCGAACCACATCAGAGCGTCCCTCAGCCGGCCGAATCCTTCAGTCTCACCCTTGGGAGCTTTGCTCGTTCCCCAGTCCGAATTCGTTCATGTCAGATTTCCCAGCATCAGATACCGCATCTCCACAAGTCGTTCCCGTTTCCCAATCCGGATACCAGCTCTCGACTCAGCCCTGTCCGCTGGTGACATCCATGAGCTTCCTCAGAGACTCACGAGAATTTTCGATATGCAGAAGAGAATCATTCTTACCGTCAAACGATCCAGGTTGCATCCGGCGACTGCGAACACTGGATGATTAGTTGTGATACGGCTTTGTCCGGTTCTCACGAGAAGACAGCACGATGCGAAATAGTTTTGTATATAAGGAGATGGACGGGCATCAATAACATGAGCTTTTCTTTTGTTCTCATTCTCATCATCCTCACCATCAGCATCACTCTCACACTCTCACACTCTCACACTCTCACACTCTTCTTCTTCGCTATCCATCCGCAACAGCCTCCAAGCCCTTCACAACAGCTTTTAATACATCTCTCATCCTCTCAACTATATCTCTCCCATACTCTCTCTGCAATGGCTCCTTCCATGTGGCAATACGCCGCGGCCGCTGCCGCCCTCTTCGCTCCCACGGCCCTGGCCCAAAGACCCCTACGAGAACCTCGTCCTCGCCGACTGCGGCATCGGCCTCGGCGTCAACGGTGGCTCAACATCCCGCGAGATGATCTACTACTCGGGCGACGTCTGGACCGGCAACGGTCTCGACACCTACAAGCCGCAGATGATGGTCAACGTCCCCTGGTCCGGCGAGTACCCCTGGGGCCAGAAGGGCGGCGTCAAAGCCACCATGCCCAACGGCGATACCTTTAGCGTCTACATCAACAAGGACATCCGCGACCCCAACGCGGCCGGCGACGCCTTCCACACCTACGAACAGGACAAGCCCCTCAAGTGCTACTCGTACCACTGGGACGGCCTGTACCAGCTCGACGACGGCAAGTGGTGCTCCAGCGCCTACGTGTGCAACCACCGCGGAAAGGCCTACATCAAGCCCGGCGGACAGCCCGCGCCTCCCAGCGGCGAGGACACCCAGCGCATCACCGCGTCCACCAACTCGGACTGGGTGGATCTGTACGCGCAGACCGCCAAGAACGTCATCGCCACGGTCAACGACCGGTTCAAGCACGACAGCTACAACTGCGACAACTCGGCCGTCAGCATCGGCTCGGGCTGCACCATTACCTGGAAGTGCCACGGCGACGCGGGCATGAGGTCCATCGAGCGCATGTCGGCCGCCTTCGCCTCCATCGCCGCCGAGCCCAAGTTTTCCGAGACCTACACCAAGACCTCCGAGATCTGCCGCAAGTGGGACTCGCGACCCGGCAACGAGGGCCAGTGCCTCGCCTGGGAGACCAAGACCGACAACTACGTCCGCGTGCCCGGCTCCCTCGACATGGTCATGGACAACGTGCCTCCCGCGGGCTCCGGCCGCAACCCTTCCGTCCACGGCGGCATGTCGTACGAGATCAAGTGCTCCAAGTCCAGCTTGGCCTGCAAAGCCTGCAACATTATTGGTTACGCCCTTTCGGTTCCCTCTGCCCTCGCTGGTGCTGCTGTGTCGATCTCTTGCACTGTTTCCCCCTTTTGCTAAAGGGCCAAACATGCAATGCAGAAATTGAGTTGTTGGAGTGCCAAGGTGGAACGGCAAAGAACGTAAAGGGGACGGAGATTTGGATGGGGATTGGGATGGGGGTAGAGATTGCCGCGATCCGCACACTCATCCGCGGATCTGATCATTTTTCTTTTCATAGACCAGGACGGAGCCATTAGACTAGAGACAAGATTGTGTAGCCCTCAATAGAATTTCCTTATTTAGACGCATCTCTATTCATCAAGACCTTGAATCACTTATCCTTGGGCCCCTTTATAATATGAATGATGGAAGACCAGGGATTTGGCGAAGGTCGCAACTAGCGGCTGATTGCCCGAAGGGGTGCCTGGGAGCCGCAGCGCCGTCTGGCATCGGGTCAGATCAAGGTTACCTCGCGATATCACTGACCCGACGCAAAAGTTTGTTTCAGTCATGGTCCCCGGAAAGAACCTCTTACTCCCGTATGCTACAACACCTTAGTTTCACAATTTAGGAAATCAAGATTTGCTTGAAAATGATTTTCAACTACTAAGAGGGGATATTGTGTGGATACTATGCAGCCAAAGTGCAGTCTCCGAAAAAAACAACACATGCAAAAACAAAGACGTTGTGGTTAGTGTACGCCTCCAACCGACAACCTCTCTTCAATTACACATCAACGGGTATAAGCCAGCACCGTCCCCGATTAGAGCACATAGCGGAAGCTAAGGTTCTCCCGATCCGTGAGATCCTCAAACGCATGCTCCGTTCGGGTCGGGTCAGCCTGCACGACGCCCTCGGCGAAGAGGCGATCGCGCTTCTTGTTCTCGCGGGAAAGGTAGAATCGAAGGCAGACCAAGACAACGACGAGGAAGGCGTAGCAGCCAAGATGGGTGGAGAATGCGATGCTGGGATCTCGGTTAGCATCTATACAAATAACAGTGCATATACAGGGGGTGGATAAAATGTAAAACTTACTAGTAGCGGGGAGCGTCCCAAGCGAGGAAAACCTGAGGGCCTATTTTGATTGGTATCATGGGTTAGTCTATTATTCGGCAAGGTTCGCCCGCAAGCAGCAGAGCGCATTGTTTTTCATGGGGAAAACGTACCGATGGAGTTACCCGCAGCCCACCAGATAAAGTTCATGGCGACAGCAATGGTCTTCTTGGTCTGGCCGGCAATGTTCCTCGAGATCAAGCTCAGGGCGAGGGTTTGCGCAGCCCAGAAAGAAAGCGTGATGTAGTACGAAATGAGAAGGCCAATGTCCTGGCCGCGGGACACGTGAGGGTCGACGGTCATGAGAATCGCGGTGCCGACAAAAGAAGGCACCATGAAGCCGAGCATGACCCAGACGGTCTGGTTGGTCTTCTTCACAATCCAAGTCGAGCCCAACAGGACAATGATGATGTAGAAGCCCAAGACCATGGCGAGGAGCTGGGTCTCGAGGGTGCTGAATCCGAAGCTCTTGATGATGATGTTGGCGAAGCCGCCGAGACCCGAGGTGGGGAGGGTGGTGGTGAGGGAGACCATGCAGTACGCCCAGACCTGGGGGTCGAGGAGACCCTCCTTGAACTGGTACCACTTGAACTCGCGGTTCTGCATGCCGGTCTGGTTGTCGCGCACGCGCTCAATCATCTCCTTCTTCTCCTCCTCGGTGAAGCACTTGGCGCGCATGGGGAGTCGGGCATCCAGAAGCCGACCCAGATGCCGAAGAAGATGGAGATGATGCCGTATACTAGGAACAGCCACTGCCATGACTTGAGAGGGCCGCTGGTGATGAGGGAGAAGCAGTAGGCGAGAAGACCACCGACGATCTGCTGCATGCCGTTCATCATGTACCTGTGACACGGAAAGTTAGACAAGGCGGAATTTGGGGGTTGGAGTGATTCGTATGCCCAAGCTCCGTGGTCATTTGAGAGACCAGTTCTCGACTTACCACCAGGTTACGCGCTCAGCCTGCTCCTCACGCCTATACCACATGGACGAGAGAAGAATGAAACCGGGCTGGCAGACGGACTCGAAGAGACCGAGAAGCGTGCGTACGACGACCAAGCCGGTGAAGCTGGAGCAAGCGGCGTGGCAGGCGAGAACGACACCCCAGGCGACGATGGAGAAGGAAAGGTACTTGGCGATGGGGACGCGAGCGATGAGCCAGTTCTGAGGGTATTCGACGATGAGAATGCAGATGTAGATACACGTGATGAGCCAGCTGTACTATTAGCGATGACCCGCGGGGCCCCAGGTTAGCAAAATAAACAAGCAATTGCCTCGCCGCGCGAGCGAATGGACCAGGGGAGATATCTCCTCACATCTTGTCTCAGCGAACCGTCGGCATTCACCATGCCGGTGTCGGCCGGAAGCCCCATGATGGAGGCAAAGGACAGCGTGCCCTTGTCGATGGCCTGCAGGAAGTAGGTCGAGATCATGACGACGAGCACGCGGCGATCAATCTTTTTGCGGAGCTCATCGCTCCTCTCCTTGGTGATGACGATGCGCTCGCCGACGTACTGGGCGAGCTCCTTGTCAATCTCGCCATAGCGCTGCGAATTCTCCTTGTCGGCCTCCACGTTGACGGAGTGGGTCTCGGGATCGCGCTCCTGGATGCTGTCCCTCTTCTCATCTTGGCGAGGGGCGTCGCTCTCAGCCACCTTGGCGGGGAAGGGCCGTCGGCGGACGACATGGTTTGGCGCTGGGTTAGTCGTGTGCGGACGGAAGTCTGCGTGGACGAGTTGATCAGGGCGAAGAGGGGGAAGCGGGATGGGGAGGCTGGAATCCACGAGGTCCAAAGATCTCCACCAGCTCAAGAATGTGGGCCGGGATGAGCTATCTTTATGAGCAGCTTGGGCGATGATGCTTCGCTGGCTTGGGTCAAGGAAGACACACAGACGAAAAGCCCGGCTTGGTGGTTTTTCTTTTCGTTTCCCCTTGTGTTTTTTTCCTTAATCACCCAGACAGCTGGGACATTATTATCCCGAGAGTAATAGGAAGAAGACAGGGATTCAAGGAAAGAGTTGTCACCGAGCAAGGTCGACGTTCGATGCAGGCCCTTGAATCATTTGCGGAGTAGTGCCATGTGTGGACAACGGCCGCTCGCGGGGAAGATCCTGGATGGCACGGCATGGTGGCATGGACACCCACGCGGAGCTTCCCCAGCGTGCGTTCTTCCCCATGTTCCCGTTTCCCCGCGCGAATTGAAAAGGGGGCCGGGACGAGAAGAAAGAAAAAGAAAGAAAAAGAAAAGAAAAACAGAAAAAGAACACAAAGAAAGAACCCCACCAAGACGGAAGGAACAACGTCACGACTCGCCTAAAAGATGCGGCAGGATACAAACACGCACCAAGCCCAACTCGCCTTTTTCCTCCTCCTCCTCCGTCGACAACACATGTTCTCTCGGTGGATCTTGGGTTATCATTCGGCCGAAGGCGAGCTATGGAAGTGGGGACACTTCCTTCCCTGCGACGCTGCGTGCAATATCAGTCAAGGGGAGGAGGGCCAATTAGCCCATCGTGCAAAGACCAATTTGATGGCGAGCAAGAGGGACGCAATCAGCACGGAGGGTACGGCGTGACAAGGCCTTCCCATTCCGGGCATTGTTACATTCGGGCGGGACCCAGCTTGGCTGATAATTGGAGCGGCAACCGTCCTATCCTCGGCAAGGCTTAGCGACTACGCTGATCGCCCAACCCAACCCCCGAAAAATCACCGCTCTCCTCTCCTCCTGTGGCGTATGGCAGTCTACTTCTCCCGCCTGGCTTCGGCCTAGTATTAATATGGGGATAGGAGAGGTTGCGCAAAGCGCTCTCGCAAGCTCAGCCATACGTGTACCGAGGCATCCATGCGTTCTTATGCCGTATAATCACTCGATGCTTTCCAGTGGACATTCAATGATTCCACCCCGACATGTAATCAGTTGACGGGTGGCTGGGGCCGAGTCCATATCGACGACTGATCTCGGGAGGCCTCGCCGGAGCTGGCCCTCAATCTCCAACCCATACGAGACCAATTCCTATCAGGGGACCCGGCCCGGGGGTTTAATAGATCGGGCAGTGAAGTACTGCTGCCGCTAGTAATCCACATGGCTTTGCGTGTCGAGTATGGCCAAGTACAAGCGGCAAAAATCCTTCGTACCTGTTGAGCAAACAGTACATGTAGTAAATGTAAGCAGCACGCAACCAACCTTTAGTTTCGTCACAATCAAGCGATTTAAACTACAAATCAAGCATCTCACTACATTGCCCCAATTTCTAAATAATAATCGAGCAAGATAAAAGTTTTTGTTCCTTTCCCCATGCATGAAGGGAACCACGTAACACTATTTCGCAGCTCGGAGCAAAATACTGTTCTCGTGCTCGGGCGGAAAATAATGGATCCCACCGCTAGGCCCAGTCCAAGCATCTCCGTCGCAAGATTGCACTAAAAATGTCGTGGGGCGGGCTTGCCACCACGCCTTTATCACCGCTCGCTTTCAAGGCGACCTCCACTAGATTGATCAGCTCCTTTAAGCATCCGCTCCGGCACCTCGCCAAAACCCCGGATCCCCGCACTTGACTAGCCCCTCGCCTCTCGTAAAGCCCCTCCCCTTCCCCCTATTTCGTGAACCCTCCTCGTCCCACGCATGGAAAACTGGGCGAGTGGAGCTAGTGAATCCCGATCTGCTCATCTCGAGGAGGTTTTATGTGCGGCTTCCCCACGGGCATGGAAACACCTCCAACAAAGACGACGCAACCACTTCCATCTCATCGCCGTATTAAGCTAGCATCCCTTCCCCTCCCATGAAAACCAACCTCAAAAGACTCGCCCACACAGACACCCCCTTGTTTTTCCACCAGTGAGCTTCCTCGTCCCCCAGCTCCACTCCACCTCCTCCCTCCCTTTCCCCCACACTACTAGATTCTTTGGGTATTTTGGGGGTGGTGTCGAAGCCAAAGAAGCTTTCTTTCCTCCAACTTCGGGCCCACTCCTCCCGAACTCCTCGCCGTTGCGGACCAAGTGGGCACCGAGCATCGAGCGACGCGAAACCGCCTGACCAGCGTCAAGGGAAAGAATACCGAGGCGCGACACGGACAGGGGCTAGTCAAATATTGACTCTCGTACCGTGACTGCTTCGCGAAAGGGTGATCATCTTGGATCTTGTCTTGCAAGTCTTCTTCGTCTCTTCCACTGCGTGAGGAGTAAGGTAGTGACGACACTGTTCTCCCCTGCCTTGTCATCAAACCTACATACACACACGCACACACGCACACACACTCTCTCTCTCCTAGGTGCTACCCCCACCTTTTCCCCAAATTACCCTTGTCCGCCCACAATGCCTCTCGAAGAGCACGGCCTCAAGTCCAGCGATGTCCACGCTAAAGTGCGACAGCTGATCCACGAGCTCGTCAACATCAAGGATACCACGGGAGAGTTCTTGCTGAAGCTCGACGATGGCCGCATCATTGATACCAAGGGATGGAACGACTGGGAATGGACCCACGGCGTCGGGCTGTACGGTATTTGGAAGTATTATGAGATGACGGGTGAGGCCGAGTACCTCGAAATCATCGAGAGTTGGTTCCGCAACAGGTTTGCCGAGGGCCACAAGGGCAAGAACATCAACACCATGGCCGTCTTTCTGACCTTGGCCCACGTTTACGAGCGGACGGGCAACCAAACATATCTCCCCTGGCTCGAAGCCTGGGCGGAGTGGGCAATGGTATGACAAAGAAGACCCTTTACGGCCCTACCCTCCTTTTTGGAGGCGAGCGCTGGCAAAGAAGAAACCCGTAACTAACTCACCATATCTCATTTCCAGCACGACCTCGGGCGCACAAAGTACGGCGGCATGCAGCACACGACGTACCTCGAGATCAACGACGAGCAGCTCTGGGACGACACCCTCATGATGACCGTCATGCCCCTGGCCAAGATCGGCCTCGTCCTCAACCGGCCGCACTACGTCGCGGAAGCCAAGAAGCAGTTCCTCCTCCACATCCAGTACCTCCAGGACCACGCCACCGGCCTCTTCTTCCACGGCTGGACCTTTGCCGACGGAGGCCACAATTTCGCCCGCGCCCGCTGGGCGCGCGGCAACGCCTGGCTCACCATCGTCATCCCCGAGTTCGTGGAGCTGCTCGACCTCGAGCCCGAGGACCCCCTGCGGTACCACCTCGTCAACACCCTCGACGCGCAGGCGGCCGCCCTCGTGCCGCTCCAGGCCGACGGCGGGCTCTGGAGGACCCTGCTCGACGTTTCCGAGGAGGACGGCTCGTACCTCGAGGCGAGCGCCACGGCCGGGTTCGCGTACGGCATCCTCAAGGCCCAGCGCAAGCGGTATATCGGCAAGGAATACGAGGCCACCGCCATCAAGGCGATCAAGGCTGTCGTTGAAAACATTACCCCGGAAGGCGAGCTCCTCAACACGTCGTTTGGTACCGGCATGGGCCACGACTTGCAGCATTACAAAGATATCCCGCGGACGAGTATGCCGTACGGCCAGGCCATGGCCATGATGGCCTTGGTCGAGTTCTTGAGGGTGTACTACTAAAGAAGCTGCGCGGTCCACACGAAACCTGGCGCGAGGCGCGCCTAAACCCACATCAAAATGGAACAAGCACAGTCAGAGGCTCCTAGATCTTGAACTCACCTCCAATGGTCTCCTCATTGGCAATCTTCCCTCTCACGGGAATCCCCATGCCTCACCAACGGACCGCCCGCCAGGAGTCGAGAGCCACGAGAGCCACGAAAGTCACGAGGAAGTTTCAAAATGGGTTGATGACAGGAGAAGAAGTGCCGAATGAGGCCTCAAAGAAGGGCGTTATATCATAAACAAGACTTAATTGTCATTTGAAACATGTAGTAGTACTACCCCAAAGTTCTTTTTTAAAAACTCAGGATCGGAAGAAACGAAGAGCGAAACAATAGAAATGAAACGAAAACGCTGCAAATGCTGATATGCCGCCGCTTGAAAACAATGTCCCGGGTATCCCTCAGCTTCCCCAAATACACGCACGAAGCATAGCCCCCTCTATTCGCCCCTCGCAATGCTCTTAATTATCATTATTTCGGTCTCTCGGCGTCTGAACGTCCTGCAATTCGTACACTGGTCGCGGCGGGTTGAGGGGAGCTCGGCTTTGTAGGGCGGAGACCCGCTTCCGCTGTGGTCCACATACATCCCCATGTGCTCGTGAGGGCTGGCGGACATGACGGTCGAGGACATGTCGGGCGGGGAGGGTAGCTCGCCGCGAGAAACGCTGCCGCTTCCTTGTTCCTCTGCTTCTTCCTCCGTATGAGCCAAAAGGATACGGCGGCGATGATTAGCACGGCCAAGACGATGCCGACGGATAACCCGACGCTGAGGGCCACGGAATTACCCCCGACTTGGCTCCTTCGGCTGGCTCGTTCTGGGCGGAATCGGTCGGTTCTGGGTCGTTTCGGTTCGTGTCGCTCGTGGTGCCGCTTGTGGGGCCGCTCCCCGTGGTTTCCGATGGTCTTATGACGTTGAATCCATTTACAGGTACGGCATAGATTCTCGGGGTTTCCGACCCCACGGTCGTCGAAGTCAACACTCTTTCGGGATACGTCATCATCGTCAGGACCTGGCCGGGCGTCGCGCTCGAGACGCACTGAGAAGGGTACGCTGGCGTGAGAGGCTGCGGAATGAGCATGCTGAAGCCACTGTAGATGGAAGTTAGCCAAATGCTTGCGCCGCGTGCGTCGTGAAGATGAGAGGCAGCAAATAAGCAACTTACGATGGGCAGCAATAAGTCATTTTCGTATCGTCGTCAATCACAGCAGTGAGCATAGGTTTGTAGGCCTCGGGGCACGCAAACGCAGGACCCAAACCCGTGAGAGGCAGGCGCGTGTCACGCTGATACCACCATTGAGACACCTGGGGCGGAAAACATGTCGAGGCTTCGGCGTCGAACAATCGGGCCCATTCCGGATCGAATTTGAGGAAATCGTTGTTGCCGACGCGGTACATGTGGTCCGCACAGCCTGGGTTGTTCGGCCATGGCGTCGGAAGCGGAAAGAGTTCGACGGGAGTGCCCGTCACCGTGATCAGCGTCGGAGTCGACATGATGCCTTGCGTGGCGAAGACGAGAAAAAAAAACGAAAAGAGAGACCCCTTTCAGAAAGATGGAAGGGAAATTGTGGAGTGCATCGTCGAAGTAATAAGGCCTGGGCTGCTTGTGCGATTTCTTGTTGGGCTGTGTAAACGCGTTGGTCATCCCGTCCCCGGCCCACAACCACCCAGAATAAGAATCTGTCGGGATCTCGAGCCAATCATGGAGCCAATCACAGGCGTGTCAAGGGGCTGAAGGATCGAAGGAACCAAGCGAATACCACCCATAAGCCCTATCGAGAGCACATTCCCGTGGGAGCAGAAAGACGTACCATCTGCACTGAGCCCCTGGCTGTGTCGTGTCAGTGGTGGTGTCAGTCTTGGCTTTCTTCTTGGGGAGGCGAGGCATGGACGAAGGATCTCGGACCGTGCCGTTTGACTCGCGCTACTCCCAAGCAAGGCCCTTGCATGTATCACCTCGGTCCCGAAGATGACAATGAGAAATCCGAAGAATTGGTGCCTACCCTTGTTTAGCAAATTTAAACTCTTCTTGGCGCCAACGATGTCCGTCCCAAGCTTTTGCTGGGCCACCAGCCCCCACCCAGATCCCCTCATTGATCTATTCCATTTCCCCTGGCATTCTGAGTGAGAAATCCCCTTGTGGTATAGACATAGGGCGCGTACAGGTTGAAGCCTGTCCAGGACACAAAAGATAATTCATCGATTAACCCTCGAGCTGTAATATTTAACTCTTTTCTCAATTATCTATTATTAGTAGAATAGGCGGCGAAATGGCCCAGACATCGACGCGACATTAGCCTCATCTGTTCTGACAAATTAAACATGAGGCGGTGCAGGCATCTCCAAGCGCCCCAACCTAACCTAAGCCTTGCAAGCCGAGCCCTTTCCTCCGATAGGCTTGACATTGATCGAATCCAAGTTCTTGTGCACGACGTCGTAGAACCCATCATTCGTGCTCCCCTCGCCAGTGAACCAATCCTTGGCGTTGGGCTCCCTCGAAGAAGCCACTGGAGCATGTGCTTGCCAGCAACGGCACCGATCGAGCCGTCGGGGCCACCGAACCCGCCACTGTGGCCAAGAGGGTGCTGGGCTTTCCAGGCAGGAGTGCCCTCGGGAAGAGCAGCGTAATCCACTTCGGCCTAATTCGGGATTCAATGTTAGCAGATGCCCTCGTAGGTCGAGGTTCGCCATGAGAGAACGAGAATGAAAAAAAAAAAAAGAAAGTGTAGGACCACTCACGTTGGGGTACGCCACATCGCCTTCTCCTCCAATAATGTAAAAGACGGGCTTCTTGATCAAAGAAACATCCACGGGGATCGGGCTTCCAGGCACCACGCCGCTGTTGAAAATTCCAACGTGGTGTACCCGGTCGTCGAGGGCACCCGCGCCATACGCCTCCAAGCCACCGCAGCTCTGGCCCCAAACGCCGATCCGGGTCCGGTCTACATGGCGATACTCGCCCTTGCCGGCATTCTCATAGACCCAATCGATGGCCGCAGTTAGATCCTCGGGGGCCTGGTCGGACGCGGGAGGCTTGTTGGGGTCGTCCTCTTCTTGGACCACCTCGTCCTCGTCGATGTAGCTGACGCCGTTGGCGATGATGAAGGCGCCATGGGACGCAATTTCGTTATGGAAAGCACGGAAACGAAGACCCACTGTTCAGAAACGTCAGAAGCCATGCTAAAGCACGCGAGGATTCACTCAACACTTGGGCACATACTTGATACGGCAATGTTAGCATCAATCTATGCATCGTAAGACTGGGGCGGTCAACTCACCATTTGCTGCATCCGCCATTGCCCCAAACAATGACAGGAAGCTTCAAGTTACCCTTTCCCAAGCCGGAGATCATGGGCTGGTAAAAGGTATGATTGACTAGGCTCTCAACCTCAAAGTTGTACTATTCTCACAATGTTAGTGAGAGTCTCGCCAAGCATGCCGGAGTTTACTTGCCGATTTGTGAGGCCCAGAACCGCCGTACTGATACAACCGTTAGCTCTCGTCCCGTCTAAAAGGCCGTTACAGTACTCACTGAGGCACCATGATCCTTGGCACTCACGGCGGCGGTGAGGCCTAGTGTAAGAAGGAGACCGTACATAGTGGAAGGAAGGTGGATTGGTTTATAGTCCTGGGCTTTACAAGAGGGGCTGATGAGGGAGAAGGAGAATGGAGCGCCTGTCCAACTAGTCCATTTCGACACGGGCGACGACGACCATTATATATTTGCAAAGTGAAGAAAAAGTCTAGCAATCCCCTCCCTCCTCCGCCACCAATCGATGCGAGAGATGATGCTAATCAAAATGGTCGATTCATACATGCCGTCTTGTAATGATGCTAGTCTTCATCGTGAGCACGGGCGGGTCCACGGCTGTGGGGAACTATCCGCGCTTAACCTAGAAACGGAGCGTAATGTTGCTCTACTATGCGGAGAAACAGGGCGTAAGGCGGAGAGGCGCACCCCGCAAGCCTCTTTTCCCCGTTGAAGGACGCTTGTTGGATGTGGGAAATGGTGGGGAAGCCGCGAGGGGAGTTGCCGCCCCAGATTGCCGGCGGCCACTCCTTGGCTTTTGGCCCTCGCTGCGTGTGGGGATACGCTCCGGGGCGCGATCGAACAATGCGCGATCGACCATTTTCCCCACGTTGGTCTCCTCTTCGAGAGTGGTAATTGCATCCTTAGCATGCCTCTTTCATCATAGTCCCTCTAGGCCTCATTTGAAGGATTCAACGCCTTCAGCCGGGTGTTGAAGGAGGCAACTGTGAATGTTGGTCTGTGCGTCCGAGAGACTGGTCTGCTTCTCGTGAAAGAGGCTGCAGTGGTTGCCATAGATTATATGCGATAATGGAAATTACATCACCGCGCTAGGTCATCCATGAAAATGGTTGACCATCGCGTCACGCCCCTCAAAACCTCACAAACCCTCGATTTTTGATGCTGCGGTTGAAGAAGGAGGAGGTTGTGTTTACCTCGGTACCTGGGCCCGATCGAAGCTTCATGCTGAACTCTTTCTTTCGTGTTGCTTTTTGTTTCTGCTCCTGTGCCCGTCGCGTTCCTGATCCACATGCTCTTGAGACTTGCCGTCTTGTAGTTTTGGCCCCGAACTAGCAGCCGTCAATCGAGATGGTCACAACATATAAGTGACATGCGCAACATCGGCCTAGTCACCCGAGGGTTTGTTTTTCTGTATTAGGATCATACGGCCACAGCGAGACATGATTGATGTTTCCTCATCAACCTTGACCACTAATCTCCACGAGTCTGGTATCCCAATAATGGGGTTTCTCCCAACGGCAATCGATAGCTGTTATGGGCCATGCAAACCGTCACCCAACCCTATGCTTTGTCAGGCAAAAGTGTCAAAGTCTGACTCAGGCTTCTAGAACATATCCCATTACGGAGAAGCGACGGGAAGGAATTGCTTAGCAAAGAGCTATGTAACTCAAGAATAGCGCCAAGCCGGGCGGGAATCTCACTTCCGGGTATGAGATCACTCGCAGGCTTGAATTGATGGCGTGGGCCTCAAGCCAGTCTGAAAGCTAACAAAACCATGGACTGATTGAAGGTGCGTGACTACCTAGCACTTGGTGTATTATAAGTCTGCCTGTTTCGAATGTGATAATCTTTATCCCCGCATAAAAGCGAGGTAGAGGATCGAGTCTAACTCGGTAACAGTCACAGGGAAAGCCCAGGTCAAAGCTATGTGTAACATCACCTGCACCTCCTGGGTCAATACTCACTCAAGGACCGACTTCTGATAAGTCTCTGCACTTCTGTTGAGATTATCGAAAGACCAATTCCCCTTGAGCGATCTCCGAGATATGTGATGGCCCGAGGAATAGTTATAGCCTCTGCTTCAGCTGTGCGCCTGGCTATAAAGAGGCCTAACTGACATCCCGCCGCCACTCTAATACCACTTCCGCATTTACATCTACTAATCAATGGGCCATTCAAGATTCCTGATATACGACAAGCGGGATGCAAGAGCACCTATACGTTCAACTATCATATCGAGACGATGGCCAGAAAGGTCTAGGGAGATTTTGGGGGTATATTTCCACTCTTTTAGTTGGCGTAGTAACCTCGGCGTCTAGTAGAATGCAAGGATAGCGTAACCCGAGCCTAGAATGATGCGGCCCCCGAGATCCCATCCAATGCCTATGTGTTCCCATCATAATCATTGCGACCATTCCTTGAAACGTGAGAGACTATATACACGGTTTCCTTATATACCCCCGGCGTGCCGACGGCATTGGAACTCGGCATCATTGCTTTAACACGTCCTGCATTTGGTGTTGCAGCACTTGTGGCACGAGGCCGTCCGCTCCTTCTCGCATGTCTTTTGGCACCTGAGCCCTTCGCAGCCCGAGCACGCCTTGTAAACAACCGAGGCACAGGTTTGCACGCAAGCGGAAGTAGCGGCACCATTCGCGCAGCCGGCACCTATCATGACGTTAGACCTTCTACGCAACGGGGGAGGTTATCACATTATCGACATACCGGCAACGGTGGCAACGAAGCCGAAGACTGCGAGGATCGAGATGGCCTTCATGGTTGACGACTGGGGGAGCTGATTCAAGGATGAAAGTGGCGAGAGTTGGTTGTTGGTTCTTTCTTTTGCGGAATCTTCACTAACAAGTATGATAGTAAGGGTCAAAGTCTGAGATCGACGGCACGATAGATATTTATATTCGACGCGGATGCAAATCTCCCTCCCATTGTGCCTCACCCCCATTCCGCGTCTTTTGAATTTTCTATGGAATTCGAGGCAGCCGAGTAAGCCGGTGGTAAATGTGCCCGACGGGCTTGGCAGACAGGCTTGGCAGGCCGTGAGGCCCGTGTTTTCTGATTGGTTGAAGAGTGGGAGGGGATCAACATTCCACCCCAGGAACAAAGAGACCTTGGATTTTGCTGGTTGTGAAAAATAATATCACCGAACTGACGTAGCAGCTGGTGTGGAGTTGTGGAGCTAACAGTTGAAGCAAGCTCCCTTATTGATTTCCTCCCCATCCTTCCGGAACAGCTGCTCCAATGCCAATGATCATGTTTAGAGTCTTACCTACCCGCTTCCCAGCCTATTTATATAACTTGGGTATTCGATTTGTCCCATCCCCTGCCAAAAGGACGGTCAGACTTCCATTCCCATGTCTCCATGTCTAGCATGCAGATGCAGTGTCACCCCCACAAGATCAGAAATCAAAGCACCAGCCACATTGAACGATCTAACAATCACACTGGCCTCAACGTCCAACATTGAACCAAACCCGATGACCGAACACCAGCACGCATGCGGAATTTGCCCTGCAACCTCACAGAACATACACCAATGGTGTAACTGATAACAACTCTGGTCCTGATGTCACCCGCCATTACACGTACTTTGGAGAACGGAATGATCCTCGGGAACGCCGGGAGACGGGTGCGCGTAATCATTCGTCTTACGATATGAGGGAGCTCGAGTTTAAAGTTAGCCCGTCGCCAGGCATCATCATTGTTACTGGTCTTTGCCCCGCACTTGAAGCGCAATCTGCCGGCGTTCTTCCTCTCCTTCAACCCCGGTTTTAACCTCGGTATGGGCATCATCCAACTGCACGTCTCGGATAAACAGACAGGCAATCAGCCCGGCGCCGACAAAGCAGACCATCTGCAGGAAGACATCTCTGATGGCGGCAAGGAACGCGGCACGCACGATAGCCCGGGAAGACTCTGGGAGCCTTTCCACAAGCAAGAGACTCGCTTGCGCCCGGTTACCAGAAAAGTTAGAGGCCAGAGCGATGCCAAGCTTTTCGACAAGCTCGTCCTGCTGGGCGTCCATAGCGTTAGCAAAGGCGACGGACCCAATCACCACGCCAATGGCCGACGCGAGGTTCCGCACCAGGCTAAAGGTAGCCGTAGCCGCCCCGTTCTCCTGGGGAAACGTTGCTCTGCAATGCTATCATGGGCGGTTGGAAATTCGCGCCGACGCCGCATCCGGCTAATATTTGGAAGATGATGATCTTGGGCCACGACTTGGACGTTTGCAGCGTGTAAAAAGGCCCATCCCCAAGACTGAAACGGCGAAGCCGATGCGGATGCACCAGACATAGTTGCCAGTCGCCTTCATGAGGAGACCCACGGCGGCGGAAGTGAAGGACAACGAAAGGACAAAGGGGAGAAGCATGACCCCGGAACCCAAGGGCGAGGCACCCAACACGGCTTGGAAGTAGAGCGGGACAAAGTATGCGACTTGCGTAAAGGCCATGCCGTGGAACAAGTTGACGATGATGGTTGCCGCGTTCGAAACGTTGGTGAAGAGATGCATGGGGATGACGGGGTACCGAACGACGCTCCACTCCAGCGGGACAAACAGGATCAGTGCCATGATGCCGCCGACGATGAGCCCGATGACTATGGCGGAATTCCACGGGTGTGTCGAACTTCCTAACTGTAAGCCGAGCAGGAACATGATAATGCCGCCAGTCAGCACCGTGGTGCCGAGCCAGTCGATGAGCTTGATGCCTACAAGGATCGGTGTCTTCGGGGTCTGGAGCTTGAGCGTGAAGAAGATGATGAAGAAGGCGGCGCCGGATATGGGAAGGTTGATGTAGAAACACCATCTCCACGATACGTAGTCTGTGAAGGCGCCGCCCACGACGGGGCCGAGAGCCGCGGCCGTCGCCCACGTCATGCCAGTTAACGCGTAGTACTTGCCACGATCCCTGTTTCTCGGACACCCGCCAAGTTCACGTTAGCATACTCTCTGTATTTGGGTAGAAAAGGATGACAAGAGATGGGGTGCTGTCACGAACCGTTGCGAAAAGAGATCAGCAATGACGATGCTGCAAAGCGCCAATATACCTCCAGCCCCAATACCCTGGACCGCACGACCGGCGATCTCCATGGCGACATTGACGGCCGTGGCGCAAATCACGCTGCCCGCGAAAAACACAACCACCGCGGCGAGCAGGACTCCCTTCCGGCCCCAGATATCGCTGAGCTTGCCCCATGTCGCGGTCACTGCCGAGCCCGCGATCTGAAAAGCTGATCCGACCCAGACGTAAGCCGACGTCGAGTCAAAGTACTCGGCAATCGTGGGCAGGGCGGTGGCGATGATGGTGATGTCAAGGGCTGCCAAAAAGATGGAAAGCTATAGTCGAGGAGTTAGCAAGCAAGCAAGGCTAGTGATGGAAACAAAGGACCGTCGTGGGACTAGGCGCAAGCGCTTAAACCTACGCAGATCGCCACCATCAGGAGGCTTGTTTGAAGCCGAGATCGGACGGGCGCAGTTTGCGACGGCTCGCTGGGGGCAGAAGTCGTGGCCGTTCCATGTCCTCCTGGGCTTCTCCCTTGTTCGCCGAGCTAGGCCGCATCTCTATCTGACTAGGCGCCATTCAAAAATTCGAGATAGCTCCTCCCGCAATTGCGACACAGGGTGTTGTTTTTCTTCTTTTCTGCTTCTGGTCAAATCACGCCAGAAATAACGGTTTGGAGCGGCTGAGGTGGACCCCGCTGCTGGGAGACAAGCTCGGACTTTGCTTGTCACTCAAGCCCCGAGCTTGGAAGAAATTCGTGGATCAAATTTCAATTGGCTAGCAGACGGCTAGCTAGCTACCCTGCATATTTTCTATGACTTCATTCTCGTCGTTCCTCGTCCTCCCGGCTCGCAAACGTCTCGTGGAGCTTGACGCTTCCCTCCAGCCCAGCTAATAAAGCCTCATCCATCCCAGGAATCACCATTTCAAACGTATCCCTCACCACCGTATAATCGTAGTATCCACACCTCGCAATGGGCTCCGTTTTCTTCACATCGATGCGGCCATCCGTGAGAACGCTGTCGTCGATGTGCACGCCCACCACGCGACCAATCACAATATCCACCGTTCCCATCGGGGGTTCCCTGGCAGGCGGAGAGTGCTGTGATAGACGCACTCGAAACGGACAGGCGACTGGGACACCATCGGGACGGGGTTGCTCGCGTCTCCCGGGAGCTTGGACGAGAAGGACTTTTCGAGGCCAGCGCGCTCAAATTCGTCGACGCCGTACTGGACTTGCTCCGCCGTCACGTTGAGCTGTTCCCGCAGCTTCCACGTTGCTAGGTTCCAGCAAAATTTCCCCGACTTCTCGGCGTTTTCCACTGTATCTTTGCGGTTGTTCCCCGACGTTTGGTTTGCGCTGAACATGACGTAGGGCGGATCAAAGGTGACGTTTGTGAATTGGGAGTAGGGTGCGAGGTTGTGTGTTTTGCCATCGGGACTCGTCGTGGAGATCCAGCCGATAGGTCGTGGAATTACGCAGGCCTTGAAAGGGTCATGGGGGAGTCCATGATTCGCTTTCCCTGGCTCGTAGAACATTTTGTTATTTTGACAATCGAGGCCAAGGTAGAGGTAGGAAGTTGTTTCGATATTAATCCGATGCTCAGCACTACGGTAGGAGGTTTCGGGAGGGTCGAGGTTTAGATTCGTTCGCTATAATCGCTTCGAAGGTTGGGGAGCGAAAATAGAACAGGCAATATGAAAAAGAGATCGTGGAAAACAAATTTATTTATCTACCCCCACGACCTCCCGAGCTCAGGAATGCCGAAGGGGTGAGGGGAAGCTATGTGATGAGGGGAGCCCCGATTAGACCTAATTGAGCTAGCTTATCCACTTTTTGCTCCTAGTTTTCACGGTAATTCTTCGCAAGGGAGGTAAAAGGGTAAAGGGGAAGAGGGAAAGGATCAACGATCCTGTCCTGAATCCTTCGTGCTCCTATTATTCTTGGGGACATTATTATCTTTCATGATCTTAATTAGAGGTAGCAACAGTTGAATCTTTGTGGCGCGACGGACCTAAGTCCAAGACGCGGCCAGTTTCTATTTACAGCCGATATTATGAACCGCCCCGGGCGAGGCATAGAGCGGGCAGAAAAGAAGACTGAGTTAGTCGAGAGTTGCCAAGAGGAGGTTTCCACCTTGTCGAGGAAATTAGTCGCTCGTCCACTTGTCGCCCTAGATGATGATGACAATTAGCAAATGCTCTACACCGCATAAAAAGAAGAACCTTTTCAACTTACCAGGCCCAAGACCTCTTGCCCTCGCAAGAACTGCTTGGCATTCTCCTCTCCCATCCACTGCGGTAGCGTCCGGTTGATTCCCTCCTCTGTGTCGAACCCGCGCCCGCCCGAGACGAAGACGGCCGTGCCGTTCAACGCCTTGTCGGCGGCGCATTGGAGGATGAGCCGGGCCACGTTCTCGGGGGTGTTCATCGGCATCTTCTCCTTGACCCACTTATCCTTCACGCCGCTGAGGAGGTGCGTATCCGTAGCCCAGGGGCAGATTGCGTTGGCGCGCACGCCGTACTTGACGGGTGCCCAGGGCCGGAGGGCCCTCATGAGGCCGATCACGCCGTGCTTGGCGGGTGAGTAGGCGAAGAGACCGGGCGCTTCCGTGATTCCGGCAATGGACGAAACGAGCACGATGGACTTGGAGAAGTCCTCGGCGGGGGCTAGCTCCGAGTTATTCGACTTCATGTAAGCGAGGGCGATCCGGGAAAAGGAGATGACGCTGGTCAAGTTGATTTCAATGTGATCCTTGACGGGACCTGGCTCCTATACGTTGTCAATTCGTTAGCCATTTGGTTTCCGGACACGGGCACGAGTACAACTATGTAAACTGAGATTACGGCCACATACATTTCGAACGGTCTCTAAGTTGAGGTCCTCAGGTTCGAACCAGCCCGCGGGCTCACCAACGGCTGCGCACGAGATGGCGACATCGACTTTGCCATGCTTGGTATAAGCAGCGTCGAACAGCGCAAGCTGGGAGTTGTAGTCCCGGACATCCAACTTTTGGAAGTACGCGGAACCACCGTTTGCTTGGCCGCTGCCGAGATCTTGCTCGAGTTTGCGACCCTTGACGTCGTCCCAGTCGCCGAAAAATACGTGCGCACCGAGGGAGTGAAGCAGCGTTACTGTTGCGCCGCCAATTCCCTGTGCACCGCCTTTGGACACATGGTGTTAGGATTCAAGTGATTTACGAGGAGAGGAGATGGACTGAAGAAAAGGAAGGGGGCCTGGGAGGAGGGAAGAGTGAAAGGGCAGGCAGAGGGGGTGGGCGGATGCTCAAAGGGCCAAGGGCTTGCATACCTGTCAACACTACTACTTTCCCCCAGATTTTCAGCAAGAGCTTGAGAGTAGTGTACTTCCGTCATGATGAAGAATGCGTCCGGGCTCCTGCAACGTCGTATATCCGAGGCAAGGGGTGAGCAGGTTGTCGAAAAAGGGTATGGGGGAGTACCTTTATCTTCAGGCAAAGGAAAAACAAAGGGTGATCCACCTCGCACTTAGGAGACCGGGTACAGCCTGCTCGCCTTGAGCCGTATTTCCATGGTTCCGAGGGAGGGGGAAGCTATGGGCTTCTCCACGAAGCTAAAGCTCTTGGAAGGCGTCCTTTATAGTGGGGTATTTTCCGATTCGGCTTCCTTGCTAAGCACCCCATGATTTTGACTAAGTCCATGCGGGGTTTTCCCAAGTCCCGCATCCGCGCGGAACCTGGAGGAAAACGTGTCGGTCCCGCACCAGCACGCCCATGAGGGGTCTGGTCTGTCTGGGGGAGAGGAGAGGGAGGAAAAAGGGTGTGCCACTCCCCGCAGACAGATCCGGCATCTGCAATGAGGGTGGCGTCTGGAGCGGGACGAACTGGCTACATGTACGAGACTATTGTTTCGCAAGCATTTAAACAAAAACGAAACTCATTGGATCTTGGGCTGACGACCCTCTTAATTCTTTTTTCCTAATACGATAATTCAGCAGCAACGCACACGCACGCACGAGAAGAAAGAAAGAAAAGAAAAGAAAGACAACCAAAACAGAAAAGGCGCAATGGCTTCTCCTCAAACCCAACGATCAGTCATCGTGACGGGCGGTGCCAGTGGTATTGGCCTCGCCATGACCCGGTATTACGCGTCTCAAGGGTACAATGTTTCCGTCCTGGACATCAATGAAAAGACGGGCCCGGGCATCGTCGCCCAAGTCGCCGCCGACCACCCCAAGCTTCTCTACGCTTCAAGAAGTGCGATGTTTCGTCGTGGGAGGACCAAGCGGCCACCTTCAAGGAGATTTTCGAGGAGTGCGGTCGGATCGATGTAGTCATGGCCAACGCTGGTATTTCGGAGCAGGGCCAGAGCTGTATCATGCAGGTAGAGGAAGATGCACCCGCGAAGCCCACCACCAAGTCCCTCGACGTAAATTTTATGGGGGTCATCTATTGTATGTCTCTAGTCCACCCCGTTTGTCGAGCTAACAAAGAAAAAAAAACCTCCCAAACCAAGACGAAAGGGAGAAGAAAAACAAACAAAACTAATCATACCGTTTAGCCATAAAATTGGCCCTCCACTACATGCACAAGAACGACAAGACATTGCCATCCCGGGGTCAATCATCGTGACAGCTTCCAACGCAGGCGTCTACCCATTCCCCATCGCTCCTCTCTACGCAGCCGCAAAGGCGGGTCTTATCAATCTCGTGCGATCCATGGGCCCTGCATTGGAGAAGGCGAACATCCAGATCAATGCCCTGGCTCCGGCCGTGCTCGGTAAGTTAACAGAAGAAGGAATCGAAGGGCGGAGACCCCGAGGTTGCAGCCAACGCCGACGAGCCTATTATTAACACTTGACTCAGAAACCAATATTGCCCCAAGCAATGACCTCTTCAAGCACATGATTATTACCCCAATGTCCACCCTGGTCAAGGGGTGTCCCGGTTCATCGAGGACCCTTCCCTGACTGGTCAAGTTGTCGAGATCCATGGGGATAGTGTGACAGTACGGGAGCCCCACGACTACGTCGACGAGGATAGCAAGAAGAATCTGGAGATGTTTCGGAGTCTGGGCTACGCTTAGGTCGGAAAGTTACAAAGTAATCTATAGGAGGGGGCCCCAGCCCCGGATAGCTAGTAATAGGAGGAATCCCCTCTTTTTCTCCAATGATAGCAGTAGCAATCTTTGTAAGGAATGTGTCATTGGCGGGGGACCGCCTTCATCCAAGTGTTCGGAACATAACGATGCGATCAAATCTCCACAAAACGTGAGGAATGGGAACTGCCGGTAGCCAGCGAGGGCTGATGAGGAGAAGGGTGCCCCACCCGTATACCCACCACTTTCCCAGATCTGGCATCTAAAGTGGAGTCAATGTCCCAGACCCACAAAACCCCACAGATTCGCCCCACCCCCGGACCCGCCCCCGGATCGAGCACTTGGTTCTCCCCCAATGCCTGGCTCCCGATACTAATTCTTGGGGAAAGAGAGCCCAAAAGCCACCTCCGGAATGGTGGAGGTCACCGCCACCTGTCCAACCTGCTTCGTTCTTGAAACCAGGGGAGCGTGGCCTCGCTAGTTCTTCGTGTCCCGGTGGGCAGGCAATAGCTCTTCCAGGATGCGATCCGGGGCAGACACGCGAGGCACAGACATGACATGTGGAGATGGGGTCATTCGGTTGATTAGCTCCTAGTCTGCGTTCCAGGCCAAGGCCAAAATAGCAAGGGCTATCGGTGGGCTGAAGTCCGCCTCCTACCCTCCCACTGGGGTTGCTGCGTGTTTGTGGTGGCATACTTCATAATTCCGGAGAGCCTGCAGCTTCCCCGCATGGGGGTATAAAGACACTTCTCCATCAACCCAACTTTTTTTTTTTTTTTTTGGTCAGACTTGGCGTTCAGCTATATTCGAGAGAGCGCAGCTGCCCTACCCAGAAAGTTCTCTGGACATCTTATTCTTTGTTGCTTCCTTCATCACGAAACACAATGCCTCTCGGAATTCTCGAAGACCACAAGCTTGAGCATGTGCCTGGCACATCGCCTCTCAACGACCTCACGGGCCAAGGTGGTACTGAGGCTGCCGATGGCATCGATCGAGGGCTCCTCAAGCGAGACCCCAGCGGTGAGATCGTGCTCGTCCCTCAACCATCCGACTCGCCAAATGACCCGTACAATTGGCCTCGGTGGAAGAAGGAGATGTTCACCGTGGCTATTGCCTACGGATGTGGTTGCGTAGGAGGTATGTATCGTTCCCTTCCTCATCCAAGACTAGAGTTGTAGGACACGACGTTCTAACCGTACGATACTTTTGTAGCTGTCGGTCCCCTCTTGACATCCGCCATCGTTCCGCTGGCAGAGGACTTTGGTGTCCCTCTCCAGCGCTTCACCCTCGGCCTCCAGGGCTCGTGCATCGTCGCGATCGCTGTTGGAAGTCTGCTGCTCAACACCCTGGCCGTGAAGATTGGCAAGCGGCCCGTCTACATCGCTACGTCTCTTGGTCTTATGGCAACTTGCTTCTGGGCTGCCGAAGCCAAGAGCTTCGCTTCTCTGGCTGCCGCGCGAGCGGTTCAAGGTTTCTGCATGGCGCCCATGGAAGCTCTCGTACCGGCCTCTATCTCCGATATCTGGTTTGTCCACGAGAGAGGTTACAGAAACGCCATCTTTAACCTTGGTGTCTTGGGAGGAATCAACCTGGCTTCCCCATCGGTAAGTAGAGACAGAACCCACCGAATTTTTCCCGCTATACCTTCAAATGATTCTGTCTCGCTAACTTATCGCTTCTCTCCACAGCTGGTGCCATCATCCAATATAGCTCGTATCGTGTTGCCCTCCACGCCATGGGAGGTGCCTTCGTACTCCAGACCATCCTGACCGTTCTCTTCATGCCCGAGTCGGCCTTCCACCGCGCAGGCGCCCTTGATATTGATACCGGTGATAAGGCTGTGGTGGTTGACGGCATGACGGAGAAGGGAAGCACTCAACATCACGAAGACTCCCGCCGAGGATCCGTGCCCTCTGAATCTGAGCCCAAGAAGTCTTTTGCTCGCGAGATGCTCCCTTACGACGGATACTGGGACAAGGTGTCCTTCTGGCGCACTCTCATCCTGCCCTTCTTCATGCTTGCCTCCCCCATCGTTGTCTGGGGTACCCTTCTGTTCACCACTTGCATCTCGTGGCTGGTCCTCATCTCCATCACCCTCTCCCAAATCTTCTCCGCGCCCCCTTACAACTTTTCCGTCGCCTCTGTCGGTGCGTCAAACATGTCGTCCTTTGTCGCGAGTTTGATCGGAACCGCCGTCGCGGGACCCTGGTCGATGGCGTTGCAAAGCTCATGTCACGACGCAACAAGGGTACTTTCGGTATGTGGACCCCCGTTTCCCTCATTCAAACCAAAAGAAGTGCGAACTAGAACAGATGTACTGACTTTTTGATCTTTAAGAACCCGAATTCCGTCTCCCCGTCATGCTTAGCTTCCTCATCTTTACCGCCACTGGCTTCTTCGCTTGGGGCCAGAGTCTCCACAGCCAGGATCCCTGGCCCATCCCCGTCATTGTCTGCATGGGTTTGATCAACCTCGGCGTCCAACTCGGAACCACTGGTCTCGTCGTCTACGTAACCGATTGCCATCGCAAGGAATCTTCCGAGGCGTTCGCTATCATGAACTTCATCAAGAACCTCTTCGCTTTCGGTCTGACCTTCTACTGCAACGACTGGATTGCCGTTCAGGGCGTTCGTGACTGCTTCTTTGTTATTGGCGGAATTACTGTTGCGGTGTCCTTGACCACTATTCCCATGTACATCTTTGGAAAGAAGGCGAGGAGCTTTACCTACAGGCATAGGGTTGTGAGCCGTGTCACTGGGTGAACGGATCATCCTCTTCTATATAGTCTATTTGTTCATCTCAAAAGTTGAATCAGGTGGGAAGATAGCGATAATACCACTTCAACTTTCACGAGTCTCAACGTAAAGTGTGTAAGAAGCCAAGATCCATGGCCTTCTCTGACCGGCCATCTCGAGTATCGTGAAAGTCCTCGCAGTAGAGATACTGGAGCCTGCTTTGTCAAAGCTGAAACAGTCCCTACCCAACTAGAGTGAAGACGGAAGATATCACGCGAGAGTATGGCTGATGAGCTTGGCGGACTAGTATTACGGATCAATTATTAAGGATATCATTATCAAATACTAATCAACTAGATCTTTCTCCTCAAGGGAGCCGTGAGGAATCCTTCGGGGAAGACGCTGCCTGGAAGGATTCTGCATGAGCTGCAGCTCCACCCTCAATCAAATGCCACCACGCATTATGATAATATGGTATTGAAGCAGTCCAACGAGGAAGAAGTCCCGGCGACTCTCCCGACAACAGTCTTAGATGATGGTGACCGCCCCGAAACTTGGGAACGGGATTGCAGAATGTTCTAACTGAGCTCGTGCGGCCTTGATCCGCCATGCAACTCGTGCATTACATTAACGTGATTTGCGGCCGGTGGCACAGCATAGTGGGGTTGCGCCATCACGCCGGGGAGTTGTTTGTTACCGTCGGATACTGTGAATGGCTGGGCATCGAGTCGAGCTCCGACGGAGGTCCCATGTAAGACGAGGCCGGGACAGTGTAGCCCGAGGCGGGAGTGACGGGCCCGAGGGAGGATATGGGCAGATATGTCTTGACACTCGAGACGGCTGGCGAAACGGTGGGCGGGGGTGGCTGGATGGGTGGTGGTGGTGGTGGGGCGGCAACCATGATCGGGAGCGGAGCGGGCAGTATATTATTGCGTTTTGCTTTTCTCCGCCGGCGGAAAAGAAGAAAGGCCACAATGGCGAGGAGGACGGCACCCACGACGCCGCCAGCGATGCCGCCTTTGCCGCCGCGGACAAACCCGACTTCTTCTCCGTGCCTGCGTTTGCGCCCGAGACGCTGGAGCCGTCGGTGGGTAGCGGAAATCCGACCGTGTACGATGGTATCGATATCGAATAGGACGGGAGGGTGTAAGACGGGATGGAAAATGTATACGGGTCCGAGTGACCGGTGCCGAAACAGAGTAACGTCAGCGCGACCGACACAGCTGCAGGAAATCAGGTCAGCGTTTCATTCCGTGCTCGGTTCCTAGGGCCCTGCGTGAGCCGTAGGATCGGTGGGATTTTGGGAGACCGACTACTATAGTCGCCCGCAGGGCATTTGTTCAAGATGCAGGTGAAAAACTCGTGTCTGTCGAGATGGACAGCTGGGTGTTGTGCGCGCAGAAGCAGTCGATATCCGTGAGATCTTTACACCCCACCCCCTCAATCGCCGTTTGCAAGCACGGCTTGCTACATGCCGGGATCGACGTCGACATTTTGAACCGTGGTGGCCGGTTTTCTTCACGATCGTCGGGTTCTCGAAGCCCCCTGGTTGGGCGAGCAACACTTCTCACGAAGGAGGGACGGCTTGAGTGGTTTCGCTTCGCTTAGCAACAAATGGCCTCAAAATAAGAACATTGAATCAATTGGGGAAAAAGGGGTCGCATTCCAATATTTATTATTTATTCCTCGGGCTGGAAATGGAGGGCAGGCTCCAGGTACCTACGCGCTGAGGGCGTCAGTGCGCTCCCCTGCTCCCCAGGGCCTGTTCGGGAAGCTGTAAATCCACGTGATAAGATATCAACGAGAGCTGAATGCGGGAGAGGGAGCAGAATGGAACCCAACCTGCAAGATTGGGACGATTTCAGCTAGCGCATCAACTAGTCATGCCGCCTCATCCGTGCGAACAAGGGGCCTTTTAAGGAAGTGAGAAGGCCGGGAAAACTCGCAAACGGGAAGAATGGCAAGGCACGGATCGATCTCAGAATCTATTGCTACCATTGATGTCTCCTGGCTATCGAATATCTACGGTTGTTCGTTCCAATTGGTGGGGTAGCATTAGGTAGGTGTTGGCTCAAAAACCAAAGAGTTCTCTGCTGCTCCGCAGTCATGCGAGCTCGAGTATCCATAATCGATCTACAACAACGTAAAGACGTATGGTGCCGATGACTGTCGAATTCAGTAACTTGGCAACATACGTAACCTTCTCGAAGTGCTATAATTTGTCAATCGTAAGAGCAATATATGCCTAGTATTATATGTCGTGGTATACATTGCTCACAACTAGTGATGCTGAGTGGTGTACGGCAGACGGCAAGCCGGTAGCCATGGATTTTGGTCGAGCAACTAGCGACTACCTGATAGGTGTTCCACCTGCCAGACTTCACAGAATTACATCGCCAGACGGTTCGCCCCACACGGTGATGCCGGTCAGAGGCCGCCCTTTGTGCCATGTGCTAGCTGGGTAGATTGCTGCGCCGCCAGAAGCGTTTACATTCTTCATCGCACCTCACGCAAAGCTAGATGCACGAGACTAAAACAGGGAGGTAGGTGAGAAATAAGAAATAATGCATGTTTATATCAAATTAAGAAATAGTAGGCCATTAAGGTCTTTCATCGCTCGCTTGTCGGGCCGGGAACGATCCCCTGGGATTTCCGAGGCCGCCGCCGCATCACACAAATCTATCACCCCGTCCTCTGCTGATCATCTAGTCGTACACGCTGGATTGTCGCTTATTATTCTTGTTCTTTCTCGCCAGGCGCCCGATCGAGGGATTCGTCCCAAGGTAACCAACTTTGCTGGTCCCATCCCGGCATGCAAAGCACTTGTTCCGGCGGACCCTTCCACTCGATCATGTCGGCAGCGCCGTCGTCGCTCCAGACGAGGTCGCTGACGTAGCCCTTCTTATCCTTGACCCACTGGCCATGTGAGTTGTCGTACTCGAGGTTCACGGTGGGGACGACGGCGATCTTGCCGTAACCTGCCTTCCACATGTCTTTGCAAAAGTACGTCGGTTCGCCCATTCTACACTCGCCTTCGTAGCCATCACGGAACCGAATTCCGCCTTCGACCATAGCACGGGCTCCAAAGACAACCCCACCATTCCAACACGCAAATACCTGCAATGGTCGGTTGTTGTTGAAGCGTTCTGACCCAACGGGGTCGTCGAAGAAGAGTTCGCGGGCGTGGTCCCAGTCTGCGGTGGCAGGATCGATATAGAAAAACGAATTGCCGCTAATGGATCGTGCGACCCATTGATCGTAAAAGGTAGGGTAGTTCTTCATGTGGGACCAATCCATCCCGCACGTCATGTCTGCCTTGGTATGTTTCTTCTGGTGTATGAGTTCAAGGATATCTTCGCTGCAAATGGCCACGTCGTTGAGAAAGATGACGGTGGTATCCTCCTCGTACATTGTCGAGTTGCTTAGCAGCGGTTCTAGGGCGAGATTTCGCAGCTCGGCCAGACGCTTGATCCGGTGCCCGTCAGTGGGCGTGATGTCACTGTGGATGAAGTGGTATTCGGCTCCTAGTTTCGCAATATCGGGGCCTAGGGCTTCGAGGATCTCCCATGTCCCATCCGTGGAGAAGCCCTCGACGATGGAAACGACACAGTTCTGGGGGCCGAGGAAGCGCAGCGTCTCGACGATTGAGCCCATCAAACGGGGCAGGAGGGAGGCGACATTGATGAGGTTGAGCGCGAAGAAATAGGTCGGCTTCGTGGCGGCCTGGGGACGCAGGTAGGTGTATCGGTTGGTGCCTAAGCGCGGACACGAAAGCTTCTTGAATCGGTGATCGGACGAGTCGAGGATCGCATGGATATATTTCGGCGCTTTGGCAATATTTTCTTGGTGTACGGCCTCGGCGTCTTTTTCCGCGCCAATGCCAACTTTCGAGAGATGATCCTCAACTATTCAATGCAGCGATTAGCAGGATGACGTGGGGAGGGGAGGGAAGGGGAGCAAGAAGTAGATTCCAAGTGGAACGAAGGCGCGATAAGAAGAAGAACCACCGCGCGTGCTGCGATCTGCCCTTCGTTGCAAGATGTGGAGGACGTACTTAGGCCTTTATATTGCCCGAGTGCCGGGCTATCGCGATAAAAGAGATCGAAGGCGGCGAGTAGCAAGAGGAAGAGGCATACGCTAAGCCCACCAAGCGCGGACTTGATTCTCCATTTCATCGTAATCGGGAAAGCGGACAGCCCGCTCCTCGCTTGCGACGGTGTATCAGAATGGCTAGCAGTTCCGCGGAATAAGAAGCTATTCGTAAGAGGAGAGGGTGGCGGCTGAAAAAAAAAAAAAAAGAAAGAAAAAAGAAGGAAAATCGGACTGAGGATTAGAAAGCAACGAGATATCGAGCGAGCAGGAAGCACGGCCGGGAAGCAAGGAAGCAGCGGAGAAATTTTGTGTCAAATCGCGTGACTTTTGGTGCAAGGTACGTAATACTCCTAAAATCAATCACATCACGCCAATTTAATAAAGTGGGCCAGGCCAAGACGCTGGGCTCGTCAGTCGCCCTGCTTATGATGTTTCTCACCGCCTACCGCTTTTAGTCCCAAAGTTGGATTATGCCAGCACAGAACCTTGAAAAGGGGCCAAACCCGTCCTTGGCCGGCCAGATTGATCCGGATCCCAAAACGTCAAGGTCCTACTCCACTACGGTGCCAAAAGTCTTTTTCCACTTTCAAAACGCGACGCGAACGCGGAATCCACCCAACCCACCCTCTTTCTTTCTTCAACATCTACACCCTCAAAATATGGCCGAATTGCGTACTTCTGGGGTCGAAATAAGTGGAAATAGGCCTAAAAGGCTTATCTGACGCCTGAAGTACGGGCTGCTATTTGTTCGGCCCATGCAGCAGGCACAAGTCCAACCATCCTTGCGAAGACCTTCAACGTGTCACGACCTACAATCTACAACACTATCAAACGCTTCGCAGCAACAGCATCGAATAAAGATAAGCCTAAAAAGGGCGTCCACGGCTTCTAGGGCCTCGGGGAGAGCGCCAGCTTATCCGATTAGCGCGTCGTTTCCCAAAGGTAGCCTATAAAGCCCTCATCGCACAGCACTCTATCCAGGTATCACGTCGGACGATGCAGCGGATATTTCGACGTTACCGCCTTAGTAAATCGGTCTCAAAGAAACGCCCGAGGCTAGATGCAGGGCCAGCCCACCAATCCATTCCTTGTGCTCAGTAATGGATCCGGGACGAATTCTCTCGCCGAAAACAGAAAACCGAAGTAGGAACATGAGGCCTCATTGGAACCTTTTGGTTATTACCCATCATTTAACGCTAACACACGCACACACACACACTGGGGTAAGAGTGGCTTGTTTTCGGTGCTGGTCAGCGATTTTTTCAGGAGGGAGGAATTTGAGGCCTCGATATTTGCTATGGCCTCGTTTGTATCCGCCCCTTTTCGTGCTGCCACGAAGCTGGAAAATGAACCCCACTGTGGCGTTCTTGGTCACCCCACGTGCGCAGTTGTGTAACTCCACTGGTTCTCTTAGACGAAGCGGACGTTATTTATCATCTTAAGCGCGTTTGGGCGGGTTACTAAACTGGGCTGTTTGGCGGACGACTTGGCTTGCAACTTTCTTCACAAAAGGCCTCGAGCCCTAAACAGTACAGGTGGGATGAGGTTCGGAACTTAGCTTGAAAGAGCCAAGGCATGCAGACGAGAGATGTGCTCCCTATCGATTTCAAAGGAGAAAGATGATGTAGAGCGGGAGCCATTGTATCCTTGACACGATCTATCACTAAAGTCTATTTCACACCACGCATATCTGCGCGTCAGTCCCACGGCTGGCTAACCTGGAACAAGTCCGAATGATAGCACACGGTTGTCCCCACCGCCACGACTTGATTGTGCTCATATCAGCGGGCTTGTTCGCATGCCCGCCCATAAGGTAACATGGGCCGAACGCGCTGGCCGTGTCCAAGGTATCTGAGATTCTTCATCGTCTTGTATAAAGCGCCCTCGATCCACATTCATGGCTTAGCCTACATTATTGTCGACTTTTGTTGGCAATCTCACATGAACAGATTTGCGAGAACGCTGCGCTTCTTGATCTGGCCGACACGAGCAACGATTGCAGCGGAAGCTGAGTTGGCGACAGCCCCTATGGCATGTTAGCACCTCGTCCGATCGTGGGAAGAAGCTAGCGAGATATACCTTGTGCTGCTGCATCAACAGAGGCATCCGCTACCGAGACGTCTGCAGCAGATGCCCCACCTGCTAACTCAACGGCGGCATCCACGATAGCTGCAGTCTCGGGACTCGCAACCTCAGCAACTTCGGCCGCTCCAGCATCATCGACAGCGGCAGCATCGTCGGCAGCGGCAGCATCATCGACAGCGGCAGCATCGTCGGCAGCAGCAGCATCGTCGGCAGCGGCAGCATCGTCGGCAGCAGCAGCATCGTCGGCAGCGGCAGCATCGTCGGCAACCGCAGCGGCATCATCGGGTAGAACAACGCCCAGCGCGGCACATGCTTCGGCCAAAGCAGTCGCCTGGTCCGCCACAGCCGTAGCAGCCTCCTGCATCAAAGTCAAGGCGTCCGCCACCGCCTGATTACCTTGGCCGCCCGCGGAAATCGCGGCGGAAGCCGCAATAAGGTTGGCAACGTCGACGCCCTCTACGAGCGCTTGGCAGTCTTCGAGGCTTACGTCTTCGGCAGCTAGATTGCAAGCTGAGTTAGAAAACCGTGGGATACCAAGGGGACGATGCCTTTAGGGAGGGGCTGGCCCTCGCCTCCGGGCTCTAAGTCTTACCTGCTACCTCTCCGGCGTTGGCTACATCCGCAGCACCCGCAGCGTCGCCCTGTGCATTGGCAAGCTCTGCTGCGTCTGCCGCAACCTGTTCGGCGCCAATATCCAGCGCTCCGTTGGCATTTCCAGCCAGTAGGTTTGCTAGAGCCCCGGCTTGTGCGCCGTTTCCAGCGGCGAGACCTGCGAGATCGATGTTGTTGATGTTGTTGGCGTTGCCGGCGAGGAGATTGGCGAGGCCGTTTACTCCGCCGCCTGCGCCCCCGAGAATCTGTAGGCCTGCCGAGACTTCAAAGACCATTGCACCGATCAGGACCTGCCCGATGGAGAATTTTGGCGCCATGATTGAGAGGATGAGGGAGGAATGGAAGGGTCCAGAAATGGAAAAGAAGGAGATTATGGCAAAGAACAAGCTTAGATGCGAGGATACGGCGCGAAATCAAAGAATAACTCGTCTTGCGAGGACTTGGAATAAGAAATATGATAGAGATTAAGAGTAGTGAGTGAACAAAAGTTAAACCGGTTAACGTTAACAATAAAGATCTTGCACATCTGGGTGATATGTTTCTAAAAGACGGGGCGGCGACTTAAATGCCCTCTCATTGCGCTCTACCTAGCGACACCTCCTGGAGACCGTCAACGCGCGTTCACGGCCCCTTGATGTGCGCGGGAATGGTCCCAAAATAGAGCCGCAGGCCAAAGTGGGCGTCGTTTCTAGTATCCGTCCGTCTCTGTGACAGTTCTTGTCGGAATCCCGTCCGTTCAGGTTAGGATTGACAGCAGCATGTCACTATTGACGTAAACCCGGGTAACACAGTCCCAAAAGCAATCGAGACGCAAAACTGGAATATTCGACGATCACTGAAGATCTTGCAGCTCACTCGTCTTGGAAGACAAGAATATGGATGCGAAAAAGACTTCACTTTGCTTGAACAAGTGCGGGCCCCAAACAAAATTTTGCAGGTGGCGCGCGTCCGCTGCTGAAGCATTGGTTTTAGCCAGGACGAGCGTCTCCTGTCGATCATCGAAGCATCGAAGCATCGAAGCGTCAACGCACCCGCCTGTGCAGCAATGGTTAAGATAAGCCTTGTTTTCATCTAATGACTGAAACACCCGCCCGATTGGGGCAGTGCAATCTGCGACCAACTGCCATCGCCCTGAACGTTGACCTTGGCGACGCCGGCCACATCGAGACAGATGTACGAGAAGCTTGCCCTTTTTCATCGTTTCTAGTCGGCCGTTTCATCTCTTACTACCCCATCTCCATAATGGTCCCCCTTCCCCTAGCCAATTGAGAAGCAGTTTTGCAAGTTATCACGAACGGGTTCAACGTGTCAAACGTCAACGACGTATCAGGCCAAGTGGCGTTTACCAGTTAATCTAGTTGGTATCGACTGGGTCTCTCACTCGGTTGGTCTTGCTCGGGATTGCATGGGGACCCACAAACTGCCGCAAACAGAGTGCGTTTCAAGCTCCGTCGAGTTCAGCCCGCAACAGGGAAGCCTAGGCGAACTGGTGACAAATAAACAATTTGCCACCGATGGCAGAAGTGACAGAAGAGATTGATACATCATTAGTTTTTCAATGCGGTCCACACGTCCGCGTTGGCTGACCGAGATGACCCAGGCCCCGATGCAGGGGGAGCCGTGAGGTCCTCTTGACATTCAGCCCCGATGTTGGTTTCGGGTAGACTCCGGTCACCTCCGTGCCCGAGCCGTGCGATAGTGTGAGTGTAGATAAATCACACGTTAAGAGGATGGTCACGAAAGATTTCTCGAGGTAGGGGTCACGGGTCTATCCCCTCAATTCTTTGGTCCTACTTGCTGCCTCATCCGGCGCCAGCGCCATTAGGACTGTCTCCGTACTCGGCCGCCTGATGGGGGACGGACATTTCCAATGGCTACTTCATCGAGAATCCCGTTGTCTACGGATACTATGGATACGAACGTCTTATGGACACGCGTGAATATGTCTGACCATAATCATTCTCTTAATAACTGCGTGGCAGATGCAGAGCCTTCTCACTAATATAATTCAGAATCATCTCCCGACTCACCGGCGCGATCCGGGGCACAAGACACTCCCGAAACCATCGCTCGACATCGTACTCGGCCGCGTATCCCATGCCACCGTGGGTCAGGACTGCCCTCTCACACGCCTTGAATGCGGCCTCGGCAGCCATGTACTTGGCACTATTGCACGCCACACCGACAGATTCCTGAGAGATGGAACTTGTGTCATCCCCTCCAATCCTTTTGAAGCTGCACTCGCCGTGTCGTAGAGACGAGCAGCATGATACGTGGAGAGCTTAGCACTTTCTAATTGCATGTACGCCTCTGCCAACGGGTGCGCGATGCCCTGATTCTGTCCGATCGGGCGGTCGAACACAACCCTCTCCCGCGCGTACTGGGCGGCCCTGGCAAGCGCAGCGTACCCTAGCCCGAGGGCCTCTCCGGCCAAGAGACACCGTTCAGCGTTCATCCCGTGTAAAATAATCTTGAACCCCTGACCCTCTCGTCCGATGAGGCTGTCGGCAGGGATAGGGTAGTGGTCGAAGAACACCTCGTTAGCGTCGACGGCTCGCCCGCCTAGCTTTTGAATTTTGCGCATGTCTAAGCCGGAGCCGGCACGCCGGTCTAGGTCGATACAAAAGAGGGACAGCCCCTCACTAGGCTTCTTGACTTGGTCGAGCGGCGTGGTTCGGGCGAGTAAAATCATCTTTGAAGCGACTTGGCCGCACGTAATCCATATCTTTTGGCCCGTCACCAGATACGAACCATCGCGCTGCTTGTCAGCTGTGGTCGAGAGAGCGAGGGTATTGAGCCCGGCGTTGGGCTCCGTCACGCCAAAGCAAACACGCCATTGACCCGAGATGATGTTGGGAATCGTGCTCTCCAGCTGATCCTTGGTGCCAAATTTCGCAAGCGGCTGCGTCGCATACACGTTAGCGTGTATGGCCTGGGCCCCCGCCATGCCCGCTCCGCTTTCGGCAATCGTTTGCATCATCATGGTAGCCTCCGAAATACCGAGGCCCGCACCACCAAGAGCCTCCGGTAAGGCTATACCGAGCCAGCCATCTTGAGCCAAGGTGGCGTGGAACCCCTTGGGGTCTGTCTCTGTGCGGTCGCATTGCCGCCAGTACTCGTTGGGGAACTGGGAGCAGACTTGGCGGATTGCCTCTCGTACGGTAAGCTGCGTGTCGGTAAAATTGCTGGTTTCCATCAGTCGCCGCGGTTGGCTGACGGAGAAGGTCCGGTGGAACGAGGCTTGTGCACTTTGTGACCCGACGAGCGCACGGAGTATGACTCGTTGGCAGTGTCTTTGAAATCGTCTTGCCATCGTGATCTGGAGTTGGCTATGTCTTGCCCGCTTACTCTTTCAATTCACCTTGCCTTCCTTTCTTTCTTTTTCGATCGCTTTAGGATAATTGCAGAACATCATTGCAGCCGGGAACCAAGAATCAGAAGTCACATCCTCATACTTTGAGGTCTATGTCGATCATGTTCCCGAGCTTATAGCCGATTCAAGCCTAGTCGGCGACTTGCATGCCCGACGGGAGACGGTAATCAGCCACCGCCACGTGGATGTCCTCCCCTAATCCACGCCACGAGTGACTCGGCTTGATCATCTGTGAGATGCGATGGCGCATTGGCAAGAAGTTCAATGTTGCTTTTTGGGGACGACCTTTTTCCAATACCGTTGCTCTCGAGAATTTGGGGTTTGGCTTGCATTACCACGTGCACATGCACGAGCAGTAGTAATCTCCATTCTCCCGATTGCCTCACTGCGAACGTGTTGCGATCCGGGGGCCACGAGTTACGGGCTGAAGGAGGGAGGGGTAAGCCATGATAATCCCGCCGATGGGAAAAGGAGTGGAGTCAAAAGCAAGGGTTCGGGGTCGATTCAATCAAGACTAGTTTCGCCAATGGCCGTGGAGGGCCAGTCCAGTGAGCGTGCAGAAATCTTTTATCAGAAGCCATCCCGATTGACCCCTGGTCTTATCAGCGCCTTTCCCGGCAATCACCAGCCCCCGATTCCCCCTCCGAAATGATCGAGCTGCCCGGGACTGTCTGTGCACCCCTTCGCATGGCCGGATTCTACCACACTTCACGATTGATACGGAGTACGTACGTGCAGGGTTGCACCAGCACCATTTCCTCATCGGCTCAAGCAAATCGGCCGGGACGTTCTTATCAGCGACTCCTATCGCGAGAAACGGGCTGCGCCAAGTCAATGGTATCACCCAACCCAGCTCCTCCAAACTCCCCTCCCCAAGTCGTGGTGATGATAAGCTCAATAGTAACGTCTTGGCAAACATTTGACGTGCGCCATTGGAAATGAGCCCCGTTTCACGCCTGGATTTGCAGAATGGAGGTGGGAATTCATGTGGCCGAGAAAGACTATAAAGAGCTGTCCTTGCTGTCACGGATCCGTGTCTCGTTCCACTGCCCGAATAGCCAAACTACATTCCCAGCAACCTGGACCGGCCGCATAGGAAGGAGAAGCCCTACGTGTGTGACACCACGGATCTGCTACCCTCTACCCCCACCAGCTTCCACCCTCAACACCACAAAAATGGCGGATAAACTCCCCGCTATCGAGGAATGGCCGGACTACAGTGTCCAGCCTCTCGGAGCGGACCCCATGCTCTTGGATGTTAATTCCCCATATAACAAGGTAGGTGGCTATTGATTACTTACAGGTTCTACCTGCAAGTGTAAACAAACGTTGTGCAAGTTCGGCTAGTAACCACATCTCTCTGGATGTAGGGCGATCTCTGTTTTCTCACCATCTCCGCCATGCTCTGCTGGCAAATTACCCCAGCCATTGGCTTCCTCTACGCCGGCATGCATCGCCGCAAGTCCGCCTTGACCATGGTCTTCCAGTCTCTATTCTGCGCCTGTGCCGTGGCGATCCAGTTCTGGTTGTACGGCTACTCTCTCTACGAGGCCCATACCACCAATCCTATCCTTGGCGACCTATCCAAGGGCGTCTTGCACAACGTCCTTGCCTACCCCAGCTTGGCTAACTCGGATGTCCCCGATATTCTCTACGCCACCTTCGGCGTCACATTCGTGACGTGCACCGCCATGATCTTGGCTGGCGCTATGCTGGAGCGCGGTAGGCTATTGCCGAGTACCATTTTTATCCTTTGCTGGACGACGTTTGTATATTACTTGTGAGTCGCTCATGGCAACTTCCTCAACCCATCGCCACTGCGATCAAAGACTCTCCTCATCAGGGCTTGATGCGGCTGCGGGAATGGGACTAACGTTACTAGCCTTGCGTACTGGGAGTGGAACCCTTCCGGCTGGCTTTTCAAACTCGGCGTGCTAGATTTTGCCGGTTCGGGCCCCGTCCATATCGCTAGCGGCTTTGGCGCACTTGCTTGGTCGTTCATGCTCGGCAAGCGTAGGGACCCCTTCGGAGAGAGTCATCACCCTAAGCTTCCTCACTTCAAGCCTCACAACCCCTTCCTCGTGGGCATTGGTACTGTCTTTGTCTGGTTTGGTTGGTTTGCTTTCAATGGTTAGTCCTTTCTCCACTCGTCCTTTCCTCGAGGAGAAGGCTTGATCTAATCGATACCTCCCATTAGGTGCCAGCACTGGAAACTTGAGCATCCGAAGCATCTACGCCGTAATGAACACCAACCTCTCCGCTAGCGGTGGCGGTATCACCTGGGTCCTCCTAGAGTATGCCCACACACGGAAATGCAGCATTATTGGGTTCTGTTCGGGCATCATATCTGGCTTGGTCGGCATCACCCCAGCAGCTGGTTTTGGTAAGAAATTTCTCCATGATCCCAACCCTCTTTAGCCACATATCTAACTCCCTCCTTTAGTGCCAGTATATACCTCTACCCTCATCGGCTGCCTCACCGCCATTGGCAGCTTTTATTGCAATAAATACAAGTACCTCATCTCCATCGACGAAGGTCTCGATATCTTTGCTCTCCACGGCATGGGCGGCGTGTTCGGTGATATCCTCACGGGCTTTTTCGCCGCGCCGTTCGTGAATGCTCTCGACGGCATCACCACCACCAATGAGGGAGGCTGGTATGTTCGCAACTTCAAGCAGATGGGCTACCAGCTCGCCGGTGCCCTTACCTGCGCTGCCTGGAGCTTTTTCGTTAGCTGCATACTGCTTTTCGTCATCAACAAGATCCCCGGCCTTCACCTCCGCGTGCGCGAAGAGGAAGAGCTACAGGGCTTGGATCAAAAGTATTTCTCGGATTGGGAGGCGGACGGGTTCGGAAGCCCTACTCAGGGCACTATCTCTGGCCGGTTGATTGGCCCTGAATCACATGCCGCGACTCGCGTAGTCACACCTACCGACGAGCCTAAGCAGGACTAGGTCCCGGAAATGGCTCCGTTAGAGAGGGGTGATGGAGAGAGACTTGGGTGGGAGCATGTCCTTGAGCGAGTATACTACTTTACAATTTCCATCATAGATAAGATGAAAGACCTAATATTATTTATTACATTTCTCGATAGCATCTAAAAGACTTGAGATTCAGTCGAGCCTATGCTCTTATTTTCACAGCCTATGTGTAACTAAGAAAATTGTTTTCTTCTTGAGTTTGATCTTTAAATAGAGAAGGGTGAGGCTTGTGATTGACGAAATGAAAAAGAGGTCGGGTATTGAAGCATTTAGATCTATCAATCACTGCGAAGAGGTTTGAAGGCATTTATAATTCATTTAGTTATAAACCTCGACTCTGTGCGCTTTCAATGAATACTAGATGTATAATTAATCTATTTGAAGAGGGCCGTAGCCAACTTTTATAAGCTAAAACGGATATTGATGAACTTCGCCTTCTTTAGACAGATCTAGCCCACGGTCCAACTGTCTCTGGTGCTCCCTGTCCAAGTACTCCAATAAGACCTTCTCATACTTCTCCCGGCCTTTATACTTTGCAACTGTGCCGTCCCAACTGCGGATGCCGCTTGCCAGCCGCCCGGGGACATAGTCTTCCTGACAGATTTCGGTTATGGGGTGGAAATACGTTCTAATGGTGAAGACAACGGCACCCGTCTTGGGCAATCGCCGAAGGGACTGCCTCTCCGATCTGAACCAGTGGTGGGCGATGGCCTTATCCTTCTCTGCTGTGCTCCAGCTGACCACCGGTGCGTCTTCCTCTCCGATGCTAACGCTCCACGGGAGATTGTCGTCGACTTGAAGAAAGTAGTTGTTGCGACAGTACATTGTCTCGGGGCGTAAGCGCGTAAAGAACTTCATCATTCCAGTCTCGAGCTTCTCTTTGTAGTGCGGAACATCGCCGGAGGTGTGAATCTCAGAAAGAGGCATTCCCAATTTGTCCGTGAGTCTCCAGAAGCCAGCCAACAGTACGGCGCCACCAAGAAGATAATACTGTCCGTCAGGCCGCTCAATCATGAGGGCCAAGTCATCTTGTACAAGGCGAGCGCATATCGCCATTGGGTTTTCTTTGAGAGGCCTCTCGATAATGTTGAAGGATTCGTTAGACCACATATTGTCGATGCCAACCGCCGTGCGTTTGAACATGCTAGGATATCGAGCCGGAAGATAGTCGGTAAGTTCTTCGAGAAGCTCTATCGCTGCGGGGTAGGCATCAGGATGGGTATGGACGCATTTTTCCGCCCTTTCCTCGAGCCTGCGTGTCTTATCAGCGTGAAATTTCGGATAATGATTGTCCAGCTCAATCCATTGATCGAAGTCCAGTTGCCTTAGGCCCATCGTCATATGGTACTTGGGTCCATATCGAAATGCACGGTAGGGAGGGGCTTAGTAGCCACCACCGACCAGTCTGGGTAGGGAGCCGGGGCAGGGCGCCGAAACGAACTCGGTGTCCAAGTCCCTGGGATGCGATCACTTTTGGACACTGCCCGGCTCTCGGGCTCAGTATCACTCTTTGCGCTGGCCTGGACGTGTCTTCGCCTAACTCCGGCTGATCTATGGTAGACAACTACCAAGATTAGGACAACGGGCACGGCAATAACGTATGGTAGGCGGAACGGATCGCCGAGTACATTTCGGATCACCGCGAAGGCCACCATATTCTACATGTATGGATGGTTTGCGATCGGAAGCGAATAGACACCCAGGAGGTTGTGGGGGAATTGATCGGAAGGAGCCAGTTGAACAGTCAAACAAACGAACAAGGACACTCTGGTTCGTTTCGTACCTGGTATTAGAACGGGCGGGATATATAACAGGGGTCTGTCGAGAACCCTCCGGCCTTCCTTCGGCGTCTGGTCACACCTTGAGCTACAGAACCGGACATCTGTCGGTAGATAGGCACGTATGGTCACTATCGGCGTGCAGTTCGATAAAGGGCCATGGTGGATGGTGTAACTTGATAAAGAGCGGCTTTAAAACCAATGTCTCAATTGGCTTTCGGACGCTGTTATCAGTTCACGAGGCACCTCAGGTTGTGCTGCACTCGCACATACAAGGCCCTAAGTGGTTAGACTTGGCACGGGGTGGGGCCGCCAGCTATCTCTATTGTTTTCTGGCGCGGGGAACATGGTTAGTGTTCGTCGATAACATCTCGAAGGCCCTCGCCTAGCGCGAAAGATAACAGGGGACCCCGCTTGAACGATATTGAGAGTCTGCTAACTCCGGTCCTGCGACTGCTCTTCCACTGACGCGCAAACCCTGAAAATCCACGCGTTACAAGTAGTTGATGAGCGGGAAAACAAGCCGACGCGCCTTGCTTAATGGTGGGTTGCAACTAGTGATAACCTGACACTGTTGTGAGGGCTGGCATTCTGAATTCAAAACCTTAATACTACATGGACCTATATTTCGAGGCTGTCAACTTGTTCCTGCCGATGATTTACCCCACGCAAAACCTGACCTGACACAGTTGTAGTATCAAACCTCTGTAATGGCACGTTAGAAACCGATTCCAATACATCCACAGATCTAGATGGTAAACTGCTTGCGCCGCTAGCACATTGGTTGGCCAGCTCCCTTCGGCGAGTTGGTTAGATTTGCTTGTTCCCGTGTCTTCACCCGTTCTTCTTCGCTGACGCGCTCTCTCGCTAACTCATAACTGGGCCGAATCTTGTCGTGGTCCACTGTTTTCGTGCTTGTTAGTAGATATAGTCACTTTCCTCGCGCGGCATGGACGTTGATAGCTGGAACAATACGGATCTACAATAAAGACGTCACTAGTTGATTAGAGAGGTCTAAGTTGAACTGCAGTCTATTCAACTTAATGGGGAAGGGATCGAAAGGCGGCTGAGACCTAATGCTAATGCAGCTGTATATTAAAAATTACAACGGGCGTCGGTATCTAGTTCCAACTGCCACGTTTGGTTCCCTAGGTATTAGACTACGAAGAGCAGATGGCGGTCAGTGCCTCACACGTCCTCCGAACTTAACCGCAGTACGGGTTGCCATTGTTTCCAAAGCAGATCAGGTTACAACACAGGTCAGGACGTTCCAAACGGCACGGCCCGCCCCGGGGCGTGCAGACAGGCTCGGTAATAATCAAGGTGGTTGTCTGAGTGGGGGTAACCGTGACAAAGGCAACCTCGGTGTGGGAGGCGAGAGCAGTCTCGGGGACGGTCTCGGTGATAGTAACCGTCGCAGTCACGAAGGAATCGCTGGTCAGAGTAGTGGTGAGGTCCTCTGTGATTGTCACAGTCTCGGCGTCCACGGTAACTGTTGTGGGCTTAACGCCCAGGCATTCGCAGGCAGCCGTGTATTTCTTCCACGACTTGCAAGCGTGGTTCGCGTACTGGGGAACTTGAGATTCCACCGGGCCGTCTCGTTTTACGGGCTGCACACCCTGGGTGGTTACGGTGACGGTGACGATGACGGGATCGGCCGAGGCAGTTTCGTGAACGGTGAAGAATACTGTCTCTGTCGCGACTGTGATAGGTTGAACCTCGCTTATAAAAAGAGTGTCTGTGAGAACATTGGCTTCGGTATGCAAGGAAGTTTCGGTCACAGTCACGGTGCTACATGATAACGAGGTAAGCGTGCTGTCTCCCACGTCGGCTGGGTTGGGGCTGAGAGCGGGTCAAGGGAGCGCACCTTTGAGCAGCTGTCACAGTCAAGGCGAGGGCACTGGAACAGTCCTCAATGCCGGTCCCAAACTCAGCTTCGGAGATAGCTGATGTGCCAGTCAGTGTCAGCTTGGTTTTTCCAGTCCACTCTTGAAGCGTAGTCTGTGTTGACTGCGTCCTATGAGTGAACCGTTTGGGAGCGTTTCTTCGTACCATTTGCGCAAACCGCGTTGTGGCAGCACGGTGCAGCAGCGGCGTGGGCAGATTGAATCCAGACGAGGCCGGAGCCGAAAACGTGAGACCACTTCATGATTACGTTGGTCTAAGGAAAGGAAAGAAACTGAGTATACCAAAGAGTGACGAGAAAAAGAGCAAAGCAAAATACTAAGTGAATGTGATGTGATGTGGTGGGAGGAAAAAGAGATGGAAAAAGAAACTGTCCCTCCAGAACAACTTGAGCTGTTTTCTGTCGCTTTATTAAGTGGAAGAAAAACAATAGTACTAAAAGGCCGCCTTCATCCCTTGTAGAGAAAAGGGGCATACGACGCCGAAGCGCGGGAGTTGGTGCGTCTCCAGCCGTCGCGCAGAGGAATCGTGGCGGTTCAGCTAGACTTTTTCGGCATGGCTGCCAGGTACTCGTCCCTGCAGCCCAGCTTGTCCAAGGCGAACAACCCTTGAGATTGGACCCCGCAATCAGTGGAAGCGACAAACATGCCGAACTACCCTGGGATGTGGCTTTGGGATAATGGTAACGGTGAAGAAGAATTTTAGTCCAAAGCAGCCAAGGCAACACACATCGGAAGATCATGAGAGAGGGTGGCGAAGGCCATTCGTTACTCACTGCGGAACCCTTGCCTCTGCTAGATTTAGGCATCTCGTGTATTCTCTTGCTTCGTACCGAGGGTCGCGAGGTAGGACGGACAGGTACAGGTAATGACCAAGGAAACTAGCTCAGAATTCCCAATCGAGGCATAAAATGCTTGCCCAGTTTTCGCGTCCCTCCTTTTAAAATTCGAGAGCTGAACCTGTTGTTTGATGCTGGCATCGGCTGCCCCACATGATGGAGACTGTGCGTTGACGAACTATTGATCACATCGCAATTTTAGCCCCTGTTCCACCTCGATCGGGACAAGAGCAAGGGCTTTGCTGCCAAACAAAACCAGCTGCTTTGGCAAGCAACCCCCAGCTGCGCCACAACTTCTCCTGCAAGGTAATAGTATAATCGTTTGTTGTTGTTTTTTTCCACCGCAAAATGACGATCTTTCAACCAGACCACTCTAAATCAAGGTTATAACCACGAGTGCCTGCAAAGTAATATTATGACCGTCATACCAGGGCTTAAAAGAGCGTTTTGCTGGTCACTCGCTTGACACCTGAACAAGGTTTCGGGAAGTTGAAGCCTTAAAATCGCAGGATGGGCGGAACTTGTACTTGCGGCTCACTTCCGCTATAAGAGGAAGTGATCGTTATTAAGGATGAATAGGCTCGGAATTCCCTTCCTAACATGGACCGGACGCGGCTCGACGTGTTTGTACGATTAGCTTTGCAGCCGAAGGGGATATTACTAGGATGCCCCATCAAAACAGGATCGACGCTCAGCCTTTTATTTTCCATCAGTTATCATACAACGCGCGCGTCAGAAGGGCGTACCACGAAGTTCAAGTACAGTTGGTGGGTTGAAAACAGTAACAGCCGCCCATCACCCTCCATTGTGTCGGGAGTTTAGATCGCCTCTCGTGCAGATACCGATAAAAGCTTCGTGTATCAAGTGATGCCTGTGAGCAAGAGCATATCCTAAGAATCTTGCCCAATATCAAGAATTGTCATTGCTAGATCCCTTGCAAGTCCTAACAGCCCGAACTACCGGAAGTACCTGCCGGTCCGGGAAGGTCGTCGGGCCCGCCAGTGTCGCTGTGTTAGCAAATGGTGGATGGCATTTGTCTAAGGTGCCCGGGCGAATCTGAGGCCGCGCGAAAGAAAGGTTGGTACAACAGTGGCATGATCTTCTTCGTCGCCCACGTCACATTTGACGCCACTGCGGTCATTAAGCATCTTTTTAGATCAGCGGCCAACTCTTGGACATTGCTAACCATTCGGCGGTCTGATCGGGGCGTGTTTGTCTCCGGAACGCTTGTTGCGTCGTTTGGTGCCACGGGTTCCTCTTTTCTTCCAACGGCGAAATAGATGCGAAGAGATACCTCGCCGAGTCGAGGATGGAGAAGTCGTTCCCAAAGGCCCGGCTTGTCCCACCAGATCGACGGACTAAGGATAATGTACCCCTTGAAGACACTCGGCTTCCACGCGAGAAATTCCAGAGCGCAGTAGCCGCCGAGTGAATGGCCAATCAGGGTCCGGGAGTTGATGTGGGCGGGATAGTGCGCCCCGATATGGGGTACCAATTGCCGCTCGATAAATCGCATAAAGGCCGGCTGTCCGCCGTAAACAAATCCGTTGTCGTCGAGATCAGAGTCAACCGGGCCGCGACGGGTAAAGTCATAGCCGCGCCGAACGATGTTGTAGTCTGTTGTGTTTGGATATCCGACCGCCACGACGATCGACGGCGTGATTCCGGTTGCATCTGGCATGCGGGATGTGCGCCGGACAGTCTCCGAAACTGTGAGGAAGTCCGAGTTTCCGTCGAGTACGTAGCTTACAGGAAGCCGGCTGGCGGCACTTCGCCATCGGGAACCCATGTGAATATCTGGTAGATTAGCCCGGTCTCGGTGGAACGCAATTCAAAGGTTTCGCTTCCAGGCACATGAACCTCATCCGCGGCATGCGGGCGACTTGGCATCACGGAAATTGGAACTCTCATACTGTAGATGCCGATATAAAGGGTCGTTGGAGTTGGAACATTGTGTTTGGAGCGGGACTCGACATTTTAGCAAGACTCGATCCGATATCGCTGGTGAAAGTTCGCTAATACCTCGGCCAATGGATCCTACTGCTCTTGGCTCCCGAGCGTGTTCAGAGGAGGAGGGAGAGGGCCCGCTACAAGCTCTTATAATTATTCTTAAATGAATCTATTTCGACAACAAGCAACAAATTCAAATGTGAGCCCCGTATGCCATGCTGTTCAACTGGTGGCTTGATGGGCGGCCCTGTGTAATTTTGTGATACGTGCTGGCAAGGGAAGTGGAGCCAGTACATAATAACGCAGCTGGACCCCCTTCTGTTTGTTCTTTTGTTCTTTCGTTTCCTCTTTGTTAAGCTCAACTAACTACGTTAGAAAGTAGAATTTATGATTGGTATCAAGGTCCTCTAGTAGCGCAACTCGCCACGACCGCTTACTCAATACTCAAAGAGACGGAAGTTCTCCCATCGTTTTATCTCAACTACTATAGTCCGGAGGCTTAAACTGCCTCCTGAGTGCTCCGGGGACAACCACTACATCGCTTCAAGGTACGCGAACGGATATGCCACGGCAAGGGGGTTTATAATTTGGTGACTGAGCAGTAAGTCAAGTTCTTGCGGCAGGTTTCTTGAGTAGCCAAGATTGCCCGATGAGCTTCTTCATGGAAGACGTGAGACATGAATTAATTTGCTAGTCGATGCTAAGAGAATGCGACCATGCCTCTTCTTCCCCCAAAGGTTCCAGCCATCAAGATATTGTCCAGTGAGGCTACGCCCATCCACTGACAAAGTCCAGGACTACCTTGCGTACCCTGCCTAATGACGGCTCCTCGCAGGCCTCCGGCGAGACTTGCTAAGATCAACTCGAGCGGGCTGAGGAGGCTCCTTGAAGACTGGCGAGTCAGTTGTATCGGCGTTTTCGGCATCTGATTCCGCTTCGTTCTTTGTGCGGCTGTACCAGCGTCCAAAGCTCCCGCGCTTTTCAACAGTAGCAGCCGGAGTGTCGCTAGCTCCTGGCGCTCCCTCCTCAACGGCTGAGGTAGCGTCTGCTGCTGGCTCAGGGCCTGCGGACACGGTATTATCTTCAGGGGTAGCTTCGGTTCTAGAGACTGTCGGTGCTGGGCAGACCGGGGGTTCTATGAGGACGCCCGTCTGGGGGAATGGGTTAATAGGCCCCCAGAGGTTCCCGTCGGCATCACGGCCTACTCAAGGGTAAGGAAGCCCATTTGAGAAAAGTCGAATGGGACTGGTGGCACACCAGGAACATCCTGTTCTCCAGGCACCCAAACATTGACTGGCTGGACGTATTCGCCCATGACGAGTCCATTCTTGGTGACGCGGGTCTTAGGGACACCGTTGATTTCAGTAATCACCTTGTACTCCCGGGTATAGCGGCTAAGAATCTCGTTACGATACTCAAACTTGTTTTGCACGTTACGGCCTCCACGGAGGCCCAAGGCCGCAATGAGACGGTCGGTCGTCTCACCAGTGCATGGGTCGATATCCATGGCATAGAGAGCGACAGTAGCACGCGGATTAGACACGAAACCAATGAACTGTTAAGCTGTTAGCGATGGGCTCTTAGTATGGGTTGCAAGGAATGAACTTGCCCTAGACTCCGCGATCTCGGCGTTGGGGTTGGGATTATCAATGCCTAGCAATCCTAGCTCCATCCGAACATATGCCAGGTCCCCAATCGTGTTAATCATAACGTTCTCAGCGACGATACTGGAGGCAATAATTTCATTCCCCTTTCGGAAACCTGTAATGGTGATAAAGTCGCCAGCCAAGAATGGCGACATGACCAAGGGATCAGGGGCAGTACTGGGATATGGACTATTAGGAGCGATACTACTTTGTAGGGTCAAGTTTGGAGTTACTCACAAGGTGCCAGGCCCGTTGAACGGCCTATTAGACATGGGGCAGAGAGGGTCCGTGGTGTTGCGGGGGATGCACATGGGGAATCCGGAGAACGAAGTGATACTGGGACTGACATCGTCCGCTGTCATAAGAGGAGCGCCAGTGTACCCCACAGAGAAAACACCGTTGGGATCGTTGATGCGTACAGTGGGTCCGTTTTGGATCTTCATACTGCCGTCGGCATGGTTGATGCTCTCAATGAAACCACTGGCCATGCCCTCAAAAACTCATATAGCTGAATTTGAGCCACCCGAGGGATGCCATTGATACTATTGCCGATAACCTGCGAGGAATGGTTAGTATCCGCTTCAGTGGAGATCTCATGGGACACTGACCAATGTCTCAAACCCAAGGAAATCGGCCTTGTTGGCAACAAACTCCTTCCAAGGAACCCAAGCGGCCGGGAACTGCACCAAGAGATTCTCAGGGACGTTCATCACAAAACCATTGACAGTAACGACGCCGCCAGCATTATAAGAGTCTCCTTGTACAGTAGCATCCTCAAATGCCCCTGAACCCAAAGGGGGCATCCTGCCCCAACACCAGAAGGGGTAGGGTAATGAGTTGTATTCCTACGGAGAGGAGAAATGAGGACAAGCCAAAGACTCTCATCTTGAGGGGCCCCGACGGTGGACAGACAATAGACTAGAGAGACGAGGGAAGTAACCAAATAGTTCAGGCTTAGGAATAGCTTGAGCTTGGAACTGGATACGTAACCCAACGTCAAGCTTGGGAGGGAATATCGAGCCTTTTGTATTGTATTTGGGGAGACGACATTGTCAATGATCCTATCTCTATCCTCCCTTGCTGCTCGCTTAAGTTACGTGATCAGAACCGTTTCCCGCTGATACCTTCACGATTCTTGGGGGCTGTTTTCCAATGTTCCCGAGAAAGGAAAGACCTCCGAGGGGCCGCGCCCGACGAGTTCGCCGCACCCCTCCGGACTGTCGCGATGGTCTCCTCACTGACTGGCCGGGCGTTTTCAAGGACGAGCACGACAGATCCGTTCTAGGTTTCACCCCTGGCCAAGAACCTAAGTCCTCTGGGCGGTGGCAGAAGCTAGTTTCTGACCCTCCCACCTGCAGATACCGCCGGCATCAAGCAAAGCATGGCTGTGATGTGTAAAGGCTTGGTCAGGATCCGTTGCTCTGAAGAAAAGAGGAAGGCCACGAGCCACCGTACACCGCTGGCCCTCCTCGCCCTGGTGACTACTGGAATGCTATAATACAACTTACACTAGACGTCTCTTGGGTTGACCCGACCTGCAGGGTCTCATTCTCGATTTAGTAAGGCAATTCTTCGACGTGTGGTTGCACTGAAGAATGGCTAGGCATGCACGAACAGTGAATCCACTCGGATGGGGTTCCTGGACAACCAGAGGCCCAAGCGGGCGGTAGACACAAGGTAGGAGCGCCAATGTTGGTGTATTCTTCATCCTTCGATCACGCTCAAGGGACACGATTGGACCGCTCATGGGTGGACAAGGGTCGCCCCAATTATTGCTCCTCTTTTACACTCTCTCCGGGCCCGCCCCTCGGGTCGGACCTTTGGCCCCGGAGAGAAAGTCGGCTTCTAATTTTCGCGGAGAAAGGCCCATCAAATCTCGTGTCCCGTCCTCAACTTTCATTGCACGTTGTGCGATCGACCTGAGTCATTAGCGTGCAGTAGCACTGTAACCGACAAAGCTAAGGCGCGTGACTGGTAAGAACCGGCCGTAAGACAGAGATCGGCAACGATTTAAAAGCTTGTCGGCACGAATGATATGAGGCAAGTCGGCAGGCTCAGTAGTGGTAGAAAATTGAGGTGAACAAGGGCATACAGCATTCTGCATAAGGATTTTGCGGCACGAAACTGATAAACCTAAAGCGAAAGAAGCATTGATCGACAAATAAAGCGAGAATAAACTAAGTGTAAGGCTAAGGTGTTGATCAGATCTAGGCACATCATAATGGGTCATGATCCCAGGACCCAAGTGTCTAGCATCGGGCTTCGGCAGAATTACCCCACATCGAGTATCTTGAGGCAGACAATGTCGTTAGCTACTCCAGACACGAGTTGAGTTGGCGTGACAACTTCTGAGTAGCCAGAAGGGAGCTCTATCTTGTCCTGCACTTCTCCCCTTTCGAATCGCCCCCACACTCGACAGCTCTCACCAATAGAAGTCTTGATAATGGATCTACTTACCACTAGTAATCGTCGAATGGGATCAAAACTCCCCTTGCATTTAATGCTGTTAATAGGGGCATCCCATGTGTCTGCATATGGGCGCTGTGGGTCTCTTCATCTTAGCGCGTTCCCGTAAGCGCAAGCAAGTTCACCAGGGCGTGAAGAGAGCTTTGACCACTCGCCACCAGATCCCGATTCCGTGTGAAGGCGTTGCGATCCTTTTCGTGCTTTGCAGCATAGGATCAAAAATGAAGCGGGCGAACCTTCATTCTTGGGTGGGGGTTAAGTTGACTCAGAGCCCGAGTCTCGCGAATCCTGGGCCTGGTCAGGAGAAGCTTTCGGCTTCCATTCGTCAGTGCAACCTTGCTGTGTGAATCCCGGTATGGGTCGGTATGCGTGCCTAATTTAGACCTGGCCGGGGCTCACGGGTTCAACCGGGGCAGGTTTACACGAGCTCTCTCTGTAATCGGGCGTTTATAGGTGCAATACGACACCACGAATTTGGTTTTCCCCTCCCGCGCCATCCCGTGCGTCCCGTGCCAGCCGCCCCGCTACCATTATCCCAAGGATCCCTCGATTACATGTTCGTCCCTCTGCCATTTGCCAGAGCTCATGCACATGCAGGGGGCTAGGAGCATCGGACGCTTCCTCTCGAAGCCTCCCGCCTTGGAAGGGTTGTATTAAGTTGTGGTAATAAACTCTAAGTTTTGGTTCGATTCACGTTTCCAAGTTGTAGCCGGGGCCGTTGGAGTCGGCAAGTCTAACCAAACAACCACCGAGTTTTGTTTCCGGTGGAAAATTCGCCCGCACACGCCGCAAACATGTGGGAAATGCAACCGAGCGTTTTTCTTTTCTTTATTTTCTTCTTAGAGGTGTTGGCGAGAAGAGCTTAGTGGATAAAGCCAAGGACAGTCAAAAGCCAAAGACTTAAGGGTCACAGCTAATCTCGGAACCGGGCGCATGCGCTAGCGACCTGACACTAGCATCTCCACATGATTAGAGATATGCTATGTTTATCCTCATCGGTATCGATATGCTCACCAGTTCCTAAAGTCGCGAAAGAGATCTCATAGGTAATATCTAACAGCCACATCTGCTACGGGGATCACGGCAGGACCTTGGGGGTTGGGGCTCGCTGCTAGCCTGCACCATTAGAGTAGAGAGGCGATGATAGCCGTGCAATATTCGCAGAGGGGGTGTAGACTCTCCGTGCACGTTTTTCTTATACACTCCCGGGCACACCCCTCCTAGGCACCACATTACCTCATTACCTCCCTCCCTGTCATACTACCTCCTTTGTGGATCCTAGCTTGACATATAAATTCCGTGCCTGCGCCTGGAGCCCAAAGCTACTGTTAGTGGGCACTATACTAAGTATGATAGACGATGTAATACGCGCCTGTCGGACTTCGAGGGACGCAAGCACATTCTTTCGTTTGAACATGCCTCATCTCTCATCCCGCGTCCCGCATCCCCCATCCTTCAGCGCTGGGATATGTCACGTTGCTGTCGATCATGTGAGTGGCTCCGAGATCTCGACTCGAGCTCGGGCACTACTATTCCGTTCAAACCAGCCCGTTTATGTTCCATCCCTCGGACCTGCTCTCGGGGATTCTAACCTCTCACCCCCCTTCTCAGTTCCCTTACAGCCTCGACGAGCATCATTTTCCACCTTTCCCACCCTCGGCTGGCGCTGGTCACACTCTCCTTCTATCTTAGTCGAGGATGGCGGGGGTTTACGGCCTACATCTTAGAATACCCCGAATTTCCCAGCTAGAGAGATCATGAGGGCGCCAAAAGTTCTTCATCTGCAGTGATGCAATATTGTGACAAACCCATGGGCCTTTAGTCTCGGAAGTCCTTCCTAGTCGAGCAGACCGAGTGCATGAGGAAGCACTGAGAATGATAATGGAGGCCACCGATGCTACATGCATCGTGGATCATGGCTCAAATCCCGGGAAAAGATATCCTGGGCTGTTGCCATGCCTCCACCTCGGGTCGAATATTATGATACGTCACCTATTCTTTGGGCAGTTTGACCTAAGGCCTTTGCAAATATCCCTCCTTCATAGGTTCTCCTAAGCTTGAACATATAGACTCATTTCTCTGGTGTGAAAGCTTAGATTTATGAGGGGACTCTGAAGTCTATAAAGCCGTGAGCTGCCGTCTACGGTTTCTAGTTAGCTTTTGCATCCAGACACTCTTGGGCATGAGTCAGTCGTTCTTGTCTTGGCTCTGTGGGCATATCCTTCTTCCTTGAAATTAGTCCTCACGCATCCTCTGCCTCGGCACCATAATCATGGTTGGCAACTTTCTTGGTATCTTGTCCTTGGGCTTGATGCTCCTGAAAAGGAGTGTCGCCCAAAGAACATTCACCTATGATATCCCTCCCGAAGAGTCTGCTGCTCTCGAGGCCATCATTGAAGATGACCCGAGTGACGTGTTCAGGCTTTTCAAGGATTGGGAGAGTCCGGAGTATAATTTGATCTACCGGAACCCCCTCCCAATTCCGCCGGTCAAGCAACCTCTCAAGTCAGTATGGAGCCTCGAGAAAAAGCCACATTTAATTACTTGAAGCTAATGAACAATGGTATCTCGTTCTACAGGAAAATTCTCAACCCAGTCACTGGTAAAGAGATCTGGTATTATGAGGTGGAGATTAAGCCCTTCACTCAGCAAGTCTATCCAAACCTTCGTGCTGCTAAACTCGTTGGATACGATGGCATGTCTCCGGGCCCGACTTTCATCATCCCCAGGGGTACCGAGAGTATAGTTCGGTTCATCAACAATGCTGAAATGGAGAACTCCGTCCACCTGCACGGTTCTTACTCCCGTGCACCCTTTGATGGATGGGCCGAGGACGTGACCTACCCCGGAGAGTATAAGGACTACTACTATCCTAACCAGCAATCCGCGCGCATGCTTTGGTATCACGACCATGCAATGGGAATTGTAAGTTTTCCAATATCCATTGAATTTCATGTCGCTAATCCCCCAAAGACGGCCGAGAATGCATACATGGGGCAGGCCGGTGGATACATTGTTACAGATTCGGCGGAGGACGCTCTTAATCTCCCGAGCGGCTATGGCGTATATGATATCCCTTTGATTCTTTCCTCCAAGCAGTACAACAGCGATGGCACCTTATTCTCAACCGAAGGAGAGGAAGATAGCCTTTGGGGAGATGTTATACACGTTGTAAGTCGCTTCATCCTCTTCTATTATCAGCAGCACCCTCTAACAATGGAGAACAGAATGGCCAGCCTTGGCCTTATCTAAACGTGGAGCCCCGCAAGTACCGGTTCCGATTCTTAAATGCTGCAGTCTCGAGGTCTTTTGCTCTTTACTTCACAACAAGTGCTGCTCGAGCGCAAGAATCCCATTCAATGTGATTGCGTCTGATGCTGGACTCCTCGCTCACCCTGCCCAGGTTGCTAATATAGTATGTCACCCTTCACCCATATGGTTGTGGAAGTCTGTTCCTGGCGTTGACCTTTGACGTAGTATGTTTCCATGGCTGAGCGCTATGAAATTGTCTTTGACTTTTCCAAATATGCGGGCCAAAATATTGAGCTACGCAACTTGGAGAGGGCTGGGGGATTGGGACCGATGATGATTATGCGAACACAGATAAAGTCATGCGCTTCAATGTTGCCGCTGGTCCACTTACCAACCCTGACACGTCCACAGTCCTTAATGACCTCCGCGTGGTTCCATTTCCATCTCAAACTGATAACATAATTGATCACCACTTTCGCTTCCACCGCACCAACAGTGAGTGGCGCATCAATGGTGTCGGGTTTGCTGACGTTCAGAACCGTGTCCTCGCAAATGTCCCTCGCGGCACGGTTGAGCTCTGGGAACTTGAAAATAGATCCGATGGCTGGACTCATCCCATTCACGTTCATCTTGTTGATTTCAAAGTCGTGTCAAGGAGCGGAAATCGAGGTGTCATGCCCTACGAGGCCGAGGCACTTAAGGATGTCGTCTGGCTTGGCCGAGGAGAGACGGTAGTAGTTGAGGCACACTACGCCCCCGTAAGTCGTTTCCCTAGGATACGGAAGGCGAGAAAAGCCACTAACCTTTGGTGTAGTGGGACGGAGTCTATATGTTCCATTGTCACAATTTGATCCATGAGGACCACGACATGATGGCCGCCTTTAATGTCACTGCCCTCCCTAACTTTGGCTACAATGAAACATCTTACATCGATCCAATGGAACCCCGCTGGAGAGCTAAACCGTACACTAGGGCCGAGTTTACTGGCCGTTCCGGGCCCTTTAGCGACGAGTCCATTATAGAGCGCGTCCAGTTCATGGCCAGTCTGGACCCGTACAGCCATGTTAATGACGTTGACAGGGCGCTTGAAGAGTATTGGGCCAGCCAACACAGCCCTCGCGAACTCAATTCCGACACGCTCGCCGGCTCAATCCCGCGATATCGCCGGTTTCAAGTCTAGGAATCCCTCAGTGACTCAGGTGGTTCAACTAGCTGTGTGTTGGGGTAAACGGCCAACGATTTCTCTTGCGCACACTTCCATCAATTCTATGTCAAAACTTTACTTGCTTCCAAAGATATAGGAGAGCGTGTTGTCTAGTTGGACCTCAAAGAATTGTTGACAACAATGTGATAAGTTGCTGTCCACATAACACCAGTGAGCTGCTATATGAAGTCCTTCCAAAACGTACGAGGTCTCCCGCATTAGCGATGTAAAAGATTGCAATAAATTCAGCTGTAGTTCTATTGTGACGTAGAGATAAGATATGACGGGTCGGACGGTAAAGAGTCAAGTGAATTTTAGAAAAGTAAGAGGCAACATTCTGCCCACCTTAACCTACTCTGCCAAAGATTTTGGGCTTTCTCGCCGAGAGCGAGACAGTTCGGGGTCCTATTTTCAATCTCGGCTGACGTGAAGGATCGCACCCCACTTGCATAGCCCAGTATCCTCGAGCCGGGTATTCTCGTCCGCCCGCAACGAAGGACTCTCCAGCCGGCCGACTCGCCTGCAGGTCTTATGAGCGAAATTGGATCCGTAGCTGTATTTGGTGCGGCGACTGCCGCTACAGTATTGACATAGGGCTCGGGCTACATGCTATCCGCACCTGCCCCAGCCTGCGCATCCGCATCCGCTGGGAATACAGCACCGGCGTTTTTGCTGGCAGGGCGCAGAGCAGCAACATGGAGCCCGTTTGTAAATTAATTCAAGACCGAGTCGGCCGCATTTCGCGCCCCCAGATCCTCCGAAGAAAATAGAGCCTCTCCCATAAATATCCCTTATGGACATCCATGGAACAAGTACGAGCGACCTAGGAGTATATAGTCTGTCGTAAATGCGCGGCATATTTGAGAACTTGAGATCTAGCAGAATCATTCGCACTAACAACCAAATTTTTCTCCTAATTTGCGCGCTCCAGTTATGAAGAAACCAACCGTCACAACCGTTATTCTCCTTCAGCTATGCTCAGCTCTAGCGTTACCACAAGGGGGCTCATCCACCGATGGGCCGGTCGATGACCTAGAGTGGACCACGGCAACCTGCACTGATGGAAGCCTTACTAGGGCCAATGCGGAGCCTCTACACCGTTGGCAGGACGCCAAAGCCCCTTCAGCTTGGCGATATCTTCGGAACGTCTTTTTCAAGAGAGACGGAACGCGGCCGCAGGATTATGCTTTCACTTCGATGGGAATCGCGGACTTCTTCCATAGTGGTGACGGTATGAAGTGCGGCGGCACAGGAATTGACGATAGCAGCTGCTCTGCGACTGGCCGAGAGTGTGAAGATCTTGGAGGTTCGCCTAGGCCTGAAAATCCTGAGGATGGTGTTTACCCTGCCTCGTTTATTGTCCTCAACTCGATCGCCAATTTCAACAACGTAAGTGTCTTTCCTATCTTTGGTCTTAACCTGCAGATTTCAGTCTCTAATAAGAGACCATTAAATAGGCGATTCGCAATCTATGGATGCCCCTTCATCTCAGGTCATGGGATACCCATATGGAGACCATGCAGGTAATGGTTGACACTTTCACCAATGGCGTGGATGCGGTACGGGCTAGGAACAAGGCGCTCGATAGTCTTCAGCTGGGACTTTTCGTGGGACTCAACCCCTTTTCAACGCTCTCGCAGCTGTTCCTGGTCTAGGAGCCATAGCAAACACCGTGAAGGACACCGCACTTGCAGCTGTCACTTATGCCGTCTCCCGAGCGAAGGACGACTTCGCGGCAACCATGAGAACTGAAAGCGACGGATATCTCATGGTTTCATATATCGTCAACTCTTCAGTAACGAGCCTACAAGACTTTGTTAGTCCATGTCTGATGCCTCACCCCACTCCTCTCTCATCGTTTCCCCTCCTCTCTCCATCTTTCAGGCGATTCTAGCGTCTAAATGATCTGCTAACCGCACTGCGTTTGGACTCTTAGAATAAATTCGCTATGGCATATATCCCTCAAGAGGACTGGCGATCCGACCCTGAAGGATCGGCAAGGCGATGGGAAGAGGGCATGGACCTCCTAGGTCGCTTTATTGACAACGGAGCAATGCTTCCCAACGCATTCCCATTCGATAGCGGCTTCGTCGACAAATATATGCATCACGTCCTCAACGCAATGGTTTTGCCACGACTATGGCGTATGGATGCCCAGGACACAAAGCCTGTCGTTCTGGAAACCGGTCAGCCTTGCGACGCGCCGCACACAGACTACGGCCGACTATTCGAGACAGACAGGCCGTGGTTTGACCCTGGTAAACAAGAAGAATACGCCGTTTGTTATCAGGGCCAAAGGTACTATCTTGTCGGAGCGGACGGGGAGGCCTTTGAGGAGAGACTCTTGCCCATCGGCCGACCAACCGACTTCCTCCCCGTGACAGTCCCCAAGAGTTTTAAGGGCTTGAAAGGGGTTGATAAGTTGACGGAATGGGGGTTTAGTAGGGAGGAATCGTGGAAAGGTATGAAACAAAAACAAAACCTTTGCACTAATGCTTATCTAACGTATTCCCCTCTCGACGTAGTGCTGTTGAGGGAAAGCGAATTTTGGACCCAGAGTTGCGGAAGCGGAACGCATGATCGACCCCGGTAACTGGGATGAGGTTTGGCGAAGGATGGATGATAAGGATCTATCCAAGGCAAACCGACTACCAGGAATTGTCGGCATCCCCGTATGCTCCGTTGAGGAGGCTCAGGAAGGTTGGATGAGGGAGCCTTCTAACCCTAACAGTCCTTGCCTCCCCTGAGCGACATCCTGCGGATTGCCTATATCGTTCCTCAGAGAGGTCCGGCCCTGCAAACTGGGGTGATAGAGTTGGTATCATTGCTTTCGGCGTTAAGGTGTTTAGGTTAGGCGTTTAAGAATAGGGCGGCCAGCGATTTATATACGCTTTCTCTCTACGTTTTCTCGAAGATCGGGGTATTGAATAGATGGGAGAAGTATGATGTTCGTATTCACTGCTTAGATCGTTCTAATAGATCCGTTTCTATAGAGGAAATTATATTCCTTTTATAGTTGATATTTCTAGGACATATTACATGATCCGTCGTCAGATGTCATTCCATTTTGAGGCGACCGATGGTCGCCTCCTTTTAAGGCAGAGGTTCTTGCCACTTGCTACCTAGATAGGGGTCTTTGCCACCTGGGTTCGGATCCCTTATCCTTTCATCCTTCAACACGGGGATCGATCATGGCCGATAGATGAGTACTTATAGGGTGCTAGCACCAAGTATGTTTTCTCAGACAGCCCTGCTGTCGTCAAAGCTACACGTAGGTCGAGAAAGAAGGTTGAAGGTTAAGCAACTAGACAACTTCTCGCCTAGGATGATCATCATTTTGTAAATACCGTAGTACCTCGGTATTTACTCTCCACTAATATAGCTAGCGAGAAAATAGAAGGGTAGAGCAGGTCTCGAGAAACAAACATGAAGCGGCAAGCCCTCATTGGGAAACGACACTCGACTCACGTGACGCGACGATAACCCCTGAGCCCGAGGTTCAGCACAGGATGCAAGAGTCTCAAGAACAAGTGGTAACCTTCATCTACTCACACAAACAAAACGACATATTTCTCTCCTAAACATGTTTCATTTTCCGCCTGTGTACGGGCCGGTGGTGAGCGACAGCGCTCCCATTAATTTCTTCGGCTTTACCCCCGAAAAGTCGGCCAAGAGTAAAGAGGCGGAGAGAACTTTTACCCTCTTTAGCGACCTTCCACGAGACCTGCGACTTCACGTCTACGAATTAGCATTCCCCGCCGTGTACTACGTTTCTGCGAAAAGTGGCTCCCAGGCCATATAGGGTTAGTGATTGAGGCACTTGGACCACCCCGCATCGCCCAGACGTGTCGTGAGGCTTGGGATTTTTCGTTGGTCCACTATTGCCGCCTCCCCTTCAACGCAGGCAAGCTTCGAGATGCTGGATCCGATGAACGCCCCATCGAGTCCCCGCCACCTAAGAAAACATGGTTCAACCCTCGCGTGGATGTCGTCTGCATCGGCGCTAAATGGCATGACATCGCCTACAGGGAGATGGCCTGGGAATCGGATGTTGTGGTGAGGTGGGGCATCGCACGCTATAATCCGCGCCGTGTGATGCACACCGACGACACAGATATCAAAGAGCTACGAGGGAGATCAACTTACTCTGAACTTGTTCGCGCAATCCTAGCCTTTGCACAGATTGCCGAAACCGTTGTGGTGCAACCTTCATTGGAAACGACTTGCATCTCGCACCACGACTTCTTTCCCTACGCCGATAATACCATCTTTCCCAAGCTCAAAACGGTCCTAGTTACTTCTCATCAGATAGAGTGGGACAATACCGGTTTGGGGCCCCCTCCTGGCTCTCCTGTTCCGAAATGGTCAGTACGTGTGCTGGATGTGTATAGCCCATCTCTTGCGGAGCAGGTTGACGCCGAATTCGGCCATGTAAAAGACCCACCTGACTGGAAGCTTTTACGCGAAGGAGGGCGGTCAGCAACGATTTTAAAGGAAATCCAAGTCTTGGTCAAGAAGGGCTTGTCTCTGTGGGAATCGAAAGAGCCTCAAGATTTCGTCCCCGGTGTGATGGAACGCTTGCCTAACCAGGACGAATTGTCCAAAGTTGGCGCCACTAATATGTGGCTACAAGCTGCACGGTATCTCCGCATCAAGTATCGAATATTGGAAGATGGCGATCGAGAGTATATGGATTATCGCAGTTGCTTTTGGCAGAAACAATCGGAAGAGGAAATCTACAAAGAATCAGAGTGGAGGAGGAACTATGTTAAACTTCCTGTATTTTGCCCTGTCATAATAGTTCATAAGTCCCCACTAGTTTAAATCATCTTAGCTACTAGAACTCCCACTTATACGTTTCCCGTAACAAGGTACGAGGGTTTATTTATCATGCTCTTATTTGTTAGCCCTCACCTCCAGCGTTAGATTGGACGTTGCTCATCGGTAAACGTATTATTGATGCTGTAGCATACAATATAACGGCGTGGGATAAGGAGGGCTCTAGCATGTATCAGGATATACCTAGACGCCTAAATATATCAAACTACCTAAGAAACGTTGAAGTGAAAACCGTGTGAAGTTGACGGTATACGGTAAGGCTAAGTTCAAGAAGATTTCCTCACGTCAGGTCTATATGGCCGCTTTAATAGAATCGATGACAATGACGAGACTTTCCCCATAGCAAATCAAAGTGGAAGGGATTATATCGAAGCTAAGAACTCTCCCACTAGTTTTAATATAAGATAAAAATAGTATTGTAACAGCTATACTCTGTTATATCTTTATGAAATTAAACCTAAACGACTCGTTCTAGGCCAATACTCGAAGAGCATTGTAGGTGGTGAGAGGTTGAGATATGTATAGGTGTTAAACCGACTCCCTATGGCTATCTATGGTGGCTTTTTCATTTTCAACACTTACAACGGGTTCTGGAAGGTCCGTTGAGCCATCAAAGATTACCTGCATCTCTTCTAGAGAATGGCCCCGTGTTTCAGGATACGTGAAGTAAATGGTCACAGTGATAACCACTAGAATAACAGCAAATACTATATAGTACTTCCAACCAATAGCTTCGAGAGCAATTGGGTTCACAAAAATGTTGAAGAAGATGGCCGCATAGGTCGAGAGCTGGACAAGTGCGATCCCCGAGCGCGGAGGAAATATGGCCAAATTTCAGCGGGGTAGGACACGATAAGAGGAGTGCTAAGTGAAGGAACTAATTAGCTAGTCTCCTTCGAAGGTCAAGGGGTAAAGCGCAAGGAAACTTACAATGCAATGTCGTAGAATCCATAATAGATGTAAAGAAAAGGTACGACGGCGATGCCAACCTTGGACGACCCGGATGTGGCGAAACCGCCCGAAAGGCCTGATATTAAGATGAAGCTGATGAGCATTCCGACACTACTGGTAAGAAAGAGAGGACGGCGGCCAAGTCTATCGACACATGCAGCTGCCCCTACAGCAAGGATTAAGTTCCAAATCTGTAGGAAGCCGCTGATCAGAGTCTGATCAGTAACCGAAGTGATGCCAACGGTTGTAAGGACTAATGCAAGATAGTATGAGACGACGCCAACACCGTTCCATTGGGCAAATACGCCTAGGGTGATGGAGATGAGCGCTCTATGGCGGTTCCCCTTGTATTGAACAGGTCCCCCATGACGTGCTCGATGAGATCTTGGCATCCGCAGCAATAGCCTCTTCGATCTCCTCATCTCGAAGTCAACCAGTGGGGAGGACTCGTCGCCATTAGCGTGTAAGCGGGTCATGATGTCGCGAGCTTGTTGGCGCTTCCCTTGGATATAAGGTAGCGCGGTGATTCGGGCATCAGGAGAACGGCGGGCAAGGCTACAATTGGAATAGCTAGTTGGAGAATGGACGGGATGCGCCAAGCCCAGGAGTTTTCGTAGTTGCGTGTGCCGTATGTAGCCCACGCCGCGACGGTCGAGCCAACATACCAGCCGCAATTGTACAGGGCTGTTAGGAAGGCTCGATGGGTGGGGTATGCCAGCTCTGTGATAAGTAGCGGCGCTAGACCTCCCCACCAGGCGCTTGGTTGACCTAGGAAGAAGCGGCTAACCACAAATCCGGGGATATTTGGGGTCAGGGCTTGGAGGAGCGCGCCTAGGACGAGGAAAACATAGCCGACATAAAGGCCTGGTTTCCTACCCCAACGGTTGGCGCTATATGCCACAAGGGGGTAGGCTAGAGTGCTAGAAAGTGCCTGGATCGCGTTGATGAAACCTAGCCAAGCACCTTTAGGGTGGTCCATAAAGGAGTTCCATTGCGGCAGTGCCATTAACCCGTTCATCATGGAGCCGTCAAAGCCGTTGGCGGCAGCCAGGAGAGCTATGGAAAGGGCGCAATAGTTGAGGAAGAGAAGATTCTTCTTCTTATACCATGGGATGCCATCCTGGGGGAGCACGCGGGAGAGCTCCTCGCCATAACGGGCTGAAATATCCTTTGGCTTAGATTTTGAGAACATAGTTAGGCGACTGACTCCGGAGGGGTGAAGAGCAACAGAATCAAAGCTGCTTTATGAGAGAGAAAAGATGTAAATGGATGTGAGAGTAGATATAGAAGAAAGACTATATCGCCATCAGCTTTGACACGAATTGGCGAGTTCAGAAGCATATATATTTACGGGGAGGCCGCTCTCATTTGCATTCAGCTCCACGAGATCCCAACACTACATACACAAATCATGCGACAGCAGGATCACGCTAGCGACTACCCCGGATTAATCCCCGATCTCGCAATAGGAGCAGACCTGGGGTAATTGGAGAAAACTGCCTTGAGTTTAGTCTCGCGGAGTCTCGGACATACACGTGCGGGGATTGTGGGGCGGTCGTAAAGCACTAGGCCGCCAAGCAGGGAACACCTATTAGCATTCTCGCCTTCTAATCCCCAACAGAGTCGCGATTTTCCCCACAGTTCATAGTTTGACCTCATTAACGAGGTTCGATTTATCTAACAAGTTGTGGGAAATGGCTCGTGCGGCATAATATCTAGGCAAAATATGTCTAAACATACCCCTTTCGTTATTCCCCCTTTATATTCTAACTAGGTCATAATCAAGCGAATGCTTTCATCCCTACTGAGAGACAGGGGCGGGGGATGAGGGGATCTTCTCAGGACTACAATTTGTGTATTTAGGTAGAGTCTGGTCTCTTTAAATCTAGTACTTAGTACTTCCTAAGTACGAATCAGGCTTACGATAGGTCAATTCTAGTGCCCTAAACCGCCATGAGAATAAGACTATAGCTAGTGGAGCTGGTGGCCTGACGTCAGCCAACTCTAGTCGAAGCTCGATTCCTTTCTAGTTTAGCGCCGCGACAATGGATTATCACCTGGCTTGAACACCATTATGAAGGTTTGAGACTCGCGGGCCTTGCAGAGGAACATCGGAAGTCCCAAAGGCTCAAACCCACTGAACTCGCAGTCGATCCCTTTTCTAAAAATTCTATGCCACCTAAGGCTTGCGTAACAGCCCCTTCCGTCTGTGGCTCATAAGATGTTATCTCGGACTAGTATGCTGGCTATATATGGCGTAGGTACTAGCCTGCCTAGATTCTGTCTACCGTCGTACCCTGGCTATTAACTCCTCCAAAACGGCAACTATCCGTGCTACTTCAGGCAACTCATGCTCCCAGTATTGAAGACTTATTATGCCTTGTCGAACCGAGCGCTCCCAATCGGACGGTAACGGAACCCGCTGGGACAGAGCGGCGCCTAGGATACATATGGCGGCAGCAGTAAGTCCGCGGATCCCGTACCAGGTCCCGTGATGGCGGTGACGGATAAGAAGGGAACTGAGGCCGCGGAAATTGTCGAGAATTGCCTTTTCAACAAGAGGGAGAATCGAGGCCATAGAAGCGTGGTTGGTGGGTTCATGGATAGCAAGGTAGAGGAAGGGTCTATAAATCGCAAGTCTGATCTCAAGAGCGCGCCCGTAGACCATGTACCCGAGCTCGTCTCGCGGGCGGATATCCCAATCAAACTGTATCGGTCCGGGAAGTTGTTCGAACCTAAATCATAAGTTTTCTGTAAGAATTTGTGCTGGGCCAACTCTAAAACGAATGCAAAGACAAACCAGGTGTTAAGGTGCATCTCAAACTCTGTCGCCATCTTCACCATGGTTGGTATCGCAGAGATGGTCCATGCTGCCGTCCCTTCTTTGTAAAAATATTTAGCACACGATTGCACAACCGTCGCAGCGTAATCTCCGTGAGGTAATAAAACCAGCTACTCTCGTGTTGATGATTGATGGTATCCGGCCGCCGTGGGTTCCATGGTCCAGCGAAAACGTCTGCCGCTATGTGGCCAGTATCTGCAACCTCGTGCTCGGGCGCGTTAGGCGGGGATGGGTATAGATCCGGGTACCGAAAATCGGCAAGGAGGCTGTCGGGGATATCCATCTCGGTTCGCAGCTCGCACTCGGACTTGTAGCAGCTCCAGTATAGGCGTTGTTCTTGCCAGCGGCGAGCGGTAGACCCTGTAACGGGTTGATCCCTGAGGCATGCTTGACATCTTAGATATAGTTGATAAGCGCGCGTCGCTGAGTGGAACTCTACCCATGCTCGAATAGGTCGCAACGTGTACATAAGGTAGACGCCAGCAAGGAAATGGCACTGGGGAGCATGAAGCCCTCCAAGCAGGAGACCGAACCTCCTACGGGCAAGGCTGAAGTATATATCGCCTTTCCGGAGGTTCTCTTCCTGTCTATCGATAGATGATTCACCTGCCACGATAACGTCGGTGGAGAAAGACGGTGCGACACATCCAAGAGCGCATATAAGGAGCTGAATAAATAAAACGTCAGACTGCTGCATTTAAGGGGGCCTGGGGCAAACACTGAAGACAGTATGGGTCGTGATCGCACACAGAAACATACAACTAGGCAAGACGAGGAGTTCCACCCAAAACCTTCTTCGGAGACGTGGCGCGCATAGGTCCATATCCTGCTAGTATCAAATATGGGGTTTTTTATATGAACAAGGTCTAAAAATCGCTGGACAAGGTTCGAGATATTGTCTTCCGAAATCCCAATGGTAGCACCAGTGTGGGGCGACTTCCACGAGTTTGCCAAGGGCTCTTCGGTGTCAACATCGCTATCTCGCGCCTCAGAGGCAAAAGTAGAGTCAATGAGGTAGTTTGGGGGATATCGGCCCTCAAAGATAGGCCACTGCAGGACTGCGTCAGGGGACGTGCAGGAGGAAGGGATATGGAGCTGATCATAATCATCTAACGCGCGGTGAGGAGCTGCTGAGACTGGACTGGGGTTGCAGTGTGGAGGGATTTGGGGATCGGCTTCTCGGAGGGTTGTGGCGAGAGGCCGTTCGGATATGTCGTCGAGCCTGGCCAAGACTTGATTTAATCGGTCTAAGATAAGGATGCTTGCTGGATCAAACCTATTTTAAGTAAAGACTAAAGGTAAGTTTAGAGAGCATGGTAAAAGTCGCAGAGTCAAGAGGTAGCATCTAGGGTCCTACGTAGATAGATCCTGCGTGTCCTCATAGGTGCAGGTCGCGCTGGAAACCTCGCAACTCCTGCAGGTGGGCCTCGCATTGTTGCACTTGACTTTTCTGACACGGCACTGCCGACAGGCGTAAATGGCCCGTTTTCTAGGATATACCACAGCATCCCGGGGATTATCGGCCCTGGTCCGCTTTCGGGATTGCGAGGTCCGATCACCACTTTGCCCTCTATGATGTGGCGTGGGTGCGACTTCGCACCAAGTGATAGGATCTGGTGTCGACGATAGTACTGAGGTTTCCCGGGGTTGTTATGGGCGGGTGGACCATCAGACACGGGCGATATGGCTGGATATCTGTTGTCGCCCAAACCATGGTTGCGGAGAAGGCGGCGTGGGAGACCCGCTGATCCTTGTGCCCCATGAGGGGCTGGTCCATGGTCGACGTGCTATCAGGAGATCGAGGGAGCATGTCGTGGGTTCGTAGATGGGGTGGCATAAAAGGGTATGGGCAGGTGGGATCGAGAACCCGCCGATGATCTAGCCGTTTGCTAGTCTTTAATTCCACTCGTGTCCTATCAATTCTCAAGGACGTCTCTCGCGGAAGTGCGGGTGACCCGGGGTCGTTTTCCATTCTTTCTTTTCGTTTTTTTTTTTTTTTTTTGGAAAACCCAAGTTCTCGGGGACGTAATCGTTTTGTACTAGCTAGTGGCTCGGTGGCTCGGTGGAGTATGATATTGCGCGGAGTTTCGGACAACGCTAGCGCCGCGGATTTTCGGGTTTACCCCCGCAATGAAATTTTAGCGCTAGACTACTTCTAGAGACGGCTCCTGAAGGTCCCCGGCTATCTCGGTCTCTCCTGACATTCGTAGCTGGAAGCCGCATCTCGATGCCGGCCATAGAACGCGCGTGCAGGGCAATGAATACCTTCTCACCTTTCTGATACATTGGGAAGGTGATCAACTCGATTTGTGGAGCCCGAGAGAGCAATTCCGGACGTAAATAAGTACATATTACATTCTCTCTACTCTCCATCTTCTACTCTCAGCATTTACTCTTGAATGAAAAGAGTAGTGAGACGAGGTAACCCGCCAACAACGCCATGACATCTACAGATCAACCTAGAAAAATCCTGAATGTCGGCCTCATCGGTTGCGGCGAGGTCACGCAGGTGGTTCATATCCCGACCCTCTCCCACCTCTCCGACTACTTTCGCATAACATATCTATGTGACGTCTCACCATCCGCTCTCGAATATTGCAAGTCAAAGATTGCCGCCGGAAATGGGCCGGTCTTAACAACTAAAAATGCCACCGAACTCTGCGCCGCAGAGCAGATAGAAATAGTCATGGTTGCTACAGCAGACGAGTATCACGCCGCACATGCGATCCTCGGCCTTGAGCATGGAAAATACGTATTTCTAGAGAAGCCTTGTGCCTTGACAAAACAGGATACAGAGGCCATCGCAAAGGCCGAAAGGGCAAGCAAAGGAAGCGTCATGGTTGGATACATGCGGCGGTACGCAGCCCCGTTTAACGATGCGATCAATGAAATAGGTGGACTAGACAAGATCCTCTATGCCCGGGTTCGAGGTGAGTACTTTCAAAACGGTAGCGTTTCCTCGCAGCCCTGAATTCCCTATCTTGTAGCATAATTTGACGAGAAAAGATATCATCGGACCAAACTCGACCTTCGTAAGCCAATCAGGCACTTTCCCCAAGGTATTCACAGATATCAGCGTGGAGGATGCGGCAGATAAGGCGTCACGAGCGCACAACATGGTCGCGCACGCCTTACACACGGAGGCCGGTGGAATCCAGACAACACCGGAGACCACACTAATGTGGAGACTGCTTGCGGGCCTCGGCTCGCATGACCTCTCTGTGATGAGAGAAGCCCTTGGGATGCCAGAAAAGGTGGTCGGCACGTCCCTTGGCTTTCCGTTTTGGAAGTAAGTGACTACTTAATATATTCTAAATCACCTCAGAAAACTAGTTTAACAAACGTTTTGTTTCCAGCGTATTATTCAAATACCCTACATTTACAGTATCTTATGAATCAGGCATCGACAACATTCCACGGTTTGACGCACATTTGGAAGTCTATAGCAGCAACAAGGTCGTTCGTATCCAGTATGATACGCCTTATATCAAGGGGCTACCTGTGACATTACACATTGCCGAGAATATAGATGGTATGTACCGAGAGAGCACCATACGGAAATCCTACGAGGACCCATATACCCTCGAGATGAAAGAACTTTGGGCCTTTGTATCTGAGGGTAAGCCAATTAAAACGACGATTGCAGACGCGGCACAGGATCTTGATCTATTTGGCATGATCCTAGCTCATGGGTACAGCTCGTAAATGTGGCGGTAGGCCGGATTAACTTGTTGGGACGGGAGTATGATTTGTAACCAAAACTGTTTTCGGTGACCGGTACTACCGCAAGAGGGTCCATAGCATGATTACTAGTGAAATAGAATGTTAATATAACACTTACTTACTAGGTTCTCAATTATTTTATCTAGAACTATACGTAAATAAGACTTTTATTATCAATAAGCATATTTTAATTATCTAGGCGGGCGGGCTAGCTATCCTCTGCTATCTCATCATCGTCTTTATTATATCTATACTTATACAACGCCTTATACCCGAGCCCTGGTAGCCTATCTAGTACCACCTCTCTTACCAGGGGCGTGCTTCGCGAGGCTCCCATTAAACCTTCCTCCTCGTCCTTCCTACCCCACTAGATAGGAATTCTACAAAGGGCAGGCTAGATAGGGTCTAGCATCCATCCCCAGCGCTGAGAAGAAGTTGACAATGATAAATTGATCAACGCAGTGACATCCTGATTAGAAATTCCTCCCCCCCTCGTGCATATCTAGACTCCGGCCAAAGAGCCTTTTGATGGAATCGTAGACGATCTGGCGGAGCCGGCCATTATTGAATCGGGGTTGAATAGATGGCTAGTGAGGAAAACCCTGCAGGCCTTCGGGAATCCCTTAAATCTCGGAGGTGTCTAGATTCTCTTCTATTACCTTGATGTGTTATATGTCTTTAGGTCGCGGGGTTGTCTTTCCAGGCTTCCTAGGGTTTCTAGGAGGAGTCGGGGGCTTGGGCTTATTGTCTCGTGACTAGGTTGACCTCCTCTCCTTTCCCACTTTTAAGATATCGGCCGGCCTTAGGTCTTGGGGTCGTCTTGCCAGGTTGCTTAGTGTCAAGCCTAGGTTGGGGTGGTGTAGGCCTCCTAACCCTATTTCTTCTCTATAGTACAGCTGGCCCAGGCTTGTTTTGGAAGATCATGTGGGATTATCCGAGCAATCCGCTTTCAGCGTCATGATATCGATAAGTATGATGTTCAAGGGTGGTGTCTAGGCCTCTACTAAGTGCTCCGCAAGCTCAAAACGCAGGGGTATCTGACGGTATAGTCAGCTCGCAGCTGGCGGCCACATTAGAGTAGTCGATTAGCTCATCCTCTCGATGGTTTCAACAGATAGCTATGCTAACTAAAAGGGAAAGAAATCAAGTGCGCGCGCGAGGAGACTTTTCAAAGATATAGACGCCGAGATATTCTTTATTATAGGAGACTAGGTTCAAAACTTATCAGCTACTCGTATCGGCATCTATAAGCCTTCTATCGCCTCCCTAGACCCTTCTTAAGTCCGGAACCTAGTATACGTAGCTGAGGTCAATTTCGCCTACACTATAGCAGCACGAAACGTGCTACGAAAGTCTCCTGCGTTTAGATAAAGACTCTAGCACGTCTTGTTATGCCCTACTAATTGCTAAAAGATATATCTCACCCCAGTCCTCCTAGATTGCTAAGCGTGAGGATGATCCTCTTAAGCCACTGATTAGATCTCGGCTTACATCGAGCCAATGTAGATTCGTAGCAGTTTTTAACAAGTAGCCTCGAGTAGCTAATAACAGCTCTTACACAAATGAATATATTAAGAGAGTATATCAGAGTAGAAAGTATATAGAGGATATCATTTAAAATAATATTCACCTAAATATAAACTTTATATTTTTCCCTCTTAAACTTCTTTTATTACTATTTATATCTGATAACTAATATGAGACCTAACGGGTACCACGTGTCGTTCGATTAAACCGGCCGGTTCTAGCTCTAGCGAGGCTGGTTATACTCGGTCCCAAGGTCGGAGATCACTGCCCCGAAAAAGATTCACCTTGTCAACGGGCACGCTTATTTTACATCAGAAGTTCTACTTATACACTAGGTTAGGAAAGAGAAGCTCGACAAGTTAAATCAATACGCGGCGGTTAAAAAAAAATATGCGACGTCAATACCGAGGTAACAGGAGTGTAATGAAAAATAAATTAAAGATAGAAAAATTAGTTTAGAAAAATAAGCGGAAATTGACGTGGGGCATTGTTATTACCTTAATGGCTTGATCGAAACTCTTGGCTGCTGTGCTGCGCCTTTTGAGCGATCCTCGCGCCCGAGCTGAGGGCACGGTCCCAGTTTATGGGCTCGAACGAACAGCAAGGATTCAAATCGTTAAAATTCAAACCTAACCAGCTCTGATAAGATAAGCAGAGCGCATAGTAACTATGAGGTGATCCTGTTTAGTATTCTAATAATTTTTGGCATTCACTTTGATTACCTCTTTTTGCCGTACTTATTATGTAGTTTAAATTGTAATATTATGGTTCTACTTAAGCCTGACCCTTTAGAATTCACGTAGAGCGGGTCTGATGGAAGGAATGAGGATCTCGTAGGATCGTGTACACTAAAGTCTGACAACTGGGGCGTGCTCCAACGATACCATTATATTTTCCCCATCGACTCAGCCACAGATTCAAGCCCCGGGCCCCTAAAAATAGCCAACTTTACCTTGTTGGTCCTTTACACTATTAAGGTGCGACAATATTGGATCGCCTTGTGGGCATGGATGTGCCGGGCAGGGGTAGAAGACCACCACTGAAATTTCGGAGTGAGGCGAGGTTTAAGGAACACGGATCCTTCATATTCGGCCCGCCAGGGGTGAAGGGGCATGCAGTGAAGATAAAGACAAAGCCTGCTGAGGTACAAATATTACATTAAACCCCGAATCTCTCGATGTTGTCTTCGTTACTGCACTGTCATCAATAACAGCAACCGGATTGTCTTCGACTTGACTTTCGATTACTCGACGTTTATAATGAAGTTTCTTTCTCTCGCCATCGCCTTTCTTAGCCTTGAAGCATTTGCTGGCCCTGCAGTGGTCAAACGGGAGAATTTCAATGAGGATTTAGAAACATATAAAGCCATCCGACGAGCTATTTCCAAAGCCCGGTTAGCAGAAAGGGAGATAAGGCAGGAAAATAGTACAGTATTGGACAAGAGTTGGATCAACGCGACCTTGTTCACGTTCCCACAGTTCGTTGCCACATACCCTCAGGACTCGCCGCGGGACAAGCGCGATAGTTAAACTGACAAATTATCATTAGCGAGGCTGAACTTGGCAAGGAGACGCCGGGTCCGAATCTGCGTCTGATGAAAAGTCTAAGTCTAACCCTGGATCGGCCTCAGCTTCAAGTCATAAATCAAAACCTATCACCGGCTCCGGCTCCGTCACTAACGCAATCGAGATTGTCTGCACGACGTGCTATATCAAGGGCAAAGCAACCTCCAAGTTCACTATTGACGAGGAGTTCAATGCTACTCAGGCCATTCAAAATTTTACTCGGGATGTTATTGATGAGGTTTCTGGTCTCGGTAGACAAGCTATCGACTATGTGGATCAATATATTGATACTGTGAAAGCGAATCTTGATGACGGCTTTGATATCGAAGACTTTGACTTACCGCCTATTAACCTCGATTTCAACGTTGACCTACCTGAAATCCCGGAGTGTCACCTTCAGTTTAATTTCGAAGATCTGGATATATATATTCTTCTCGATACAATCCTTACTACTAGCGCCACGTATAAGCTCAACTTGTATACTTCTAACACGCCAATCGGCCTAGGCATTGGCGATGACTTAACTATTGGCGTTATATTCTCAATAGATTTAATCCTTAGTGTTGACGGCGAGATCGACATCAGCTCAGGGTTTCATCTCAAACTTGATGAGGGCGTCTCTCTAGACATTGCTCTTTTTCAGATGATGTATCTGGGATTACACTGTGAGTTTGAGCTACTTTATGCTGGCTCCTAACTTAAACACTGACCTTTTCCAAAGCCATGACGGCCAGTTCGAGTTCCTTCCTATCACCCTCGAAAGCGCCGGAGTGATTTTCAAAGCAGTCCTCCGCCTCGGCGCCCGTGCAGGTTTTGAAGTCTCGAGCCCCGCGCTTGAGTTTGCTAGCTTTGACATCCTAAAAGCCAGTGCGGGCGTGCAGATAGGCGTGTATGCTAACATAGCCGAGTTCGTCACGAATGTCACCGCTTCACAAACCGGCGATGAGAATGAGGATTGTCACCTACGAATCGAGGAGTCGTACCAGCTTGCGCTCGGCGCACATGCTGGTGCTTCTGTTGCACTTGCTGGCCATACATGGGGCCCCGTTCCGGAGACAGAAATCCCCATTTTCTACACAACAATGAATGCTTGTGCTATTCAGAAGAGTGCCGCGAGGACGACGGCGGCGGGTCGTACTACAACAAAGGCCATTGAGGTCAGGCAAGATGATGAGGGGCTGAGCACGGCGACTAAGAAGACAAAGGTTGTATATGAAGGCGTAGCCTGCCTATCCGAGGGAATGGCAAACTGTCCTGCCTCTCTTCAGACTACATCGAAGTATACTACGACAGAAACCCTCACTACGGTAGTACCATCCGGGGCCAGTGTAGTATGGGCCGAATCAGTCTTTAGCACCATTGCCAGCACCATGCCGTTTGGATCAGCCGTCCAAAAACTCGCCGCCACTTCGGGAACCCCAGTCTCTTACATACCCCCTACACCGACCTCCACTAGCCGTAGTGAGGAGGATGACAAAACGACTACCCCTGGAATCCTCGAGGGTAAGACCGGTGGGCTTTCAAATAAACTGATAATCGGTCTAAGTGTCGGGCTCGGCGTACCCATTCTCATCGCTATTACTGGCATCATCGTGTATGTTATTCCGCGCGTTCAACTATATAACACGGGCCTGTGGACTAACTTACAATCAATAGATTCTGTATTAAGAAAGAAGATATGAGCCTGTCCGAACTGGCCCGGCTCTAGCGCCTAATCCATACTATAGCTCTAGTACAATCAATCCCGAGCCCTATGACTCAGGTTCTAATATCGGCGTTGCAAAGACGGAGAGTCACCGTGTTACGGAATCAAGGATAGGCTAGGGTCTCGTAAATATATAGTAAGAGAATAGGCTTCTTTTATAAGATTCCTTCCTCTTAAATATAATTGCTCTTAACATTACTTAAAGCCTTATCTATGACCTTGAACTTTACCTAGTGGCTCTACTAAGCCCTAGGTGATATCTTCTTATATATACTAGTATTTAATAGATTCGTGTTTAAGGAAAGAAATAGTATATATAATAACTTCTTTATATATTTTATCTTTACTAGTTTTCTATATGAAGATCTATAATTATAATTTTCTTTCTAACTATCGTAGCTAAATATCAGTCTACTCTAAATACCGAGACAATATAAACTATTAAGGCGCGTATATAAAGTCACTAGAGATCCGAACATACCACTATATTATACCTTCACAGAGACTTATATTATCGGAGAATACATCGGGATGAGGTGAGGTCACTTGTCCCGCCGGCCTTCTATCGTCAGCATAGTTGTCAGGACTAAATATATTTTCTTTACTTACCTCTCTAGGAGGTTATATCAACTAACGCCCACCTTGATGGTACCAGTTAATAGTAACTGAGGTTCTCCTACGTACTACGTAAAGGCTGCCGAATAAGAGCTTGACTCTACCGACGTAAATAGTTAATATATTATAAATAGTTAAAGTTATCGTTTTCCAACTCATATACCATACATGTTAAAACGTGACAAGGCTACGTGCGAAGATAAAAGGGTCTCTACTATAACATATATTAGCACCCGACGTAATACCTAACTCAATTTAATAGCTACCATAACATTGCTTGTAAAAACTTGATAGCGCAACCTAGACTATTCTATAGATTGAATCATAATGACCCTTCATCCCTTTATCCCGAGGACGCAAAAGTTACACCCCTGGGACCTAGCTAATAGGTGAAGGAGATATATTATATTCTATTTGGCCTGTTAGCCTCGGGGTCCTGGCTAGTATATATCCTTCGAGACTTATATAGAAGACATAAATAATGGTCGTGCCGGTGCGATTACGTTCTTAAAGAAATAGGCCTAAATGAAGAGGCCAGGATCCTAACATAGCGCAATGACGAATTGTCACCTGAGGGTCTAAGAGGTAGATCCTCTTAGTCTTATTCCTTAGGTCATTTGAAGCTGTCTTCTCAGAGGGGAGTTGGCCACTCACTCGACGAAAAATGCCCTGTTCTAGGAATTGAAGGGGATCCTTCCTACATTCTACCCCACATCCCCCTCTATTCATGTAGCTTTCTTTCGTCCCCGTCTCTCCGCGACGCGACACTTATTTCCGAGTGGATACTACTAGCACAGTATAGGGTGAGGGGCTCAGCTACGACTTTTCGCGACCAAGATTAAATTCAACGGCCTTGATAAAGCCTATGGTTACCTATAAAGGAACAGATTATTATATAATTCATTCACGCTTTGAGGGAAACAAAAATATATATATATATCGATAGCCTAAGTCATCATGAGAGAGATCGTTGTGAAGTTCTAACGCTTTACTTCGGCACGTTTTCTCAGACTACTCCTATTGATGATTTTTTAAAAATCTATATAATTCCCTAGTCCCTCTCAGTACAGTCGCAATGGCCGGCGTCCTATATATTGATACTTCGTTCACAAAGATTGTTGTGAAACCTGTCCACCCTACTTTCGGGGCTGAGGTGCAGGTGTCTGACTGGAACAACCTTGACGATGACGCTATCCGGGAGATCAGTAGCGCAGCTAACAAGGTAAGGAGTATCATACTATACCTTCCTCTCCCTCTACCTTCTATTTTGCAACTTCCTCAAAATTATTTCCTCAGCTCTTACTAACTTTTAGTGCGTATCTCTAGTATGGCTTCTGCATTTTCCGCAACACCGGCCTAGATGATAAAGGGCATGTGGAATTCTCGTTAAGGCTAGGCGACCTCGACAATATGAAACGATTTATTACCGGCGAGCGCAAACTACGGTACCCGTATTTTGAGCTTTTCGACGCTGGGAACATTGCAGATGATGGCTCTCTTCTAGATCCTGAGAGCCCTCGTGGTCATACTAATCGCGTAAGAAAATTTCATTTGAACTAAGGGGGAGGTCTCATCACCACTTGGTAGCCTATAAATTAACTCTTATTAGGGCAACCAACTTTTTCATACCGACTCTAGCTACAACTTCCGCCGGGCTAGCTTCTCTCCTTCGAGCAGTGGAACTACCTCCTAAGGGCACTGGCGGCCATACTGAATTTGCTGATACACGCACAGCTTTCGTCGAGTTGCCTGATAATTTGAAAAAGGAACTTGTTAAGAACAATTATGTGGGTTGCCATACTCTCGCCCAGTCTCGACAGCTTGGTTCCCCGAGTACTTCAAGAACTTGGATCCTAGCAAGTTTCCCATGGCTCGCCACCGGCTTGCTCAGATTCACGAAGGAAGCGGCCGCGTGAATCTCTACGTCGGCGCGCATCTCCACCATATCGAAGGTCTCCCAGATGATGAATCCACCAGGCTACGTGACACGCTAAACAAGCATGTTACGCAGCCTAAGTACGTGTACACTTTCCACTGGGAGCAACCCGGTGACATCATTATGTGGGACAACCGCGCTCTTCTGCACCGCGCGATGGGTGGATCCTTTGCTGGCAAGTACCGTCGTGATCTTCGTCGAACAACCGTTCACGACGATAGTGCCAGTGCCTGGGGTCTTAATGACACTGAGGGGGCCACTGGGCTTGGCTATCAGCTTACCGCGAAAACACTCGATACGCCCGAGGTGACACCCGCAACTAGCACGGCTGCCCCCGTTGCTGTTACTGCGGCCTCCTAAAAACCGGGCAAATGGTAGTATGTTTCGAATGTACCTAGTTATGATATGTAATAGCTAGATCTGGTATACTCTCTAGGGCCATGAACCGTATTATAAACATCTTTCCTATATCCTATAAAGTTATTTGATTATATTCTATAATACCCGGTCTTGGAAAAAGAGTCGTAAGGAGGGTCAGTACTAAGAATTTTGATAGTATCTAGTCATATACAGAAATACATATAGGTAATACTACATTATATATTATAGATAGAAGTGCGGAATCGACTAGCGAGGTCTTAGAAAGCTTATTCCTTATTACTTTTTGTTCGAGTTGCTGCTGGGAGGTTGCTCCGCCTACAGTGTTTAGTTTCCCGGTCTTTCGGTAGATGGGGGTCGGAGCAAATAAGGAGTGATGATTTCTCAATACGAGATTTGTGATTGGAAACTGCATAATTGGGTTCATTTGTCTAATTTCTGTTTACACAAACAGGTATCAGCACGCACTGGCCATGTCATCCTCAACCTTTACTCCAGGCTTTTCCCCGTCATTCCGCGGGTCTGGGGTTTGCTTCCCGAGACGAGACCCCCGCCTTTCCCCACAACTTTCGTCCGCGTCTTTCCCCGATCCTCTAATCCTAACGATTCGTACCCAATAGAGGCTAGCCTCTCTGCTTTCCCAGCTTTCTCCAACAAGGGGAAAGCACGGGGATAATGGGGAACAACTCCCTACCTAACCTGTTTCTACCTAGCGTAGAATAAGCTAAAATAGAGCATCCACTTTCACAGTGGAAGGATTCTTTCGGCTCCTATCCTTGAACACACTGGGACAGGAGACCATCCCAACTCACCTTGTTTATGTCCTCCCCGCACAAAATGCCTTTATGTATTCTTCCCCGCATTTCAAATATTTCCGGGGAAAGACAGATAGGGTAGGAATCATTCGTTGAGACCGTTAATGGCGTTTTATGCTCTACTTTTATGAGCTCTGTTCTATTTGACTATGTCTTCTGGGGTCAACGCCTAACCGAAGCGGCGACGAAAAAAGGCACCATCTCTTCTCTTCATCCTTTCTTTCCCGGCAATTATATCTGAGGTCGGGAGATACAGACGAGTCTTCGTTGAGCCGCTGCTCCATGAGATCCGACGGCCCTATTTAATTACATCTTTGTATCCTGGCTTACCAGGTTTATTTTCTAGCTTCCTCCTTCTCCTTGCTTTCACTAACGCTGAGATTAACGAGCCTGCTTATTTTCTCCTCGGGAGTGGGAACAATCTTGTTACTTCTTCTCTCTATCAGCCTTCCATCCTAGAATAACCACTTATCGTTCCTGAGCAAGTCGTCGGGGCAGCGGGACAATAGTATCCGACAGAAGATATATTAATCTCCTTCCACACGATGAAGGCGGCGAGTGAGGCCAACTTCGCTACGCGCGAAGGCCGTACGACATGGCAGCAGAACATTCGCACTATCTTTATCTGCTTTATCGTATCTTTCGCGACACTCCAATACGGTCTCGACATATCTATTATCAATGGAGCCCAGGCGCTAAAGGGATTTCTCATCGTTTTTGGGCACCCAAACCCAAAGGCACCGCAGGGCTATGGTATTGCGACCTCGTTCCAGCAGTCAATCACCAGTCTTATGAACATCGGTGTTATTGTCGGTTCTCTCACACTTGAGTTCTTCTCCCACCGGCTAGGCCGTAGAAAGAACTTTATTGTAGGTTCAGCGGCGGCAATTGGTGCGAACCTGATCCTCGTCCTTTCTACGAATAAGAGCGCCATCATTTTTGGACGTTTTCTTTTCGGCGTCTCGAATGGTCTTTATATCGGATTCACAAGTTTATACATCTCTGAGGTTGCGCCATCGCATCTTCGTGGTGCGTTGGTTACCTTCGTTCAAGTGTCAGTCTGCATTGGTACTGTTATTGGTGCAGTCGTCAATAACGCAACGAAACACCTTGAGTCGCGCCTCTCTTACCAGATCCCTTTATTCACCCTCTTTGTTATTCCGGTATTCTGCATCGCCATGTCTTTCTTTATTCCCGAGTCCCCTCGATGGCTTGTTCTGAAGGGACGACGTGAGGATGCCCGAACTCACCTTTACCGTTTGCGAGGGTCTTCCTTCCCTGTCGAACTCATTGACGCCGAGATAGCTGCCATTGCTGAGGCAATTGAGGCAGAGAAAGAAAACACCTTGCGTGGATGGGGAGCTGTTCGTCTCATGTTCAGTGACTCTGAGCGCCGCCGGACCCTTCTCACCATGGCTGCCGGAACCATGCATGGGGCATCTGGCTTCCCGTTCATCTCCAGCTACAAAACTTACTTCTTCCAGATTGCGGGGTCTCAGAAGCCTTTTACCGACTCCATTATCGTTACCACCGTGTCTCTTATCGGAGCCTTCTCCGGTGTCTTCCTCAATCGCTTTGTCGGGCGCCGCCGGGTTCTCCTATTTGGATTCACTGTTCAGGCTGCTCTTATGCTTGTCATAGGAACTGTTTGGACTGTTAGTCCAGGCACCGTCACCACCGGCAAGGTCATCGTCGCTATGGTCGTTATATTCCAGTGCCTCTATGCTGCTATCGTTGGCCCTACCTCATGGATTGTTGCTAGTGAGATTCCTAATAACCGACTCCGGGCTATGACCTTTGGCTTTGGTAACGGTGTGGGCTTTCTCGCATACTTTGTGATTGCTTTCACGACACCTTATTTCATCAACCCCGAAGCTTTGAATATCGGCCCGAAGGGTTTGTTCCCCCCTCCCCCCCTTCCCCCGGGCATCTCTCGTTTCTTTTACTCCACATCTCGTGGTGGTCACTCTTTGCTCACTTGAAGCACTGGTATGAATACCCGATTGCTGACTCAGTTTTAAAGTTGGGTTTATCTGGCTCGGATCCAATCTGATTACCGCGACATTTATTTTCTTCTACCTTCCGGTAAGTATAGCTAAGGATCGATTCGTAGCCGATATGGAGTTCGTTACTAATTTTCATTTTTCGTACCAGGAAACTCACCGGCGCTCCCTCGAAAATATCGACGAGATGTTTTACAACAAGATACCCACCCGCAAATTCAAGAGTATGAGCGCTATATATGAACCCTTCAGTATCCCCCGTCTTTCTAGTGTGAACGGTGTGACTAACTTCGTATACACTATAGGCTACGAATGTACAGGGGTTGTCCAGCGCCCTACCGAAAGCGAGAAGGCAATTGCAACTGAGTCTGACTCCGGCACGACTGCGCACGTTGAGAAGCGTCTAAGTCGCGAGACATAGCTCGCAGATTTATATGCTTGGTTTAGTAACGTCCGCTGTCGATAATCCTAACGGCGCCCTTTGGAACACGTAAAGAGCTTAACTCTAAGTAGATGCTGCTCCTACGGGGTTACTAGTAACTACTAGCTGAGGCCAATCTGTTATTCTTTTTGCGTGTGTAGTCTCCACTATCAATTATGGAGGACATCTAAGCTGAACTTGGTGGTGAGAAGGAAAGGGAGGCTTATTAATAACCTTAACAACAGACTGTCGAATTTCCATTTTTATATTAGGTATTAAGGAGGATTTCTTTTTAATTTTTCTTTTTTTCTTTTTACTTAGTGACTACGACCAAGGTATATGGAGGTAAAATTAGGGAGTTAGGTAAGAAAGCTACCGAGGTACTTCAATGAGAACTCTAGCTCTTTATCTCAATTTAGGTAAAGCGCGACTGTAGATATGTAAGCGGGTGAGGAGTGGAATGCCTGAGGTTGCGTTGGATTGAGGAGGATTTGGCTGGGGATTGTTGTTTAAGGGTCGTAGCAGAATGACCTGTATTCAGGGGCTGAGAAATATAGGTTTCCGGGGAAAATCAAGCTCCGCGATCCTAACTGCTTTGGGCTAGAAGTAGCTATCTGTTTTGCGATTCGCTCATCATATCAAAATCTGAGTTCGGCAGTTAACCCCCGCTTTTGTTTTCGATGATGTCAAATTCTCCCTGGGGCTCAGAGACTAGAAAAGACCTTCAGGAAACGGCAGTTCATTGAGCGGAAGATACGGCTAATAGGTAGTAGTCGTAAACCCCCATTCACCCCCAACGCTACCACCAGGACGGATGCCCACAGGTCGTTCACCCCAGTCCCTTACGCGGGCGTCATTCTGGGACTCGACAACCACGAACCCCGCGAAACGACGCCTTCCACCCGAACACGACGACGAGGACAGCCCACGCTCACTTCCGTATCCTACATCTGATCAACAGCAATCGCGGGCTGGTTCTAAGGTACGGCTAGCTCGACGGCCCGTCACCGAAAGAATAGTAGACGGGCGTCTAGAAATGGATACTGAAACTGGACCGGTTAACGCGTCGGCCTCCATCAGCCCCGCCACCACCAGAGTCTCCGCGACGGCTGCAGCATCCACTCCCTACGTACGTCGCAAGCGTGCCATTGCAGCATGCCAGTTCTGTCGTTTACGAAAGACAAAATGCGACAATGTGCGCCCGGTATGTGGATCGTGTCGCCACCATCAAGCGAAGTGCGTCTACACCGATGGCTCAGAGGGCGACGGCCTGAAAATTGGAATCGACGAGGCCGCAAACAGGCACCGTGAAGTCCTCGAACGATTAGATGACATCCGAAATCTCCTGGCTCACGCACCGCCGTCCGGTTCGCGTAGTAGTGCAGCATCTGATCTTGGCTCGCAGTTGTCCATATTGAGCACTTTAGCTGGTAAAAGCCTTGATCGTGAGAGTTTTAGTGTCAGTGCCGTGGAGACGGAGAGTGTGTCTGACTGTCAACCCTCGCCCTCGCCCTCGCCCCCAGGATACATCCAATTCACAAAGTGCGAATCAATCCTGAAGTGGCCTGTCCTCAGCAGTGTTATATCTAGCGACAACGCTGCAATTGATTCGTTCATCTTCGATGATCATGTCCGTGGGGACCAAGACGAACACAATCCAGTCCCGGTTTGTTCTGGAGGATCGGCGTCCCCAGCTTCGTGCGGGGGTGGGGATGTTGGACCACAGGCTCACAAATCAACATTACCTAGCTCGGGTGTGCGCAATCAAGCCTTCATCCCATTGTGCCAGAAGTTCCTTGCGCTAGTCAGCTGCCGGAATCCGATCTTAAATGCCCGTGACTTGCTCTCATATGCGAGGTCTGTAGCAGAAAGTGGACCACGCTGGGATGCAAAGTCCTGTATAGTGGTAAGTCTACTTCCATCTCATCGATGCCTATATTGAAAGATATCTAGTCCACGTCTAGTTCACACCCTCCAAGCGTGCTATTTACGTAAATATATTTCCGCTAAGGCATTGTTCAGCTCCTCGCTTGCGCTCTAGCTAGCTATTCCCGCGCCTGGACACCTCCGTCTTCGGTCCAACTTCCACTATCCCCCACAGCGCGCCGTAACTCGGGTACTCCCCTTAGCGTCATGTCAGGGTCGGACGATGAGGCAGCTGAAGGGTATTACGAGGCTGCCCAGAGGCGTTTTGGTTGCCTTAGCACGTCACTTATCGATGTTCAGTGCTTTTACTATGCCTCTCTATTCGAAAGTTTCGCCTTCCGACCACTGCAAGCTTGGATGTATCTACAGCAAGCAGCTACACGGCTACGTATTCACCACATGGAGCGGCAAGGAATGGAAAAGCGCCTTCGCCTAGACGGCCAGGATGACTACAATGGGGAAACTAGACCGTCGACTATAAGCTATCACTTTGAGCAGAGAGCATTTTGGTCTATACATAAGGCAGAGAAGTACATCCACCTATAATATCTTGGTATCATATCTAGTGTATAGAGTCTGTCACTAAACAAACCGCGCATAACTCCTTAGAGAATTCGCTACAGAGCTTGGTATCACTCTCGCTAGTGACCTTAGTGGTTTTAGGTACCCGGCCGCTTTCCCGACACCACCAGAATCTCTTAACTATCTAAATCCTAGTGATGAAAGTGATGAGGACGATATGACAGGCGTGTTCTCCCCCGACGGAACGAATTTATCTGGTTCTTTTATCTCGCTGAAATTTCACTCCGCCGGACCCTTGACGAAGTCCTCTCTGTCGTATATGAGAAAGGGGAGCAAAGCTGGATGGAAAATATAGACCTCGTGTGTCGACAGTACTATGAGTCAGAAAAGCAAATCTCCGACTGGTATGTAAATGATAGATTTGTCTTATATAAGTCTCCTAGCAGCTAACGGTCTTATAAGGCAATCCCATCTCCCGCCAACAATGCATTACGATCCGGTCTCTCATCCAAATAACGAAATGGGTTACTATCTAGAGGGCCGTTTCGAGGGGTGGAACGAATGTATTCTACGGCCCTTGGTCTACTACTGCCTTCACTCACCACCCACAAGACCTCTGCCACCCCCTACTGTGGCGCTAGCACAGCGCTACATGGCACTTTGTGCAAACTGCATTGTGCGCTGCTCCGGCCACGGTCGCCACGGCGGCACATGGGTGGTCCTGCGCCGGGCCTTCCGCTGCACACTTATCATGCTGGCTGCCGTAGTGGTTGGCGGGCCCTTACTGCCACCGGAGAACTGGCAAGACCTAACCAGAACCTCAATCGGCACCTTTGCGCGCTGGTGTACCGGGGTGAGAGATCTTCAACGAATGCGAAGGGTATTGGAGCAGGTCTTCCTCGCGGTGTGTAACATAGAGGCTAATAGAATGCCTGTTGATAAGTTAGGAGGATGATGTATTAGATAACGGTGGGGTGAGTGTCCTCAATCACCCGAGATGGCCGTAATCCACTGAACTAGAGAATTCAAAATGGGCTTTATATAATTCCAGGCTTTGATCTAGATACCGCGAATCAATGGCTATTGGTGCCGTTGGTCGAATAAAACTATAGCAAATTGACAAAAGTAACGATCGTTTTCACGATGGTCCGATCTAGCCCCGCTCCTACTAGATTGCCAAACCTCTTCAAAACAACGCGCGACTCTGATAATCTTAAGTGGCTTCGGATTTATATCTTCCTAGAAGATATGGGAAGCAATTCTTTACTCTATAGATTAGACTAAGTAAGAGTTGGAAATTGGCAGTTGAACAACCCAAGTATGATAACCTCAATTGACCACCCCTATTATCGAGTATACTAGCCGGTCCTATACTACGACTTAGAGCCCTAGCTATAATAATTTTATACCTATTTACACTTGCAAATAGTAGCACAGTAGATAGAACTATATAATACAGTTATTATTAGAGATTGTCTATGAGAAAGAAGACGGTGATTTCATATATAGGAGCTAACTTACTGCCCAGCAGCAGATCCCTGTGAACCAGGGGCACTTCCAATAGGAGGTGTGGCGGCCCAGCAGGCACCACACGTCTTGTAAAGACAGCCCCGCTTCTCAATGTTGGCGGGTTCTCGTGACTCGAGGGTGGTGGCGCCCTCTGGAAGAATAAAAGGACTTGCGGCAGTCATGGCGGCGAAGAGGGCAGCGATAAGAGTAAGGTTCTTCATTTTCTTTAGTGTATGCTTCACAATCTAAGGATAGATATAAAAGGTGCTTTCTAGCGGGAGGAATGTAGAGACTTGCGGTGAGTTTGGGTTCGTATAAATGTTATATTCAACGAGGTATAAGAGCGGGTATTTATACTAAATCTACCTCGGTACGGTAATCCTGGAGATGGTCTCTGTTATATGAAGACCTCTAAGCATATTGAACTCGAGAGCCTGGTGAGTGAGTGAGTGACAGTCTCCTCGACGCCACAATTGAAGGATCCTTCAAAGATCCTTTGTTAAAGAGATGAATCCTTTAGAGATCCTTGTAAAGATTATGCTTCTGAAGAATGATAGGTTCTCTCGGATAGTCGGTGCCACTACCACGTCTTGGCGATCGCACCCGCAGTAGGATCAGAGCATCCTATCCTTACTTTAGATTCCTCCTATATAGATTAACAAGCAATAGTAAATCGTTCCTCCTAGATAACTTTTATAACATGAGCCTAATCACTAACCTCTTCCTAGTTATCATTTAGATAATATAGAAGGTCATAGTTTTTTATGAAGCTATAGGAAGTAGGATTACGACTAGAGTGGATGATAAATAATCAATGATGTGCGTTGCTTGTTTGACCGTCGCTATTTTTAGTACTTAGTAAAAGATCGACAGCCCGCGTCGTTTTCATCACGACATGCCCTGCCACATTCATCAAGACAAGATCCCCGTATTGATTCTCTGCGCTGTGAGGTATATAGTGGGCCAGGGATATTACTCCGCACATACTCGTGATTGATTGGTGGTGTATATTATCCCGCCGGATCGCCGGCATGCCTGTGATGGGGAGCTCGAAAAATACGACGTCATAGGCACAACGGCACGGTCGCCGTGATACACTGAGTTAATCCTCCGCGTCTTTTATGTGCGGGGGACCGAAGCGCCATTGCCATTAACGCGTATAGCCTACTATACGCGAGTCTTCCGGAACGTGCGACAAGAGGGTAGTTGATAAATTCACCTTATCTCTACAATATCTAGTAGACATAAAGAACTTTCAAGTGTAGCACGCTTCCGGTAGATGGGAGTCTATGGCGGTGATTTCGATGAAGGCTGATAATGAGAGCGTTATTTCTCAAACGCTTAAAAGGATACCCTTTTAGTTGAGGTTGCCTCTACTTCAGCGGAGTCTAACCTAGTATTAAGCTTCCGTTGTTGAGCTCAGTTAGCTCCTTAGTTTATTTAAAGGGCTATAGTATAGGAGAGATATAGTCTAGATAGGCTATAGAGCCTTAAGAGAAAGGTCTATAACCTAAGATAAGCTATAAGAGTCGGGTTGGATATTAGAGATAGGCTATCCTTGAGGTTATTTTATCATATAGCACTAGAGAATATCTTTTACACCTTCTTAACTTGAATAGCGTAGGGATTATCTATGCACGCATCGTTGCTAATTTAACTTCGAATATTATATCTTAAATACTTAGTATTGTAAGAATAGAGGCCTATTAACTAAGGCATTATAACTTATATAATATATCTATATTTCTTTGATTTTTAAGTTCTATTTAACTTCGATTTTCTCATTTCAATAGTTACTTATACTATTATTTAGTTGAGTAATAAGAACGCACCCTGGCGCTATAGAAGCGAATAGACCTATTGCCCCGCAACTCTAAGTAGTTTAATCTCCTCGACTACTAGGGATTTACAAAATATTCGTTAGGGATAAGCCTAGACGCATGGAAGGCTATAGTTATCATGACCCGGTCGCCGAAGAAAGCGACTAAGCGACCGAGGGAAGGTAGTAGAAGATCACCCCAGCAAAAAGGATGATCAACGGGTAAACCACGGTAAAAGACACACCGCCCGGATCATAGTGATCAAGAATAAACTATCACCTAGGCCACGGCACGACGCCGTGACCCCCATCTATGTGAGGGAGCAAGTAGACAATAGAGGAAAGGAAATCTATATTATTTCCAGTAGTCAATTCAAGTACACTTGACCCCTATACCCTATACTTAAATACGCATTATAGATAACGATATCTTGAAGCTGTTTGATTGCCTCACTAAGCTTCGAGCAGGCCCCGACTGTTCTAAACTTAACGTGACCTAACCTTAAGTAACTGCTACGATCCTTTAATACGTCCTAATATTAGAACGTCCCATGACATACGCGTAGGAATGTAACAGGAGAGGATATCTACGCGCGGCGCGCTCTTACCCTTGAATCGGTTTCCCTATACCGAGGTATTATAAACTAAGGTAGTATACCGAGCTTTAAGGAATAGATTTACTATTCTCAATCTTAAGTAGGTTATTTCCTCTCCCGCTATTGATCTTATGGTCAATAAGTCAGGTTGAGGGAGAGGTGGTCAGGTTAAATCATCGGGAGGGGAGGGGTGATTTAAAAAAAAAAAAAAAAAAGATAGGAGTAGGAGGAGTGTAGAAGGGGATGGGAAGAGGACGAAGTACTTAAAAGAACGCTTACTAATACTAAGGCATAATCGTACTACACTCTTATCTTCAAAGGGTTTAAGGACCGAAGATGAGGCGAAATTAATCCCGCTATACTCCGATTCACTCTATTTCACCATACACGCTATCTCGCTGATGGTCTTTTAAACGCCTAGGGCGTAAGATCTCGTTATATACCGAGGTAGAGGCTAGAAGACCCTAAACCCGGAATCTGCGACGTAGGTGAAGCATAGGCTTCAGAAGGGTATTGAAGTATATTTAAGGCAAACAATCGCAGGGAGTGAGCAAGTAGGGTTCCACTTAGATGCGCCAACATCGTCGTCCCTTTCCGCCCACCCCTCAAGTCGACGTTGCTAGTTTCTAGACTCGAAAGGGTTAAGCGCATCTCTGTTTTCGACTATCTTTCAAGTCCCTCTTTAACTCGTCCACACCTACTTCATCCCTTGCCGCTACTGCACCATTGTGGCCAAATTAGACTTGGTCATCAGGCGATATGCACAAGTAGATGTAGACATTTATTATACATCAGAAAGTTGCGGGCAAAATAAGCAAATAGGTGATGAGACTGTTAGCTATCTCCTCACCTCTCGTTTCCTCTATATTTGGTGAGTTTTACCTCGGTACACCTCTTCCCATTCTTTTTTTCCTGGTCGTCGTCAGGGCTCCTATGTGGCTTGCATGAACCCCGCTTTCCTCGTCAAGAGAAGCAAAGTATGCCCACAAAAATTACACCAATTCAGCCGCTTATGCTCTTCACCCCTCTCCAACCATAGGCTCGCTCTACCACGTTCTCCTAATGTCACCGTCCGAATTCGTCAAGGAAGGATTAGATTGCTATTACTAGCAATTTCATAAACAACCCCATTGTCCATCGCTCCTCTTTCCCCATCTTCCCAATTTTCTTCACCCGTCAAAGAAGGAAAAAAGGCAGTGAGCATGACAGAACAACAACCCGTAACCGACCCAAAAGCGCCCGCGGCGGCTCCCGTGGAGGCTCCCGCAGAAGCTCCTTCGGTGGCTCCTGCACCGCTTGCCTCTGCGCCAGGCATTCTCCCTACAGACTTCTGGGTCCAGATGGCTGCCCAGGTTTGTTTACAGGTCACCGCCCCGTCCTATATATCATCCTAACTAAGACCGAGGAATAGGGTGATGCACAACCACAATACGACGAGGATAGCGATTCGGCGTATGGCGACGACGATGCTAGTAGCACGGCCTCTTTATCATCCTCAATCTTCAAGTATAGGACCATTAACGGACGCACATATCAAAGTGGGCATGGCGACGGCGAGTACTGGGCCGCCAATGACGAAAAAGCGAATGAGGCGCTTGACATCATGTGTGTGGCCTTGCTAACCTGATTCTGAGACCATCGTTAAGAGCGGGGTGCGGGGCAGAGATGGGGGTTAGGCTCGCAGCTAGTGATGGAAGCTAATGCGACCGCGTAGTCATCACGTCCTCCTCCTCTCGCTTGATGGAAAATTACATAAGGCCCCTCTCAGTAACGACATTCAGGTACGCACTGGCTTAACGGGATTATCTCGAACTGAATTTCTATATTTTTCCCTGCCCGGCCTTTTTCCTACTTTAACATAGCCCTATGCTTCGTTCTCTCAGGCATGTTTTTGCAAACCCGCACTAATCTAATTTGACCTCATAGAAAGTGGTGGACATTGGAACGGGCACGGGTATGTGAGCGGGTTACTACAACTTTAGTGCATGATAACTAACTAGGCGGAATCCTAATTCCTCGACTTCTAAAGGTGTTTGGGCGATGTGGGTTTTCCCTATACTCGCTAGATGTTGCCTCTTATATGCTGATCATCTATTATATAGTGACTTTGCCGACGAATACCCTGATACCGAAGTCATTGGAACCGATTTGTCTCCTATCCAACCGACCTGGGTTCCTCCTAACTGCCTCTTGTATGTATTGCCAAGCCTTATCATTGCCTCTCAGGGATTGCGACGATAGAAATTAGGCCCCAGGGAATAAACAGAAATTGCGAGGTTAAGGTAGAAGAGTATAGTGAGAAAACGAAAGGACGAGTAGATGAAGAGGAGAATGAACTAGGATAAACCTAAGCCGTGCTAACAGGGGCTGCCTTTTCCTTAGCCAAATCGACGACTGCACGCAGCCATGGACCTTCGAGCCTAACTCGATTGATTATGTACACATCCGCTGGCTCTTCGGTTCTATCAAGGACTGGGAGGGGCTCTTCACCGAGGCATATAAGGCTCTCAAGCCAGGCGGCTATATCGAGACACACGAGCCCTCAGTCAGCTTCCGTTCCGATGATGGCACTGTCCACGACAAGACAGCTATGGGCCAGTTTGGAAAATTTTTCGTCGAGGGCGGGAAGATCATGGGCCGCTCAATGACTGTCGTCGAGGATTGCACACAGAGGGCTGCGCTAGAGGCGGCTGGATTTACTGATATTCAAGAGACTCAGCTCAAGGTTAGTTATTATAGTTTATTTCTCATTATCTTCCACCTTTCCCCCTCAATGCACGAGACCTCCCCTGCTGCCTTTATTCCTGCTCTCTTGAAGAAAGGGAAATTCTGCTTCGCCCCACGGGATTCTACCCTAGCTAATGCTATAATATAGACCCCTATCGGCAAGTGGCCTAAGGATCCTAAGATGAAGGAAATCGGTGCCTTCCAGCAAATGGCCGTCGAACAGGACACCGAGGGCACAATGACGTACCTCGCACAGATGCTAGGTTGGAGCCAACACGAAGTCATCGCCTACGTCGCTACACTCCGCCGTGAGATACGCTCCCGTGACATCCACGGCTTCTATGAGCAAAAAGTGTTGGTAGCGCGTAAACCCGAGCAGACGCCCGACCCAGAGGGTGCCGCAACTACTGCTACATAAAAGACTATCCGGGGATGAAATATTTTATATAGTCCCCACTATATAACGCCTACGGTTGATCTGAATATGAAAGCGTGGGGTTCAGCGCAAGATACCTAAAATCGATCTATTATAGCTTATAGTGCTTGTAGTGCTTGTAGTGCTTGTTTAATTCATGTGACTTGACTAGGCCATTTTAACCTCGCTTGATGATGGTTTCCTAACTTAAACTAAGGGTTACTATCAGTGATTATTATAGGCGGGTTCTTTTCTCTTTTATTATGATAAATATATCCTAGGTCTACTTCTCCGGCTGCCTATGAAAGTTAGGGTGATCTAGTACGCGCGCTTACTCGCCATAGACCTCAATAGCCTTCTATAGGGCGCTTCGCTTGAAGTTAATCGTGCTATAATCTCTAGGCTCGCGAAAGATTAACAATTATATTTATACCATCGTGCGTATGATATGTTAGACAACTTACGGGGCCCTATAGCCTAAATACTATTATCTATAATCTAGGAGCTGTAGGCCATTTATCGAGGGTAACCAGGTCTCCTTTGAGCCGAAACTGCGATGTCGCTAATATAGGCTCATCAAACAAGATAATGTAGATTCTTAGGTAGATTACCGTATTCACCTCGTTGTTAATTCGGGCAAGGTCTCTAAGAGACTAAGATAATTGAAGCTCTACCTGGCCTCGTTTAATAGATTGATGGCGTCCTTTTCTAGCAGGAGTGAATGGCCTGTCTAAATTTAGCGGCTCGAAAGGGCAGTTATCTAGATAGTCCGCCTCGCATAGGCTCACGATATCCTTGATTAACTAGGTGAGATTATATGACAAAACCTTTATATCAAAGGTAGTAAAGCGAAGTCCGAATCTAAAGGGTCAAGTTGCAGATGGATACTAACGGCACGTACGCCCCGGGTATTTGTCGGTTAGGATACAATTATATCTGTCAATAGAGTGTCTATAGCTTTTCAGATACTAAGTAACCGCCAGTAAGCGCCTAGATGGACTATGCGCTCCAACGATGATATCAATCACCATAGAGCCACCTTTCTATCTAGGCCAGTTTTCTCATAGGACTTCATGAACCTACGCATTTTCAAATAATGCTAAGTTGTCGAGGTGCTCGATCTATGAAGCCTTCTAGGCTGGTTACGGAGGTATAGCGCCCTCCCACTATATCTCATACTTAACTTGCTCTTATCATCTTCCCAGAATCCGATCAAGGCGACCTTAGCCCTTGGAGCAATGGTTAGAGGTAGGGTTCCATCTATACTCTTCAGTAGAACGATGCCCTCGACCGCTGGCTTATGAGCCAGCCTTGAGCTTCGGAAGTATTAACATCTTCCTAGCCGAGGCGAGAATACTCCGAGTTTTCACTATCGGAGTAGTTTGTCCGCACTAGCGCAGCCCGACATACGGTCTCTATCCGCAGTAATCCTTGATCCCACCCGCCATAGATCTCAGGAGAGCGTTCGTACTCGCAACTACAATCTATACCTGTAGCGAAACAGACAGTAGTGCCTAGAGCGTTAGTATCGACATATCAGTGGTTGAAGGAGATGTCTCGGACTGGTTCACAGTCGCTGATGATATAATTACCACTCTCTATCTAATTCTAGTGCTCACGAAGGGTCGTTCTCAACAAGTACTTATTAACACACGACGGGAGCCGGTTGATAGCGCATTTCAGAGGACTTAGCCTATCAAGCTAGTGGCAAGCTCTATGACGCATCGCTCGGCCTCATTACGCCTGGACGACATAATAGGTCCACTCTTTAAAGTCCCCTTTAGTCTACCACAGGGGTCCCCGGTGTTTCCCATCCTCTTCATGCTCTTCATCTAGTCACTCTTCCACATCGGAAACATAGTAAGAAAGAGGGCCAGGCTTGGATATGCAGACGACATTGGTCTCCTCTCGGCGGGCGACTTGCTAGAAGAGAACTGTAAGATCCTAAGTTAAGACTTTCAGGATATTACACAATGGAGCCACCAGGAAGGCATGATAACTGGTATCAAGAAGACAAAGGTCATCAACTTTACACGCCGGAGGAATGCAGAAAACCCTAGCATCCAGCTTCGAGTCCAACGCACTATACACACAATCAAGGCTACTATACCCGGCCAGCAATTGTGGTGGCCCAGCGTCTGGTTTGATAGGAGACTCACATTTAAGTCCCACGCTAATAAGCTAGCTGTAAAAGCGAAACTCTCAGCAGCAGGCATCGGAGCCTGAGGAAATATAGTACGGGGGCACCACCGCGACTACTAAGACAAGTAGTGCAAGTATGTGTGCAGCCGATCCTCTGCTACGGCGCTGAGACTTACTGGCCGGGCGTCTCTAGGGAAAGAAACGGAAGAACATCTCGAACCGGACAGCAAGCCTGGTAAGTAGACTAGCCATTATCCAAAACGAGACATTGAGAGTAGTACTCACTGTCTATAAGACAAACGCTAGTCGCCACCATACATAGAGAACAGCAGTGACCCTAGTACAACTAGCCCTAGACCACAGGAGAGCTCTATTTGCCACCGGGATCAAGAAACTGGACGCAAGACACCCCCTCACGTCGCAACAGCGAACGTACACGTACGACACAAGGCTCCTCAGGATGCAAGGAGAGCCGGCCTAACAGATCCACACGACCCCCTCGGGACAGCCCCGTGGGACACCAAGACAGACTGGGACAAGGTCCGCATCGGCTATACATGCGCCTCTAAGGAGGCAGTAGCATGAGACTTCAAACAATGGGCAGCTAGGCTGCGACAAGGCGACCTAGTCGTATACACAGATAGCTGGCAGACTTGCGGTCAAGGACTGCGGGAGTAGGATGGGCGATCTAACCAAGGGCCAGGACATCTAGTTGTCGAAAGAGGGAGGCTTCCCTCCCTGAGGCAGAGGTTTTCGACGCGGAGAGAGTTGCAGCGCTACACAGCCTCACAGCCTCATCGCAGCCCAGAGCATAATATGCGCAGATTTTGCAACAAACATCTATATATGTCTAGATAACCTAGAAGTCGCGTGCTCCCCCCACCACCCCCTTCCTTCCTAACCCCCGCATAGCCAAGTAGCTAAGGGATGTTTACGGCCTTCAAAGAGGCAGTAAACAAGTGGCCGGAGCGGATAAGGAAGCCACACACGGCCAGGCCAGGTGTTCATCAGATGGGTCCTAGGACACTCAGGGATCGCAGGGAACGAAGCAGCCGATACAGAAGCAAAAGCGGCCGCTATAGATGATGACGCGACGCTGGAGCGTCACTGCAGCCGAGAAAAGAGCCCTGAGCATTTTCTTTTTCTACTGCGCGAGAGGATATTCTACGCTGTTTAAGGTTTCGAGCAATCGTCGTGATGCATACTTTGTCAAACTCCTCACGAATAAAGTTTCGCAGGTATGGTCGTTGTCCCAAATCGTGTGAAGGTTGACCGGATGGTATGGAGGATCGGGCAGTGTAAGGGACCACCTTGACTATGGCTTTGACTGAGAAGCCCTTGAGAAGTATATGCGAGATCTAAGCATGCTGCGATAGGTTAATCGGGGAGCCATCGAGTGTTGTATGGCTGTTTCGCCTATTTTAGGGTGAGAAGAGTGGAAGAAAATGAGGGAGCTTAATTGAAGGGGTGGTGTGGAGGGTTGCCGGGTCTAGGGGCATTGGTGTCAAGAAATTACGCTGGACCTGAAACTGGTTGGCGCCGCGGGTGCTCCACATTTCGCTTTCGACGCTCGATTTCACCACACTATGTCTAGATCTCCGCTCCCCCAACTTAAAGTTCTGTTATTGACTTTATGTCGCATTATGTAATGAATACATAACGCTTTCTCACAGAACTCGATTTATTAAGGTAAATTACTAAGTCAAGGGGCCCGTGGATTTAGTCTTTTCATACCTAGATGAAGAAGAAAACGACACTACTACTCCACGCCTAATAACCTAAAAACCATTCTTACAGTTAGAATATATTACTCTAAGTAGGCATTTTCTAGGCTTATTAAAATCAGAGAATCGATTTCACTTTAGTAGCCTACTATAGAGCTTCTCCATCAATAGAGCAGATAAAGTACGTATAAGGGGATGTGTAGGGCACACTTAAGCAGGAGATAGGGTTATCATGGAAAGGGCACGGAGAGGGTCCGGTGTAGGCTCGCTGAATCGCGAGTACAGACTTCAGCTTGTAGAGCCTTCCTTTTAACTTAGGCTCTACGTTTATACTTCTCCTTTTATATTTTATTTCTACCCTCTAGACTGATCTATTGGATACCTGACTCGTTCCCAAAACCTCTCCGGCCCTTCGCCGGAGCTGGGTTCTAGCTGAGATGTTGGTCTTAAACCAGCTTCCCTCGGTTCCTAGTGGCCCGGGTAATCTTCGCAACATTGGGTGCGCCTAGAGCGAGCGCGCAGTACGGACTGGGCTGGCCGAAGGTCGGCGCTGCCCGGTTCTTCCGAACTATTCCATTACAGTACGCTAGAAGGTGACATAAAGTTACGCTAACACTAAGCCTCCCGTTTATCAGTTTGCGAAACCATACTTAGCGCTGCTAGAACGGATAGGAAATAGTGAGGTAGTGACTTACTAGCAGTCCTAACTATATCAGCTAAGATACTAATCACTTTGTTCTTCCTATAACTTTGATATTTTCTGAATGAACCCATTTCTTCATGTATTCGCTCTCTAAAACCTAGATGTTAGCTGACCTACCCTTAGATAATGTAGCGCGAAGGATTCTCGCCTGGTGCTTGCTTTCGATGAAGCAAACTGCTGCCTTCGGCCGGTCCCATCTAATTTTTCTGCTGAACCTGACCTATAGAAGTCCACACCTTATCCAGTTTCCTCAAGCTTATGGTAGTTGGTTAGCTCTGACGGATTTCCTCGCCGGCCGAGTGTAAAAGCTTGGCGCCAGACTATTAGCCTTTAACTATAGGAAAGCTAGAGAATGAAGGATTGAGTGTATTCTTAGGTATGACCATAGCTACTATATACTAGTTCCAGCCTTGACCATTTGTTGGCGCTAAGAGAATGGGACTTGTGTTAAACGATAAGACGTCTTAAAAGGAAGAAATCTTCGAAGTGGGGTTTCGCCTAATACCTCTCTCACTTAGTGGCATTCCGCATTTCCTAGACGACTGAGACGACAATAGACCTTAGTCGAGTGCCTCAACTAACTAGAGTTTTCAAAAAGAAAAAGAAAAGAAAAACCCAAAAAAGAGCAGGCAAGGCGCGTAATAAAGCTAGGTGGGAAATACGGATTCTCAGTGTATAAATTCCACTTTGTCCGGCTTGAGATTTGTTCGCCAATCGTCGGACAGAGGTTTAGCGGTAACATTCGACATCAACCACCATGAACGCGCGAGGAAGACCGGGGATATGACGGGCCGACTAAATTCGGCCTAACCGTTCCCTCGGGACGATTTAGTACCCCTCCTACCTTTCACACGACGGATAAAACTTACGCGTTAGTGCCTTATTCCGGTCCTGACCTTAAGATGTATTACTCCTTGTCACCCGAGCACCGCCCTCTTTAATGGTTTTGCTATTAGACATGAATGAGACGTTATGTGCCTATATTTAGAATGGTTGTCTGTAGAGACGTCCAAATGGAGCGAATGGCGTAGATTCCTAGGCGGGTATTCGTCCCTAGAGACCATTCATTAGTTTAGCATCATAAAGTGCCCACGATCCTTGCAGGTTACCCTTTAGTGCAAGTCAGTTTTCTACAATCCTACTTATCATTCTATGTTCTTAAATCCGCTCTAATGCTAAGAAAGTTAAAGACACACGAGTCCTGCCCCTATGCTCTGGCACATTTAAATAGGCGGTGGTCTACTCCTGGCTATAGTGTAGGCAACTATGCTCACATAGGAAAAGCGCTTCCCTGCAGGTCTGTGGGGTCATGGTAAATGATATCTTGGCCCTAGTGCTATCGATATTACTGTTGGCTCGACTATTATCCTACCATTACTACTTCTCGTCTCGGGACGGCAATAGGTGCAAGGTATGTAACCTTGATAAAAGTAATTAATCTACGCTCGCATAAAGCCGCTGCGTGTGTCAAACGTTACATTTTATCGTCGCCCGAGTGCACGAACAGCCTAATGTACACTAACCGCGCTTCTGTACAACTCGAGGAGTACATTGCTACTTGAACTCCCGCGGCTGAACCACCCCACTGGGTCGACTCGAGGTATAGCAATGGATGGTGAGACGATTAAAGTTTTGTCGTATCATCACTAATAAGACTTGCGTACTAGAAAGTAACCCATCCTGCCGTTCTCGGCTTCTGCTCTCGTCACCAATATCAATGCTTTCGATAGAACTTTCACGCCAAGATCGATCGCCGTCTTTGATTTCGGCAGATATTTAGGCGTATTTGTCAGTATATTTAGTTAACAAGGCAGCAGGCTACATATGACATGTACCATAGTTCCTCCCTAACACGAGCCATGGTAGGAGGGGGACTTGTTGTAACTTTTGATTCGCTCAGTAGGAACTCTTTACAATATTTGCATCTATACTATATACTTTTATCTATTCACAGGTTAAGCAACGCACCAAGCCTGTCGAACGCACATTCGGCCATATCCCGGGGCCTAGGCTGTTCTAGAAGACCAATGTCAAAATCTACCACTTAAAAACAAAGTAAACTATTAAGATTCCTACAGCTAGAGCGAACCGGGCACTAGCCATATTCAACCGCGCTGCTCCGTTTGGGCACATCTCTCGAATCTCCTGCCAGTCTCCTTCTTTACAATTCAGAAGACCTAAGGCCTTGTCCGACACGTTAGCTGCCACGACATCTGCGTATTCGCTTAGAGAGGCGCACCGATCGTCTATGTCACTCTCTTCCACTAGTCCACAGCCAAAGCCGATGTAGCTTCGTAATACGTTAGTCGCTGTTGATTGGTAGTCGCAACCCCTGATGGCGCCAGCAATATCTGGAAGCTTGCCGTCTAGAGCAACGCTAAACTCGAGTTGGAAGGTTTCTGGCCTGAAATCTTCCTCGCCGTCATCAGTACAGTTTGTCATGCCTACTGTCCACCGAATGTAAAAGTGCGTTTCCGTTCCATTGGTCATCGGGCTCATTGACGTTATGAAGAATAAGGGATCGGTATCCGGCCACTCTCTGCTCAAAGGTCGATCGAACATTGCTCCGGGAAGGCTCCAGACACCGAAATCTTCTGCTCCGATTGGCTCGTCGACCTCCCAGAATTTCGCGCGGCTGGTTTGCATCTCACCGGCGATATAGACGTTCAAACCCTCGGCTGCCTTGAAATTATGAACTGCATACACCACAGGGAAGAATGCCTGCGGTGTGTACGTCTCATTCTGGGGGAAGACTAAGTCAACTTGAAATTTGCCGGGGTATTCTTGTGCTGCCACACAGCAAAGGAAGACAAGAACAAGTAGCTGTAGCATCGTGGTTGGTGCTTAAATGTTGGCGGGAATGACGACCTGAGGAAAATCGAGTAAATTGGCAGAAGGGAGGTCGAAAGATCGTGTCCGCCTGTTGGACGCGGTCGAGGGTTTAAAAAGATGTTGGTCCATGTCTACAAGATGGCCGGGCAGCAAATTGGACGTATTCGGTTATTAGCTATTATATTCGACCGATAAATAGGCCGACAGAGCGAAGGGGTTTGCGGGTAATATCTTACCGCTCGCCTAGGTTTCAGAGTTAATAATATACCAATTAAAGGTGTGACACCATGCCCTACTCCTGTCACTGTGCCTACATCTTCCCATATAGGATATAGGTCGGTCAAGTAAGAAAGTGTTAGGCTAAAAAAGGATAGGGGAACGCTCCCTGTACAATTGAGGTCGAAAGAGGCTTATACGAACTTGGCTCTCTTTGCACTGTATATGACGGAAAAGTCTCGCCTGGTGCTCTACCCCTAGCAAAGTAGGTCACAATATACATTACAGCGACTATTCTTTTAGACTCTAGGGGTGTATAGTGTATCTTCGCAACTGTCTTTTTAGCTGAAGGGGCCTGTAGCGCTGCAATGTGACTGTTTAACGCTCGCTCACTAGTATCTTTATATGTGTGTTCTGGGGTTTGAACAGGATACTCGTTGGTTTTCGCACTGTAACTCTGAGTTCCCCTCCCTGTATATTTAAGGTCTAAAGAGGCTTATATCCCGCCAACAGAAAGAAAAGTAAGAAACCGCCTGCCTTCATATAGCACGACTTAGTTATCGTAGATTGGAGTAAGATGTTGGTCCTCAACCAACGCCTATGGAAATGAGCTTAGCATCCGCGGCTAAGCATCGTAAATTAGTTGAACGATGATTTTACATAACTAGCACCAACACTCGTCTCGGCAGACGAGTGTCATTAGACTTAAGGGATAGCTTCCTACTGGCGTCGTACGCGTAAGTATAAAAAGACTGGCGTATGCTCATTATTTGATACCGAGTTCGGAGACCAAGCCATCAATACACTGAAGACCTCGATACATATCATTTATATCTTCCGCGACTAGCCTATTTATCTATGATGATAAAACGCGCTTGGACCCTTTGTACGGCGGCCTTTCTTAGTGCCTTTCTGAATGACGTTGATGCCTTTCGAACCGGGCTCAACATTGTTCCCGGTGAGAAGTTCCGGACCCCATGTCCACGGCCATGTTTTGAAGCAGGTCCAGATCCTGTGAAATGGGATCTCTACGGATCTATTACAAAGCTTCAAGAATGTCTTCAGCCAGTTTTGTTCGACTTCGGCATCCATAATCCAGTTTCAGACAACCCGCGCCACATTAGGGCCTGTGCTGTCTGGGCTGGCGACTTTAATGATCTATCCAGCACCCCGCAGGCCCAAGATATAGATCAAGCACAAAACCAAACGGTGCAGTTAGCTTGGTGGGGGAGCCATTAGTGGCCGGCCTGGAAGACGGGAACGTTGCCAATGTCCCCTCAAGTTTTCGGAGTGTTCGCCATTACCTCAAAGCTCAGCCGTCGTACAACCAAAAGACGATTTTCTTTGCTTCCTCGGGAACTAGTACTATTGGTGTTTATCTCGGTCAGAGAGTTTCTAAGACGGATGTCGCTAGCCAACTTCTAGATCCTCTCATGAGCCACGTTCTCGTCAAGGGTCTTGCAGAAATGGCAGTAGTCCAACTATGCGGCGCAGGAAAGAGGGCTGATCAGATTATAGGCATTGTCGTGAGCTCTGATATCTCAAAAGTCCACGATGCCATCGCGAAGTGGAATCGCGCGTCCTGTGTTGACGAACCAACAGGCTCATATCTATTAGAAAACGTCCCACTCAGCATCGAGCCGCGGCCGGGAGACCGCATCTTATTGAACGAGACTCACACAAGCCGCGGGATGACCATATCTTCCTCTAGCCCAAGGCAGCTTTCAAAACGTGCCGAATGTGAGACAACTACAGTAGCCCACAAGGAGGGCTGTGCGGAATTAGCCGTGAAGTGTGGTATCAGCGGTGACGACTTCATGAAGTGGAATCCTCGCCCAAATTTATGCTCCACCCTTGTGCCGGAGCAACAGGTGTGCTGCTCGACTGGAGAACTGCCAAGTCGACGGCAGTACAAGGGCAGCGACGGCTCTTGTGCTGTCTATGTCACTGGTGCGGAGGATACTTGCGCCATCGTCGCCGTCAAACATGACCTCACGGTAGAGGAATTGATGGAGTTTAACAAGAATACGTGGGGTGGGTTTCGATTCGCCCCTAATCCACTAAACTGCCCATGACTAACATCTTTTCTTCTTACAGCTTGGAACGGATGCGACCTTATCTGGCCGGGAGTGAAGATTTGCGTCAGTGATGGTGACCGCCCATTCCCATTATCGACTCCGAATGCTATCTGTGGTCCTCAAGTGCCAGGTACCGAGCCCCCACAGGCGGGAGGAGATATCGCGTTGTTGAATCCATGTCCGTTAAATTCTTGCTGTAATATCGTAAGTGTACCCTTGTTCCTATCACCGCATTACCCTAGATACTCCCTCTATATCTTCAATATCTGAAGATAGTAGACTAATACTATGAACCTATCGTAGTGGGGCAAGTGTGGGACTACGAGCGACTTCTGCGTTGAAGCCACGGGTAGTACTCCTGAGGAGCGCGCGAAAGTTGAAAACCGCTGCATCTCGAATTGTGGAAATAATATCATTATGGGCGAGGTGCCATTGAGCTTCATGAAGCTCGGCTATTTCGAAGCATTCAATCTTGGACGGGAATGCTTGAACATGGATGCTACCCAGATTCCGAGCGATTACACCCATGTCCACTTCGCCTTCGTCGACCTTACCGCAGATTACCAAGTAACTATAGGGAAACATTAGTGGAATTCCAATTTCAGCAGTTCAGAGCCATCAAATCTGCTAAACGCGTGGCTTCTTTTGGCGGGTGGGCGTTTTCAACGGAACCTGCCTCATATCAAATTTTGAGACGTGGAACACATCCGGATAATGCTGAAACGCTTGCTGAAAATATTGCAACGTTCATTAAGAACAATGGGCTTGACGGTGTTGATATAGATTGGGAATATCCTGGCGTAAGCTTCTTCACTTGCCTTCATTATATAGAACACTAGAAACCCTTCAAACTAACTTCACTATGTAGGGCCCCGACCTTCCCGAGGATGACCCAGGTCATGCTTCTGAAGGCACCAACTATCTAGAGTTCTTGAAAATTCTTCGAAAGAAACTCCCCGGCAAGTCACTCTCTATTGCAGCACCGGCATCTTACTGGTATCTAAAGCAATTTCCTATGGAAGAAATCGGTAAAGTGGTTGACTATGTGGTTTACATGACGTACGATCTACATGGCCAATGGGATTACAGTAACGAATGGAGCATCAGTGGCTGCGGAGCAGGAGATTGCCTACGTAGCCACATTAACAGGACGGAAACCCTCGATTCACTTGTATGTTTGACCGCAAAACCCTTGTTAGGGTGTTGCCTACTTACATTTTGCTAGTGAGGAGCTGACTATTCCCCTATATAGAGCATGATTACTAAATCCGGGGTCCCGTCAAATAAGATAATTGTTGGCGTCAGTAGCTACGGCCGCAGTTTCCGTATGACAACTCCAGGCTGTACTGGAGTGGACTGTACCTACTCGGGCTCCCGTACAGTCTCAGGTGCCCGGCCTGGGCGATGCACTGGCACCGGCGGTTATCTTGCAGATGCCGAGATCAAAGAGATCATTGAAAACGGCGCCAATATCAACACCTGGGTGGATGAGGATAGTGACAGCAATATCCTAGTCTATGACGATGTTGAATGGGTCGCATGGATGGATGAAGCCACCAAAAGAGACGCGAAGAGCTATATCGATCCTAGTACGTAATTCCTTGCTCTGCGAGAGTAACTAATCGGGAATTCAAGCTAACATTCCGTCTAGCCATTTTGGGGGCATCTGTGACTGGGCCATTGACCTCCAAGACTTTCGGGATCCTCCAAACTACATAGGCGACGATGCGGCAGTGGTCGGCGGCTGGGAGGATCTCAGCTGGAATAATGTTAAATTAAACCTCAGAGAGACCGGAAAGCCGACATGCATGATGGAGAGGCGAACCGGATCTTGGATCTCCATCTCGTGCGCAAAGGACGAAATAGCTTCCGTCGGCCAATTCACGCCGTTGCAACGCTGGGAAGCCGCGGAGGCTTCTAACGCCTGGGAGGATGCAATATTCCGGTGGAGGAACTGCGACCAACCGTCAGGAAATGTGACATTTACCGTATCAGTAGGAAACTTCTTCCACGTTTTTGATGACTCGGGCTGCGATATTCTAGCGGGGAGAACAACTGTGACGCGGCCACCTGCATGGAGCATAATGTCGACGGCATCGATCTGCCAAAGAACTGGTCCGGTGCGGCGAGCTACCTTGTTTGGAATGCTCTCGTTAAAGTCCATCAGGTGTGTACGCCTTAGCCCTCGGAGTCGACATCGTACGTATACTATAGTAGGCCAATGTACTAACATTAAGGACTAGATGATGAAATCAGCTTATGATGCCTATGATCAGGTTGCCAATGATGTAGACGCGAGGTCTATTGATTTCATGCGAGTGTTCTCGCCAGATCAAGACGAACTTTCGGGGTCTATAGGCTTCCTTATCGATTTACTTGCGATTCCAGTGGCAGGTGCAGGAGGAATGTTTTTAAACATAGTGAGTGTCAACGACGGACGCCGTTTCTACATGCGTTGCTCGGTGAGATTGTTGCTAATAATCTGCTTTAGTATTCGGGGCATTGGTATCCGATGATGTGTTGACTGATGTCGCTAAGGACATGACGAATGCAGTGCTCGCTGCTGGTTTTAGTGCACTCAAAGAGTCGAAGCAAGCTCCGTTAGTGATTCTATACTCCTAGCCTGTTATGGGACGGCACTGATAGATCTTTCCTCAGCGAACCTGCTGATCAAGAAAGGGCGTTTAACTCGATTGTCGACACAACTATACAAGAGTGGAAGGACCAGAGCGCTATAATTCTTGCATTTCTATTCCAGGGCCGTGATCTAGGCATCGCGGCTCTTACCGAACTTATCAAAGATGGTAGACTGACCGCTGGAAGCAAAGCAGGCAATATTAGCGACGGGTCCATTAAAGATATCCTCATGCAGTTCGCGAGAGAGGAAGCAGGAAAAAGAGCCTTCTATGCGGCGGCGATCCCAGCTGTGTGGAACGGAACGAACCAATATCCGGCCGTCATTGACGCAGGTGAATGTAACGGAAAGGACTCTATACCTGATATAGTAGACAAGGCTCTCAGTGAGTACTCGTACTCATGTTATGAGAAGCGGGCATATTTTCTTGTGTCTGCTCCAGGCACCGCCAGAGGTACGCAGTGCGTACCTGGCGAGGTCAAAACCATCAGTCCATGCAAAACTGTGCCTCTCTACCTGCCAAAGGGTATTGCCGCATTGGACGGCCAAACTTGGGGGCTAATTACTCACCATGACCTGATTGCTGGGTAAGTTTTAAGTTACCGCTAGGGCATTTTTGACTCATAGTAACCTGGTTTTAGTGCTGTCGAGACATTTAAAAAAGCTGGCAACAAAAATGGTGGCAATGTTGAACCTAACGCAAACGATAAGAAAATATTTGATGCGCTCTATAATAACGATATTAGAGCCCCAGGAATCATCAAGATACCTATTTGTTCTGCTAGCGAGGCATTTAAGAACTGGGTAGATGGGAGAGCTGTGGTGAGGGGTCAAAATTACCCTTGTAATTAACCTATACCTTAGGCATAGGGTAATAGGTTTAGCCCTTAGGTGTAGGGTAAGGCTGTTTACCCTCTCCACCTATATAAGTGTCAAAGTAAAACATACTCTACACCCTATCACCTATTCTATAATGAACTCTATATAGAGTTCATTTAAATCATGTAGTACTATATTTCCCTACAAAAAATATAGGGGTGTCACAAGCAGCCTGGAAGTAGGCCCAAGAAGGCAGTGAAAACCAGCAGTAAAGGCAGAACCTCAGGTAGTAACCAACTAATAAGGAAAGGACTACATAAAGAGATAGCATAGTCCTAGAAGAACTATATAAGAAGACAGCATAGTCCTATAAGGACTATACTATAGGAAGTTATAGTCTACCTAAGGACTATAACTAGGGAAGCTATAGTCCTAGATAAGTCACTAAATATATAAAGAAGTAAATAGACCTTAGAGGAAAAGAGGTTCTATATCCTTTCTAGTAGTTAATTTAAGTATACTTAACCCCTATACTTAAATATATATTATAGATAATAATATTATTATATTATTTGATTACCTTACTAAGCTACTAATAGGCCCTAACTATTTTAACCCTAATATAACCTAACCCTAAATAATATATCTTAGTATTAGAATATTATATATTAACTTCTCCTATTTAGTAAGTAACCCTTTTAGATAATACTAACTAAGAACTATATCCTCTATTATAGGAAATACTTAGGGTTAGGGTTAGGGTTAGGGTTAGGGTTAGGGTTAGGGTTAGGGTTAGGGTTAGGGTTAGGGTTAGGGTTAGGGTTAGGGTTAGGGTTAGGGTTAGGGTTAGGGTTAGGGTTAGGGTTAGGGTTAGGGTTAGGGTTAGGGTTAGGGTTAGGGTTAGGGTTAGGGTTAGGGTTAGGGTTAGGGTTAGGGTTAGGGTTAGGGTTAGGGTTAGGGTTAGGGTTAGGGTTAGGGTTAGGGTTAGGGTTAGGTTAGGGTTACGTAACTGAACGGGTTAGGGTTAGGGTTAGGGTTAGTTAGGGTTAGGGTTAGTG